ACTAGCAATAGAAAATGAGGATTTTAAATCAGTTTTTTTCCAAAATTTCAATCAAAAACTTGAAAATAAGTTAAAAAAAGTTGCTTTTTAATCATCTAATTTCATTTCATTAAAAATGAAATAAAAAACTACAAGATTAATCAAATTTTGAACATCAAAATTTGAAATTTACTTCAAGATAATATTATAAGTTTAAAAATTTAATAATCGAATTTCTTCCATTTTTACTCTTCTTAAGTTTCTGCTTTCATAATTTTTAGTTATAACAAGCAACAAGCCAAAGCCAAATTGTCTTTTAACTGTGTTCATTGCTAAAGTATGTATTTTTTTCCAAATTTAATTATTTTAAGTATTTTTTTTCTTCTACCACTCATTATTTAGCATTTATGGGTGCAAAATGATCAGACATAAATGACCCTGCTTACTAAACAAACTTCCACAAAATTTTACTTGGATCAGAAACATTTAATTTTTTAATTTGAGTATAGCCGAAGAAAGAATTCACGAAACATGTCGTAACTTTTGAAATGCCTCACGTTGTTAAAAGCCCTGCCTCTATTTCTGTGTGCTGGGCAACGAGTAGTCGTGTAAGCACCAACAAAGATTTTTGGTTCGTTGACCCTTTATCGCTGGGCTCGTCACAAATATTGGAAAAGGCAATCTATGCCTCCATTTTTGGTGCTAAAAGTGTTTAAAACGCGGCGTTCGGTTTCAAATTTTTAATTACCTCTTCTTGAAAATCCATTCAAAATATTTTTCACTAAAAAAAATGTTCAGTTGTTATTTGTTCGTTATTACCCAGATAATATGTAAAATAATAAATAAATATTGCTTAGAATAAGTTTTAAATTGCTGCATTATAATTTGAAGCAATAAAAAAAAATCAAATTTGTTTTATCTATTTTTAACCATGAAATAAGTGTGAGCTCCATGCTTTTTAAGCTTGAGCCAGTGCCGGTTTGGTGAACGAGCGTGCACAGAGCCGAGAGGACCAGCGCACCAACAGGTCGTCGACCTGCCAACATTTTCAGAAATAAACGCTCCGAAAACTCCAAAAATCGTTTTGAAAATTAACGACACGCTTGCTTTACATTCGAGCAGAAAGTTTACATGTGGGGTTTACGCACTTTACGTCTATCAATGACTGAAATATTTTGCTATTTGATTGCACTGAAGGAATGTTCATTAATTGTTTACTAAAAAAGACACTGTGCAACTAAAAACTGTAAATTGCTAAGGAATCATGGAATTGGCAAAGATTTTGTAATTAATCACAAATTCATATTTGTCCAAAAGTAAATAAATAACTTACTTGTAAAAAAAAACGAGTTCTATAGTTTGAAAATCTTAATTTAAACATTGATATTGATTGATTATTGAATAATAATTGAATTTTATTTTAATTCTCTCTTTTTAAAAATTTCTCTCCAGTCTCGGAAAACTTGCAAGACCCTTACAGTAGAGTGAATCAATTTGCACTTTTTGCTCCTAGGTAGCTTTTGATCAATGCTGCCATGCATGTGCCAATCGGCGTTGACGTTGGATGAATAGAAAAGCTGCTTGTGCATTGTCAGTGAGAACCAGGAAGACAGCAGTCTCCACGGCTATTTTATTCCTCCGCTGGCCACTTTGGCTCCAGCACGCCTGGCTTTTATTGTGAACAGCAGCGGCTCTCTTGTGTTTTGGAGAAAAAAGTACTCTGTATGCTGAAGACGCCAACACAAAGAGCCGGTTTATTTTGACAGCACTGCAAAAAATTGAAATTTTCTACGCACTTATTAATCCGCAGAGAATGCGCACACAAATTAAAACCATATGTTTATAAATAATGGTCAAAATGTATAATAAATGCGGATCTTTGTATTTGCCCCCATAAAAAACGCAAGAACACCAAATTTGAATGCAACACAAAGTCTCCCCTTGACTTTTGAAAATACGAAGAATATTTGCAGTCAAATTATTTTACATTTATTGGCAGTTAATTTTAATTAATATCAACTGGATAGCAATTGGTGTCAAATGCAGGAAGTCTATATTGGATATGGAGTCCATTTTTTACTATAAATGTTTATGTTTCATAGCAAAAAGACTTGAGTAGAACTTAACAAAATCAGAACTTTCTAAAGAGGTTTCAAATCTTAAAATAATAGTTATACCGATACAAAATTTTCAAGGTTCCACTATGCAATAAAAAGATTGATGAGAACATTAATTTTGTGTCAAGTTGGATCAAAATTTTAAAACATTTAATTCAATTCTAATTAATAATAATACAATTTTTCATGCATAAAAAAACTTTTTCCCTTTACTTCATGAAACTAAAATACATGATAATGAATCGTTTGAAAAATTCCATAACGAAACATCAGTTCCTTAATTAATCTCATTTATGCATCTTATTGGAAATATTGGCACACAAACTTTTGCTAATTGAAAAAAAGCATAATTTAAATGAATTGGGCTGTTTGTAAGCTTAATCCCATACCATGACATATTTTATACAGTTTAAAATAATTTAATTACTAGATCCTTTTTTAACCATTTCCCTTATTTGATATAGTATTTTCATCCAATTCATAATTAATTCTTATTTATTTGTAATATGATCTTAATATATTGAAATTTTTTAATTTGCAATGAGAGTAGAGAAATAACTAAAAAATAACTTATGTGCTTGAATTTGGCACGTGTCATTTTTTTCATTTTCTTTTAATTAACCAATCTTCAATTTGTCCTATTTTATTTATTCATGTACGTTAAAAAATATCAATATAAAAATACAATAAACTAAATTTAAAATTTAAATTAAATTAATTGTAAATTTCTGACAATTCAGTTGATTTATAGTCTTATTTATAGAGCGTCTCTATGGTTTGACTTTGAACTTGGCAATAAAAATGGTGAGTATATAATATTTTTAGCGAATGCCATAAGTAGCGCTTTATATTGTCGTCGCGGCTGTTTGTTGTGTGTGCGCTTGCATACATTAAATGCATGTAAGCAGTGTGCATGTGTGTACTAACGTATGGCATGAACTTGACAAGTAGTCGTGGCAAAAAGCTACTCAGTCAGAGGCGTGAATGAGCAGCGCGCGAGGTAAGCTCACGAATCGCTCAGTAGGGTAAAAGGTGAACGCTCGCGTTTGTTCGCTCAAGTTCTTCTCTCGCGCGCTCCTCTCCGCCGACCGACCGACTCCTTTTATTTCACATGCTTTTTTCCAACTTTACCTGCAGCCGATCCAGCACCCGTCCAAAATTCGATCCTGCATCGCTTGCTGTGCCTTTTTTTTAGATCGACAAAAACGTACGACGGAATCTGGGCCATAGGTCAACAAACTTGCGAAAAGCAGTGGCCGGGGAGAATAAACAATAAAGCGACACACACACATGCGGACATGATACGCTCGTTTCTGCCCACATTATTCATGCCTTTTTTTCGGGAGAGCGTTTTCTCTCAAATGTGTGTATGTATTTCTCTGATTTATGATGGCATCGGCAAAAAATATAACACATAGTTTCACCTTTGTAATACATGGAAGTTATTTTTGGTTAAACATTTTATTGAATCAAATGTTTCCCCCATACCATTCATAAAAGTAATAAAACTATCTTTTTTATCTTTCCTCGTCAAAAATCTGTGTTAAGAGTCAAATAATTATCTATTGTCTCGCTTGGAGCTTGGAGACAAAATGGTCAATGTAATCTATAGATGATTGAGATATTCTATAAACATTTAATAGTTAGGAGCAAAATCACCCGGCAGAATAAATATTATATTAATTCGTCTCTAAAAGATTAAAAAAATGGCATGTTATAATTGTATGGGCCGAAAAAACTTAATCAAGTTTAAAGCTGTGGAACCTTGGGAATTACAATTTAAAATTTTAATAAAAAGACAAAAATTAACAATTTTGTTTTAATTGCCTTCTTTGTGAATCATGTGACATTATTTTAAGGGAATTATCGTCACGATAGTTCAACTAGAAAATGTTGGGCTAATTATATTTAAAAAAAAACACGTTACATTGCTCACTTGTAAAAAGTTTTATTTGTATAAACAAAATGTGAATTAGAATTTGGGCTCAAGCTCACAATCAGTAATTAATTACATTATTCAATCTCCTGAGCTAATATTTTTTGTTAATTTTATTTCTTTCGATACAATTTGTGCTTTTGAATGCATGGAAGATGAATTTTGGCAGAGAAATGTGTCTTGTGGTTAAAAACGGTTAAAACATTAAAAAATTTCCTTGAATATTTTTTTTATTAAAAAAAGGAATTTTGGTGAAATTTTATTAATGGGGAAATAGTCACAAATTTTGTTCACTGATCTAAAAAAATGAAATAGAGCGCACAGCGTCAACTTCTTTGAATCTGAATATGAATGACCACCAAATTTGAGTTCAAAATGTGCATTTTATGCGAGCTTAGTTAAATGTTGTTTATATTACGGATTATAAGTGTTTGATTACTAAAATATTTAAATTTATTTTATGCTGATTGACGCTAATATAAGTTTAATTATCTCAATTAAATTCTACAAGAAGAGGAAGCTCATGAATGGAGGCATAGACAAGGCCAAGAAGGGGCATTGCTCACATTTTTTGCTGTGCAATATAATAATAAATAACGTCACACGTGATCAAGAACAATCACTTTGGACAACTGCAGACTTTCCAGTTTAATCGAGGAAAATCCTGATTCTCTATTTCTCAATTAATTACATTCTCTTTACATAAATTTAATAAAAAAAATCAGATTTATTGTTAGTGTTGTTGTGAAAGTTGATTATTTTTTAATTGCATTATTACTAACCAATTTCTTTTTTAATTTCCCAAAATTTGAGTTTTGAAAACTGACGCGGAAGGTCATGTGTGTCCTTTTAGGGTGTTGCCAAGTTCAATTTTTACCTGGCCATCCCCACCATCGATTCTGGTGTTCTCTCCCTCGATCCTTCATGAGGAAGGAGGAAGCAACAATTTGTTCAGTGAGCAGCTGAGAGAGACCGAACTATAGAGTGCGGCCGCCCCTCCCTTCGCCTCTCTTTCCACTCTTTCCAGCACTGCTCTCTTTCTCCTCACTTACAATTAGGCCGGTTAAATGAACTATTGCCTGCTTACACCGCGCCACTCCGTTCCGTGACTCGCTCCAGGTTGCACCTATAACCTGCCTGATCTCCACACTCACACCTCTCGCTGTCCTGTCCAACTTCTCTCTCATCACCATGGACATCCTCACTCTGGACCCCACCGGCCTTTACTGAAGACCTCCGTCCGACCTTCAGCAATCCTCCTCCGACCGAGAGAGAAAAAAACTGAATTAAATTTTAATCCGCGAGAAAGACAGAAAGAAACGAGAGCAAGATGCAAATGCTGATCCTGGACCCGACGGGCCTTTACTAGGGAGCCGGCCCGACCCTGACCGCGCGAGATGCGGCAGCGACACCTCAGACTCTGCAAAAAGGTCAAGACGAGATGGAAGTCCAACACAAAGGCGCGGCTCGCCCTTGCTGTGATAGCCAGCGGACGCACGGACCACTCGCACCCTGTGCCATCCCCTCATCTACACCTTCTATCTAACAGGTCAGTAAACCAAAATTATACAAATTTTTATGCTAGCAACATTTTCACGTTCAGACCAAATGTGAGATTTCAAACTAAAAACTTGAAAGTATTTTGGGGGTTGTTTTCAATTATTTTTGATTCCGAAAATTATTATCGTCCGATCAAACCAAGTCGGCAGTCGCAGCAAGCGAGCTGGAAATAATGGTGCACTCTGTATGTTATGTGTACCATAAGGTTGTTCACCCAAAGCTCGCGAGTGTTTGTTTGTTAGCTTGTTTGACACTCTGCATTGCTGACTGAGACGGCGCGAGAATTGTACATCTTGCATTGACAGCAGCCGGTGTCAACTTTTTAGGCACCGAAATTGAATTTTCATAGAAATTAATCAATAAATTTGAATTTTTTTCGTTCTCTAAACTTGAGTTCACCATAAACATAAATTTGAATTAAATTAAAAATTATAAAAAATACCAGTTTAAATAGATAAATTTCGCGAGAATTCTAGTTTAAAATAATATTACAAGAAAATATAATTTTATTGAAAATTTCAGCCAATCGCTAACTTCTAATTTGTCATTTTGATTCAAGTTCTTTTATTAATATTTTATCCATTTTGCAAGTTTATGGTCGCTGTCCTGCTGTTACAGCAGTATAAGTTATAATAAGAAAGCTAAAAGCCAATGGCCCCATCCATCCTCCCATTGCGCCGCGTTTGCGTTTTTTGATTGGATTCGTCTGCCGAGCGAAGAGCTCCGAGTTCACCTTTCACTCTCGCTGGCGCAATTAATTAATAATATCGCGCGCCGTCCGCCTCTTTGTGTTAGTTTCTATCGCACGCAAACTATTATTTTTCGCTACACCTCGGGCATATATCATTCGAAAAACGAAGCGATGCAGTTTTTTAATATCTTTAAAAAAAAGCAATAAAATATTCGGAAACACGCAGCTCATTTCTCAAAATAGTTATGCGTCTGTTATTAAAAGTATTAAAAACACAGGAAGGACGCCTTTTGTGTGATTTTCAGCTGCTGCCTAAACTGCCTGCCTAATTTACGTGCCAGCAACCCAATTCTCGGGGTCATTGCCACGCAAGCAGCGAGCGAGCTGAATACATTAACTACTACAACATTCGGCCTTTAATTTTGATTAAGATAAAGCCCAAAATTAATTTAAATTCAGCATATTGAACTTTATAAAAATAATTTATACTTTTTTCAATTACAATCATGAGATCAAATTTGCCAAATTTAAATTAAATCAAAAATTTAAGTTCTTAAAATTACAAATTATGCTGTATTACTTTATAACTATTGCAAGTCGAAAGTATTTAAAATTAATATTTCAATTCAAATTTCTTATATTTTGCCTATAGCAATAAAATAGATTGATATTGAACTACGCGATCCGTGCCCTTCCTCTTGAAAAATTATCGCGAGAATTTGCTCGTAGCAAATATGCATGCACTCGTGTGCATGTTCACGGGTGGCTGGGTTCAGCTGACGAGCGAGAGCGAAGAACCTTGGCTGGCTCGTGTTACGCTGAGCCTCTCAAACCACGTGTAGTTTGAAGACGGTCGGTTGAGATCAGCTGATTCGGTTGACGGCCACCGACTGTGAAGTCGTAATTGACTCGAGCTAATGTGTTTCTCAGATGGTATCTTCCTCGCAGAGAGAGTAATAATTGTATAATACCCCACAATAATAACAACAACAATCCATCCATCAATCTGGAATTTGCAAAAATTAAAGTTTAAAAAGGGAAATTTTTGTAAATTTACTTTTACATCAAATCTTTTATTTAAAAAAAGTGAGGGTTTGACAAAAATTAATTTGGATCACTCAAGTTTTTGCACTCTGTGGTCAGTGGCTCTGCCGATTATAAACTGAGTGAGGCGCGAAGCTTGAATAAAACGCAGACGACCATTGACCTCAGTCAGTTCTGTCGTCATCAATGTGATCTGTTCTGCTCTTGATCTCACTTCACTGTTCCCTCTCTTTATTATTCTGCGCACAAGTGCGCTTATATATTAGCAATCTGGAAAAAGACGCGCGGTGTGTATACACTTGGCGGGCAGATTGAAAAGCCCTGTGTCAAATATGGACGGAGCCTAATGCCGTCCGTGACTGCTTGCATGTCGATCGTGAGCATTTCTGGTGCTCACGTTTCTATATATCCTCTCCACGGCAAAAGGCCACGGCGTGAAAAATAATGTGTTTATATGCACCTGCTAAACAGGCACGTCATCATTGAACTTTGTTCAATTAAACTTGATTGGTTGCAATTCAAATGGTTTTTATTCAAAATATTCTTTTGAACTGAAAAAGGTCACTGCATTTAATGAATACAACCAAATTTAAAAAATCTATTAAATTTTCTATTTAAAAAGTTAATTATTTTTATTGGAAATCTTAAAGATTTTTTAATTTCAAAGTAAGAAAAAAATATAATTTTTTACACAGAAATAAATAAGTTTCTTGATCAAATTAAATGAAGTTTTATTAGTCTTTTAAATAAGCAATTGATTTAATTTATTTGAACTTTAATAATTGAGGATTTAATTTCAATCCTGGAATTATATTGAACATCTCACAGCTCCTTCTTTCTGCCAACGTAGCAGCCGTTTTGCAAAGTCAAGTTTCGAGAGCCACGCCCGTGAAATAAACATAAAAAGCGGCAGCTGATATGCGCGAATCTTGCACTCTCTCTGTCGGAGGCGCAGAAGCGAAAAGAGCCGAGCGAAACTCTGCCCGTCCTTGCCAGACGTAAACGAGCCAAGTGCAAAAGTGCATAATACACCCATACAAGTGTCAAATATTCAGCCCGACCGGCGGCGGTTGCCATAACTGGGTCATTACAAACTGCTGCTGGACTATATAGGCTACTTTCACAAAGATCAGATCGGGTGTCTCTCGAAATTTCGCGATTATAATAGAATATTACAAAACAATTACTAAATTCTCAAGTTTATAAAGAAGAAAATTATAATAAGGAATTTTTCTTCGTTATTTTTTTTATGGATTATTTTGCAAGAGAGGCAGGTAGACAAAACATGACTGGAAAACACAACGCGGGGAGAACATAAACATTAATATTTGACGAGGAATTCGCTGGGCCGGACATTCTACCAGTACAAACCTCTCCATGGCCGCGTCCTAAATTTGGCTCAAATATTTTTGCCCCGAGGGTGCTTTTGCCACCTCTTATATGAATTTATTATCAATGCGCTCGTTTTTCCATTCACAATTTTAAATTAATTCCAGCCGCAAAAATAAAAAGTGAAGATTGAGATTTGATTCCGAGAGCACTTCCTCTGCTAAAATATAATCAGATGTGAGCGTCGCGACAAGACGTGGCCCCGCGCAATTGTTCACTCTCTCAAATAATTGATAAATAATAATTGCGTGGGGTTTTTCTTTGAGAATAACAAGCAAGTGGAAGCGACCAACATCCTGCGGCACCCACACGCATTTTTTTCGGTTGCGCCGGCTAAAAATTTCGCAATCGGCCAAACGGCGAGTGAATGAAATGAGCGCCAACTTCCGGCGGCCGAAATCAAAATTCATCTTCCTTTTAGAGGAAGGCACGTCAGGCGGCATGTTATTTCCCCATTACTGATATCAGTCGCTTTGTGCGTGCGTCCATTAACAAAAATCAATAATTTAATCAAGCCGTAAAAAAATTATTTAAACTTGTCATAATTCATTACTTAATTAATTTAAAAAATTGCATAATATATTTATTTGATAATTTTTATAAGAAATTTATTAAATTAAACTATATCCAGGTCGTACGATTTTCCAGAGAAAAAGGTAGAGCGACATACCTTTGAAAAGCTGTTTGACTTGGATAAAATGCCTGACCTATATTAATAAAAATAATGTAGGCTACACTTGTAATACTCTGAATTTAATTGATTCTCTTTCATGAAAATGCAGAAATTGACAGCTGTATTCAAATTATCTAAATTAAGAGCCAATATTAATAAATTTCAAATTTTATGATGCCATCACAGGTTGTTTATTTACACAAAAAATTACAATGCCGCAAGAGAAGGCCCTGTTTTTGTTGCCTCTCTTAGCAAGGTGTGGGTTTTTTTGTGCTTAGAGGGTGCTATAAAAATGCAAAGCTCCCTGTATTACACGCGGACGAAACTGTTAGAAAAACAAGGGACCCTCACGGCCTTGTAGGCAGACCTAATTTCACAATGTCAAGGTGGCAGAAATGATCAAAGGATGCGACGCCATAAATCATTTTAAATTCTTCTATCGTTGAACTAAAATAAAAAAAGCAGCTACTTCATAATTTTTCTGTGAACTATTATTAAAAAAAAATTTTTTTATAGGTTTTGAATTAATTATTTATTTATTTGCAATTATAAAATTCAAACAAAATTTATCTATATTAATTTTTGCAAATTTTAAAGAATAAGTTGCTTTTTTATTTTTTGTGCAAATCGTGAACTTTTATTTTGTCGTCGGTGTAATTTTTTTATGTGGCGCGCATGCCTCTTTAGCTGCACGTGTGCACTTTGCGCATCGCCTGTTGAATAAGGGCTACAAGGATGCACTTTTCGTGCATACCGACGAGACAATCAGTGGTACTAAAAGCGAACCCAGACGCCTGCCAAGGCTATCGAGTTGGGTGTAGCATTCCTCCTCTATTTAGCGCCTTCTGCTCTCTCTCCCTCGCATTATGCACACTCCTCGTTGCTTTTTCAACTTCATTCAAATCAGTCAGCTGCGATTCGCATCGCACCACGTGTGCGCAGCAAAAGGAAATCTGCTGGCCGAGAGCGAGATGCATTAATTACATTTACGGGTTGACGTCATAGCAGCTGATTCCGAGAGCAAAAGAGAAATACACGTAATAAAAAGCAAAATAATGCACTTTCTCCAGGAATTACCAAAGTGCTGACTAATATTCTTCTAGATTGCCAATTTCGAAAGTTTAAAAAAAAATCAAGCAAAATATAATCGTCCTTTAAATAAATTTGATAATTTTTTCAAATTAAAAATAAAACTTTCCGGATTTATCCACATTTAAATCAAGTTCTGCCGTGTTTATTTGTTTGAAACAAGGCAATTAATAATTTCTGACGCTTTTAATCTCGCCGAAAGCGTTTCCTTGATGTGTACACTGAATTAGCTCAGGTGCCTTTCATTAATAATTAATCGTCAAAGTGATTATTGTAAACCCATGCATTGTACACAAGCCCTCTGGCAGCGGTGAAAGCTGCAAATTTTTATATCATTAGAGAAGATCCATCGTTGAATGCAGTCGCCTTCGGTGCCGCACATGCACGTACGTAATGAGAGGAAAATTAATAAACGACCTCCGTACCGATTATCGAATCGATATTCAAGGCCGAATTCCTCCGAGCACACGCCCAGTTTTTATTCTTTTGCTGAAATCTCACTTTGGTCTGCGCTTGTGTAATCGAACTATTTATGATTACGCTTAATTATTCTATAATTAATATTTTCTTTGTTTGTTTCAGATATCAGTGCGAAAAGGACATTGTTCTGATGACTGCATAGCAAAGTCGACGCGCCTACATTGCCACAAAATTCCTTGTTCACGCCGCGATCAAAATTTCGGAGAAGACACCAGCGTCCATTCCTCTCAAAATAAAAATCAATTTTTACGGTCAAATTTGAGAAGAACCAATCCAACTTTAATAGCTATTAAAATAAAAAGAGTTAATTTATGAGACAGATTTAAGATTTATATATCATGAGCTTCTTCCGAAAGAGGAAATTCGTATGTTAGTAAGTTACCAACTGTTGCAAAAATCTGATGTAAACAAAAAAAAATTATATGTACGCCACTCCAATCAGAGACATGTATTAAAAAAGAAATGAATTACAAAATCATTTCAGGGTAGAGTTCACTTATTGTATGTAATAAAAATTCAATGTATGACAGGATGATAGCTGAAAAGCAGAACTTTTCCAACGGGGACAAACAGAAAATCGCAATCTTCATTACGAAAATGGAATGTTTTGTGTCAAATTCAAATTTTGAGTTACAAATTAATTTATTTAGAATGAGTAAAACGAGCACCATGTCTGGTTATTGTCGATCAAAATCACACAAAAATAATTTCTGTATATTTTGGCATAATAACTCCTGGTTCCAATTTTACTCTGACAAAAATTGTAATTGTAAGATGAAAGGCCGTAGAATTAAATTGAACAGACCTTAATTTATTTTTTAATAAAATAGAAATACACCGCAAGCCTACTTGTTTAATTTAAATTTATTTGTATTACCCTCTTCTGCTGTCTGCATAAACAGCTTAATGACTTTTCAAGCAATAGTAATTAGTAATAATAAATAAAACTTTTTGAATTTTTTTATCATAGTTATTATTGAGAAATAAACATAACCAAAATAAAAAAATTAATTGCTTCAAAATTTAATAATTTAAAAAAAATAAAGTTGTATGAGTTATATGACATTTTATAACAATTTTAAATTTGATTAGTTTTTTATTTAGTAACACAAGCCAATTGTGAAAGTTGAAAAAATGACATAGAAAAAAGTTTAAAATAAGTAAAAACCCAACAATTGATATCAGCTTTACATAAAATTATGACTTTTTCAAAACAAAAAGTATTTTTTTACTAATGTAAACAAAAAGTATTATTTTAATCAAATATAAATTTTGATTTACAATATCTTTTTTGAACATCAAAACTTTAACAACCTAATCTAACGAATTTCAACTTTATGCCAACTTTTTTTGTGCTTCTCTTATGGAAATTAAATTTTTAAGTTAACTTTAAGATCCAATAATTTAAGAATTTTGCTGATATCATTTTTATTTCAAAATTTGAGTGATATGAGAACGCCAATTATATATAATTATAAGCAAACTCTAATCAAGAATGAGGATGGAAATTAATGTTATTTAGTATTTCATTTTTGACGTTTCACCCCTTGATATTATTTTCAATTTTAGAAACCCCCAAAAAAATCCTTGAAAAAACGCCTGGCTTGATTTTGTGGGAGCCAATCTTGGCTGATGTTGCGCCTCCCATATTAATAAAATAAAATACAAAAACGTCTCTCACAAGAGGGGTGGAAATGTTAATCGAAGGGTAAAATGAATCCCGAAGGAATCAAGTAAACCATGTGTGCTGCTTTAGATAAAAATCTGTCCGGCTGTTAATGGTCTCGCTGTATAATAACGGTTTGGTAAAGAAAAAAAAACTAGCAACAACCCCTAACTGATATTTAGGCGCAACCCTTTATATTTGTCCTGCGATTCTCTCCGGTGTGTTGGCAGGAAGGGAATCAAATTATAGCCTGCTTTATTGGTATTCTTCCCACTGGCTTGTCTGTTCGCTCGGAAATTTAATGATGCCGCAACACGGTGGGAGACGAGGGTTGAAAAAGGGTTGTCAGGTGTCTCCTGGCGGCGCGGTGGATAAAGGGGGTCCACGCAGCTTCTCACACAGAGCCGCGGCTCACTTCCTTCTTCTCAGCAAGGTCGGCGGGTCAAACCCGCACCTCGCCTGGGTCGACGAACTCTTCCACGTTCGTGCAGTCAAATCAGATTCAGGGACAGGACGAGGCAGATAATTTACGAATTTGGAGGACGGGCTCAATTTTGAGTGTCTGTAATATATGCATGTTGATGTTGAGCAACGAAATAATAGAAGAGCATAGGGGAATAAATAGAGAGATTAGAATAAAAAACTGTGGGTCGAAATGTTAGATAAAAATTAATAGCTGTCAACTAATAGGATTGGAAACAATCCCGGCTATTTTATGCTTTTGCGTTTTCATAAAAGATTATCAAGATTTATTATTTTTTATGTAAACTTTGTTTAAATATAGATATCAAATTTTTGATAACTTTATAGTTTTCGTTGATTTATACTATTTTTTTCTGATTTTTTTAAAATAATGCCTCTAATATTGGAGGTAATTTATTAAAATTTAAATACGTGGAAATGCTACAGGAAAAACTTCAGATAAAATCTGGCTTTCATTGTAAGATATTTAATAATTTTTAATACAAAATCTTAAAGAGTTTCTTAAATACATTCTAATACATTCAATCCAATTTTTCTCTGAAATTTTTATACGGTCAAATCAAAAGTTATTTGCATTATAGCAATATGAAGAATGTAAAAGAACCTGTGTAATCATTGTTATTGGATCAAGCAATGGTTTATAATCATTTTTTTGGCCCAACATTAATTTATTTTGTAAGAATTTTTCGTTGTACAATAATCTTTAAAAAAAATTATTAACAAGAATTTCAGCGCTCTGTGCTTTCCTTCATGTAAATTCAAATATTAATTCTGACGTTCCAGTAAAAGTAATTAAAAAATTAAATTATTTTAGTTAAGTTTGTCACGGTTTTAAAATTTGGTTTATTGCATTTTTTCCCAGAAGCTTAGTACAAGATTAAAATGTGCGACGAGTCTGACTGGGGTCGTGAACGCAAAACTTTGTTATTTATTTATTTTTGGTTGCGGGTATATAATATTAAGTTTTAGGAAAAACGTCTCCTACCCCGGACTTGTCGCACATTGTCCGGTTCATTAGCATGGCAGGTGTCGAGTGGCTAGATCGTGACGAGTCCGCGAGCCAACGAAAAAAGTGAAAACGCAGACAAATCCACACAATACCTGAGAAATTCAAAAACAATGGACAAAGGTGGCGAGAATATTTATATTTTCGTAAGCGAGTGAAATATTGAATTGTTTATACAAAATATGCATAATTAGGAAGTTCGACGTGCAAATCATTTTTTATAAAAAATGTTCCTAGCGGCGCGTGTTTGATACTTTGTGTTCAAAAATCTTTATAGGATTTCGTGCTGCGGATTCAGTGACCACGCAAAATTATGAGATTCGAAAATGCGATTAAATTGCCAATAATGAGATGACGCTTTCCATCAAAAAAAAAATAATTTCTTCAAAGAAAGTAGACTTACCTTATGCAGCTGAAGCAAAGCTGAAGTTCACAATTTCATTCTGGCAGGCTTTTCCAGTTCCTCAGGCGCACTTCAACAGTTTATCTTAAAAAAAAATTGCACACTGAACTTTCACACGTGTGACCACCAAAAATCGTAAACAAAAACTAACAACCGCGCCCACGTGCGTCTTTCCCACCCTATTTGCCATCGAAAAAGGTCGCGCTTGAATAATGCACGTGGCGCCACGTGCGAATAATGTTGATTAATTTGTACTATTTTAATGTGTACAAACAAAAACTGTATTTTAAGTTAATTTGAATAATTTGTAGAATGGCAAAGATGACAATTTATTTGGGCATAATTTAATTTTTAATTTTCAAGTCTAACAATGAGTGAAAAATAATTTAACAGAAGATGATTTCCTTTAGAGTCATATGAATTGAGACAAAATTTTGGTAAATTTTGATATTTGTGCAGAAAAAATACGCTTAATTCATCAACGGTTTGTGATTTTTTTTTAATGGTGTAAAAATATTTAAAATAATGATTTGTCAAGAATACAAAGACGTAAAAATGATCATAATTTAAGATCCATAAAGTCTTGAAAGAATTTAAAAACTAAACTAATTGAAAATTAGCGTTGATTATAAAAAGCATGTAATTAGAACATGAAATAAAACAAAATTTTACAGAAATTTTCTAGTATTTTAGAATTGTTGATGTTATTCCGAGATAATAAAATAATTTAATCAAAATAGATACCGAGCTGAAGACATTTATAAAATATAAAAAGCTCAAGATGCTCGGAAATAATTATGTAACTAGTATTAGGGAAGAGAGCATGACAACAGAGCCAGCAGAGTAAAATTGGGCCTTGTTCATATGTCATGTCGCGATGCGGCGAGTCAAATTATATTGAGCCTATGATCTTCTTTCTCTCTGTGATGTTGTGCCGGATCAAATTGCTCTTAACCTTTTGTGAGGCGTCAATTTGATCGGATTTTTTTCTTCCTACCAATAATAATTCTTTTCCTGACCTTTGCTCGCTCATTGCTTGTTAGGGTGTGGTTTTTTTATACGTGTTGTAGTTGAATGACCCTCAAGATGAGCAAGAGAGCTTCTAGCTCCTTGTTATATAAATCGATGATAACAAGGATCTTTTCCCATTAATATGAAACAACATTGAGAAGGCAACAAGGTAAAAAATACATAATATAAAAAACATGCTGAACAGATGCCGCGTAGCAGATTAAATTAAAAAAAACTTCTATAGATTAGATCTTCTTTCTAGCGTATATTGCCGCCCTCAAGCTAAAAATATATAATTGTGCAGCTTCAAATTATTAAACGTGTGTTGGTGGGAAGAAATTAATTGCAAATTAGTAAGTCATTTTGATACAATTAAATATTTTAAATTTGGAATTTTCAATATTCCATTATATCTTATCAATATTTTAATTTTCTTTTCATTTAAAACGCCAACATGCAACTTTTAACACAAGCGATTCCATTTTTCTCTAGTTCCCATTCCACGCGGTCTGCCGAGGGGTTGAATTTTTATTTATTATAAACGCGCGTATTATCATCATTTTTTATTGCCCGCCAGGTATACATAAAGCAACCAGGGGGTGGATGTTTTATAAATTTAAGGTGCGGCCAGGGAGCGGTGGCAGGTAGGGGGATGAAAAGACCTTTTGCAGCAGCAGGTGGACGATCCCCCGGGAATTTATTTTGATCCAGCGACTCTGGATATCTGTGCGTACGAAAGCTGAATCACGCCGCGAGGGTATTTGAGCAGCCGACAGCTAGGGGTTGATTTTTTATATCGTCTCCCACAATCAGATCAGGTTGCTCCTTTTTTGTCCTGAGAGAGAGAGAGAAAGATGGGCAGATCGTTTTTTATATTCATTTATAAAAAAGAGGGCTTGGAATGAGGAAGAAATAACCTACCTCGGCTCTGCTTTTTTAGCCTGAGCAGAGAAACATGCTGGCCATGCATGACGAAAATACTTTAAATAAAAAAAACTCAAAAAAGAAAAACCTTGCATACTTAAATAAGTAACATTTATTCAATGCTTTTGTGAAAGAGATTTATAACTGAAAGAAAAATAGTGTAAAGATAATTAAACATTTGTAATATTAATTAAACTCGAAGCTTGCATATATTTGCTCGTTAGCAGAAATGGTTTGTTATAAAAAAAAAACACATATAGTAAAATTAGTAGTCTTAAAAAAATAATAATAATAAATAATTGCCATCGTTTTAAGTTATTTTGAAAACATAATTATAAATAACTATCAAAAATTTAAAACAAATATGAAGATAAATTTTTATAATTCTTGCAATTTTTGTTGTAAAATGGGAAAATATCTGATCTAAATAATTTTTATTTTGATTATTCTTTCATAAATTTATTAAATCAGATATTAATTAATTAGTTTTCCAATGCCCTTATTTGGGTGGATAGATTCAAGCATGAATTTTGGCTGGCAAAGACGCTTTTTTGCACGCTGGCGGTCCTAAACTGCGCAAATAAAATACAATCCGGCGATTCCGATAACAATAGCGGCGTGAGTCCGGCGCTCGGCGAGCACGCGTCGCGCTCATTTTTTCTTCTTCGTTCTTCCCCCATGGAAGGCAAAGTCAACCTGTTGGCTTCTTTGTTTCGCTGTGTGCGCGGCGTTGACTTATATAGACAAAATCAAAGGAGACCTTAATAACTTTTGCCTTCCTTTAATGGGGGGACGACTGCAAAATCGGCCGCTATTGTACAAAATTTTTTTCCTGGCTCCCCCGTTTCCCAACGCTGTGTCCTTTCGCGTGCGCCAGCAACCCAACTTCATTCCTCGGCGCGCTCCTCAAATAAATAATTTCGCCTGCTGTCAAGAGGCAAATTTCTCGTTGGACCTCTCTGCCTTTTAAGGGTGTCCTTCGTTTCGTTGTTCCACCTTTTTTGCCGAGACGTGTGCACGTGGATGGCGTAGTTTGCGTGTACATCGGGGCGTATGTACAAAAATTGTCGGTCACTGGAGAATGGTGCCAAAAGTACTGCTGAAATTTTGTCTGCTGTTTATTAAGTGAATAATTTTTGAATTGATTGATCTGCAGAAAAATTGAGGGTTCAAAGGAGATTTATTTGAGTAGTTGTAAGACTTTTGTGAAAAGCAGTATAAACAAAAATTTTAATTGAATTAATAAAAATGCTAATAGTTTAAAAATGAGGCAAAATAACTATTTAAGTATTCAGTAATCAATTTTACAATATTTTATTTATTAAAAACGTAATTTAAAAAAAAAAAACATTTTTAGGCTCAAATTGAAGTCAAAATAATCTCTACATAAAATAGATTTAAAACAAAGTGTCTTTTCAGAGCAACTCCTTTTTTTCCAATTTCGTTTGAAGTAAATTTCGGGCCACTGTGATTTTTCTTATAAACTTCACTTACAACATAATATTGAAAAATTTTTTTAAACTATTCAAGTGTTTCAATTTTCTTTGGTTGAATAAAATTTTTGACCATTGTTATTCAATCTAAGTGTTATTATTTCAACAAAGAATTGCAGAATAAGCAATAAGCAACAACTAAATATTGTACAATAGATGTCGAAGGATTTGTGGATTTGAGGTTCGCCCTATGACGTATTATTTGACCCACTTGACTTAGCGGTGGTCGGCGCGAGGGGTCTCTCGCTCTGCGCGCCCCAAATTAGACCCTGTTGCTTTAGCGCTGCTCTCTTCGTCTCGTCCACTCGATCTGATCCGACCGAGCGAACGACCTTGTGTGTTTGTCCTGCGTGACACCTGACCATGTGGAGCACCTTCCTAGAAGTATCCAAAAACAGCCCCTTCACGGGTCCTGTGCAAACTGCGAAATGCGAGCCCGCAGAAATGAAGACCCTCGTTCCAGGACGGACAATCGCCGCCGCTGCTATCGCAGGTATTTATAATTTCATAAAGCACTTTCCAGAATCCATCGTCATCCTTGTTGAAAATCATTCCAAATTAAAATAGCAAACAAGTAAGTATCTGTTTGTTCTTTTTAAATTCTTGGATACAAATGAGAAATTCTCTTTTAAAACTAATGAAATTTTGAATTGTTACAATTGTCAAATGTTACCTGACACTAAAATTAATTTATAAAAAATGAAACGACATTTCGGTTTTTCTTCATTTGCAAATAGTTCCACACGAGATTAGAATCCAGCCGACAGGATAACTATTTTAAGCACTTTTTTCTGACCTTCCTTGCGACCATTTTTCTTGGCAGGAGTCCCACAAAAAAGTGACGTGTGGCGGCGAACGCCACGCCGCGTGCTGATGTAACCAAAGCCACGCAACATTCAATTTAAAAATAATGCACCGACCTAATAATCCGGCGCTAATTGCAATGAACTTTGGCAATGCCATTGCATTATGAGAGCTAGTTGAACAAAAGTTTTAAATAAAATAAATTCTTGGGTTCAAATAAATAAAGATTATTATAGTTGCTCCCAAATGGTACCTCTCCATAAAAATCTATATATACTTTTATATCTTTTTCAATTTAACTATTGTAAAATTTGAAAATAATAAAAAAAAAATTATTCTGTTTTGCAGAAGGTGACAGCTGCGAGTTCGGCTCCTCAAAATACTTTGCCCTGTGCGGTTTGGGCGGTATTCTTTCCTGTGGTATCACACATACCGGCATTGTTCCTCTTGATCTGGTCAAGTGCCGTATCCAGGTCAACCCTGCCAAGTATCAGTCTGTCGTCCATGGTTTCAAGGTAAAAAAATAAAATAATCATGATTAAATTGCTGGTGTAAATCACAGCTTATGAAATGTAAAAATAATATATTGCGTCTTTTCTCATTTTTCTTTTTATTTCATTTCAATTTATTAATTCAGGTCACCCTTGCTGAGGATGGCACCCGAGGATTGGGCAAGGGATGGGCACCAACCTTCTTTGGATATTCCGCTCAGGTATGGAAATTTTTAAATTTCAAGAAACTCCTCAATTTTAATTTTTTGTATGTAAAATCTTCAGGGCTTGTGCAAATTTGGATTGTATGAGGTATTCAAAGTGTTTTATTCTGGCGTGATCGGCGAGGAAAACTCCTACCTCTACCGCACGTGGCTCTACTTGGCCGCGTCTGCCAGCGCTGAATTTTTCGCCGACATTGCTCTCAGCCCGATGGAGGCGGCGAAGGTTGGAGAAAATTATTTCCAAGTTTATGCTTTTAAATAAAAAATTCCGTTCTAGGTTAAAATCCAAACAACTCCCGGATTTGTCGGAACTCTGCGCGAGGCCCTTCCTTTGATGTACAAGAACGAGGGTATGGGCGCCTTCTACAAGGGTTTGGTGCCCTTGTGGATGCGACAGATCCCTTACACAATGATGAAGTTCGCCTGCTTCGAGCGCACCGTCGAACTCATTTACAAGTGCGTCACCAATTTAAAATGAAATAAATATAATTTTAAAATAATTTTGATATTTCTGCAGGTTTGTCGTGCCAAAGCCCAGAGCCGAATGCACAAAGGGAGAGCAGCTTGTGGTCACATTCGCAGCTGGCTACATTGCAGGTGTCTTCTGTGCGATCGTGTCTCACCCCGCCGACACTGTCGTTTCCAAACTGAACCAGGAGAAGGGCTCGTCTGCCATTGATGTGGCCAAGAAACTTGGAATGATGGGTAAGAACAAAAAATTTCCCAGAAAAATACATTTTATTTAAGATAGAAAATTAATAAGGGAAATTTATTGTTTCCAATTATTCCTATTTGAATCAAAACTATATTTTTTTAATGAAACGATTTTTATATTTTCGCAGGTCTCTGGAAGGGATTGGCGCCTAGGATTGTGATGATCGGTACCCTGACTGCCGCCCAATGGTTCATCTACGACGCTGTCAAGGTCTGGCTGCGAATGCCCCGTCCTCCCCCACCTGAGATGCCCGAGTCCCTGAAGAAGAAGCTGGCCGCCGCACAGGCTTCCTAAACAAGCACAAACTCCAAATTTTTGGAAATCACACCGAGTTAGGCTGGCTCTGATCTGTCCTCTAGAAGGGCCATTCCAGCATCCTGCCAAGCAGTTCTCACTAGTCGTAGCCACCCTAGCGGTCAGGCTCAATCGTCACGCGAAAATGTTAGGTCGAAATAAATTTAATTTGCGTTGGATCAGAAAAAAAAATTACGACTCTATTTAATTTTACAAAATACTGCAAAAAATTACTCGCATATAAAATTAAAGTTTGTATTGCAAGAAGTGTCAAGCAGGCCGCTATAGCCTCTCTGTGTCGCCGTGTCAATATTCAGAGCGACAATGATGCAATTTTCAGGTGGCAGGTACTTATCAGGTTGACCCGTGTACCAGGCGGTGTCCGAAAATTTTGTGTTCGTGCCGCACCACGTGTATTTGTAGGGGCAATTTTCGTCCGTGCCTGAAGTCAAGTAGAACTGGCTGGAATTCAAATTGGCATCGGCTAAAATTTAAAAAACAAAAAATGGTTCCCATTTTAGTATTAGAAAAATACTCACCCTTATTTAAATTTGAGAGACAGGTCAGTTCTGCATTTGTCTCTATGCTAACTAGCTTCATTCCAAGGACGCAGCAAATCAGGGCTGCATCAGTTTTTATTCTCTATTTTTTTTTTTTTAATTATTTTTATAGAATTTTTTATATAAGTAATATGCATACTTGAAGGGTACTGAAGAAATAGCGCCGGCCACACGCATACTTCACATAGCCAATGGAACTTGGAATTGCTATAAAAAGTAAAATAAGTCAAAAAAGTTTAAAAATTCTCAATAATTACGTTTCAAGCTTCCATCGGCATTAACATAATTCGTCTGGAAAATTTATTTATTTATTTTTGATTTTTAATTTTTTTCTTTACATTCTTACATCTATATTGCAAGAAGGAATCGAGCAAAGAGGACTTTGACACGCTGTTGTGGTTGTTGGAGCGGTAGTCGTGGACGTTGAGGTTGTTGTTACTGCGTTCTTTAGGAGAAGCGCTGGGTCACCCTGTAATTTTTTACCGTTGTTTATTAATTTTCCGAAACAAATTATGCACAGAACCTCGCAAATGTAGTAATAAAAGTTGTTGCAAGGCACATCTGAAAAGGTGCTAGTTGTCCAGGCACCGGTGTTCAAATTCCATTGGACGCATTCCTCAATTCCAAACTGGTTGTCCGGCTGCCCAAAACCCCAGGTGATGGACGTGTTTGTGAAAGTCTGTCTGGCTCCAGTGCACCACTGGAACCGCATCGGACATCCGGCGTCTGTCCCGGACGTCCAGTGTGCTCGGTTATTGAATCGTAATTCATCTAATGATATTTGTATTATATATTTGATTTTTTTAATCACAAATGAAAATTTTAAACTATTATTTATATCAGTGATGCATGTGTGTTCAATAGTGCTCTCCACGCTGAGCAGTTCCATAGAAACGTCGCAACATAAAGAAAGGGCATTTAGAAATGTAGCCTTGAAGAAATAATTTAATTTTTTTATTCACATAAAAATTATTAAAAAATCCTACTTGGGTTGTACTGAACATATAAAGTTTTCCACATATTTCCTTCAAATATCCAACTGAAATTGGAACTGAAAAGGGAAATTAATTCATTTTAATTCAGATAAAATTTCAGCGAACCATTTAAATATCTTCCATCAGATGTGAAAAGTGTCGGCTTGAAATCAAGTTTTGGTTATTTGGAAATTATATCATGGAATATTTTAATCCCTACGTCTTTATCACACACAAAATTGCTCGCACAAACTGGAGACGTGCACGGTCTTGTGGTGGTTGAAGTGGTAGTCGTAGTGGATGTAATAGACGTCACCGAATTTGCATTTGTCAACAACGCCCGGTCACCCTTAATTAAAAATTATTAAACATATTATTAAATTAAATATTTATTTGAAATTAATTTCTTCACTTCGCAAATGTAGTAGCTGACAAATGAGCAGGACTCGTCGTTGTAGACGCTGTTGGTGGCCACGCCGGTGTTCAGCGTAAGTTGGACGCAATCTTGAATACCTCTGCCGTTGTTGGGCTGTCCGGAGGCCCAGTTAAGTGACGAGTTGCCGAAAAATCCACCAGTCGAGCACCATCGAAAGTTGAAAGCGCAGTTCTGGTCGCTTCCCGAAGTCCAAAAAATGCGGTTCGAGTACTTCATGCTCGCGTCACCTTTTAAAATTAGTTGTTATTAAATTATTTATTATATCAAATTCAGCCTCCAATTCATTAAATTGGTTGAATTTAATCTCCTCAACTATATATACCATTATTCAAATCTGATAGACACTGGTGCTCAGCACTCGACTCCACACTCAACAAGGTCATGCCATAGTCGCAACAGTAGGACAAGGCATCTGCATAAATCTCCTGTATTTTTAAAAATCGATTAATAGATAATTTTTAAATTATATAAAATTAAAGTATGGAAAAAAACCTGTGTTATGCCAATAAAATAAAGACGTCCACAAGTCTCTTTCAAGAAGCCATAAGAAGAAGGTACTGTAAAAAAGGGGAAAAATTATGCCAAATAAATTATTTTTTATCTCTTATATAGATATTTTTTCAGTTTCTATTTTTTGAATTAACAAATTAAGAATTCTTTTATGAGTTTTAGGATTGGTCTTGTGTTCTTGAATTTAATAAATTTTTTGTCCTTCCGCGTACTGAGGTAATGGCATTTTTTAACATCGGCAATATATTTTGGATATGTAAAATTATTTTGAAAAATTAGAGAGCCTCACTTGTTTTGTTCAAATAAATAGTTTAAAATTTAAAGAACCTACTTTACATATTTTAGTAGAAAAAAATTGTTCTTTACTTCTTTAGTTATTAAAATTTTTATTATTATTTCATATACTTACTGACAAGGGATTTGCCATCAGCAGAGAATAATGATGGCTGTGAAAATAAAAGCATAAGATTTTCTTCTTGATTAATAAAAAAAAAATACATCTCTTTCACATGTGTATGCTGGACACTTTGGTGTGCAAATAGTGGTTGGAACAGTCGTAGTGGTCGTGGTAGGTTGTGGTGTTGTGGAAGGAGCGTTGCTTTGCAAAAGCAAACGATCGCCCTTTGTGAGTAAAAAAAAAAACATGAAATAATTATGCGATATTTTCATTTTTATTGTTCATTTCTTGTCTACCTCGCACATGAAGTAGCTGACGAAAGAACAATACTCGTCATTATAATTGGTCAGCGCTGACGACCCGGTGTTAAGGGTCACCTGCACGCAGTCTTGCAGACCCCTGCCGTTGTTGGGCTGGCCGAGTTGCCAATTGATGCTGTTGTTGGAGAAAAACGACGTCGACGTGCACCACTTGAAATTAAACGGACAGGCTTGGTCGCTGCCCGAAGTCCAAAAGATTCGGTTCGAGTAGCGCATGTCAGCTTTACGGAGAGAAAAATTATGAAAATCAAAGTAATTAATAACAAAGCACTACCATTGTTCAAATTCACTAGGCAGTCGTGTTCCGCAGCGGTTTCCACTGATAAAAGAGTCATTCCCGCGTCGCAACAAGCGGCAGCCGCGTCTGCGTAATTAAGCTGTAAATTTAATGAAAAAATAAATCATAATGTAAAGAAAACAAACAAATTTTCTTACTTGAATTGTGCTGAATAAGTAGAGTTTGCCACACGTTTCTCGTACAAATCCAACATTTGAAGGAACTGTGAGTGGAAAAAATATAAAATTCATTTTCTAATTTTTATGAAGACATTATTAAATGGAACCTCTTTTATATAATTTTTAGATACAAATATAAAAAAAAATATTAAATGTTGTAAATGCTGTTTCATTAAAAAAAAATTTTGTCACATCTTAATTTTTGACTCATCAACTTAATTAATTTACTCAGGGAAAAATGTAACACACTATGCGCTTGAGCAGCATCATCCCTTTATATAAGTCGTATAAATAAGTTCCGGAAGTATTACTTAGCCTTGTTTCAAAATAACTGATGTCTCTAGAAAATTTCCCCAATTTGCAAATTTTGCAAGATCGTGCAAAAATATAGTTTGCGATGCAATACCGATAAAAAAAATTAAATACGCATTGACATTTGTAATGTAATGCACGTGTTCTAAGCGCGCCCTTTGCTGGTGCCACCAAGCGAGTTTTTCAAAAGCTTTGATGGAAACGGTCCCTGATTGGCTGAAATTCCCGCTTCCAGCAGTTTCAGCTGGAGCGGAGCAATTAGTGCAAGTGAACATAATAAACAATTTGTTGTGGTGTCGTTTTCAGTTTTTGCCTTATTTTGGCTTTATTCTCGGTTCGTGTGTGACTTATTGACTACATTATTTGATTGCGCCGGAACTCATTGTTAAAAAAATTGAGAAAATCCAGAGACTGCCGCCGAAAACAGAGTGAAAAAGTCGCGATCAAGACAAAGTGGCTGAGTGCGTTACAAATCGAGTCAACTTGCTTGTCTTTTGAAACACTCATAAATTAGGTAAATTTATTCAGACTTGTCATAATTTGTGAGAATAATTTTGAATTTTTAAATACTGACAATGAGAGAGGAGAACTAAAAATCCTCTGGGAAAAATAATATTTTTTATGGAATTGCAGTGCCAGCTTGAAAAGATTTTAGGCTCTGCATTGATTGTTTAATATTAATTTTAACTTTTCTTAATTTATTTTAATGATTTCAGTGCACTCGACGACCCTCAAACTAGGGAGACATCAATCATATAACTCGGAGCATTGAAAAAATCCACTACTGTGAACGCCAAAAAAACTATGAAGAAAGAATACGGTCACTGAAATAAAGGTAGGGACTCGTCATTTTATGCATATCAACGAATTGATATATTTGAAAAAAAATAGGGAACAAAGGTGTTTCCCATTTAAAATTTTCATCGATTTTACCTATTTTTATACTAATGGATTTTTGAGTGCAAAACTTACGATTTAAAAATCTCCCGTCGGCTGTGAAGTATGTTGGCTGAAAATATTTTCAAAAGTAATAATCAGCAAAAGAAGAAAGGTCAATGGAGTATATTATTTAAATTAACAATATATTTAAAGAGTTGAAAATACAGTTTTATCAAGAGGAAAATTACTAGGAAGAAAATGAACATAATTAAAATTGATAATTTAATTTGAAAGGGCGTCATTTTGCTCTATAATAAAAGTTTAAAACGACAGTTCTTATAATTACATCTCTATCGCAAATGTAAGTTGGGCAAGAAGGCAAACAAACGGTGGTCGGAGGCTGCGTCGTGGTTGTGATCAAGCTGGTGTTGGACAAAAGAATCGGATCTCCCTATTAAAAAATTAAGGTTTTTATTAAAAATTTTTGAATATCGCGTCCTCACCTCGCAGATAAAATAATTGGCAAAAGTGCACGGCTGGTCGTCGTATGTGCTGGTCAAGGCTGTGCCTGTGGTCAGCGCCAGTTGAATGCAGTCTTGGAGGCCGAAAGCATTGTTGGGCTGTCCGGCCATCCAGTTGATGGACGGAACGGCCACGTTTGTTGTGCACCAAAAAAAGTTGAAAGGGCAGCCAGTGTCGCTGCCTGCAGTCCAGTGATATTTGTTCGAGAACTTCATGTCCTCTAAAAAATCAGGATTTTGTTTTTAAGCGAAGGGATAGGCAAATAGTGACCAACGGTTGTTCAGGTCGGTCAGGCATTGGTGCTCGTATTGGGTCTCAACACTGAGGAGGGACATTCCTAGATCGCAACAAGACGCCGCGGAATTTACAAAGGAGTCCTGAAATTTGTTTTGGTAATTATTCTTACTGTATTAAAATGATACAGTAGAGTGCCAATTAATTATTAAAAATTGAAATTACATCATGTTTCAAAGGAAAAAAGTTCATTTACTAAATTTCAGTATCTCTGATTAAATTCATTCTAGAATAGCTTTCATAATATGAAATAAGATAGATTGAAAACCTAATAAATATTGGAATACATACCATAATAAAATTTTAAGCTAACCTGAATTTTTGAAAAGAAATACAATCTCCCGCAACTTTGTCTCAAAATACCGAACTCTGTAGGAACTGTTGATTTCAGTGGAAATTTCAAAATTAGTTAATCAAAAAAATATCAAATTTATTTTACCGTTGAGGAATCTCCCGTCAGTTGTGAAAAGTGAAGGCTATTTTTGAACAGTTTTATTAAAAAAAAAAATAAAAAAATAAAAAAAAAATCAATCACTCACATCACGCTCGCATTGATAACTAGGACATTTTGGTTTGCAGGTGGTAGTTGGAGCTATTGTAGTGGTTGTCAAGTTTTGCCCATACTTTTGCAGCAACGTAAGGTCACCCTTTGTTGTTAAAAAGCATAAAATATTTAGTTTGGATTGCAGATTTTAGCCAGTTTATCATTTTATTTCAACTGTTCTGAGAGAACAAATTAAATCTCAAATCACGAGTCAAGATAACAAAAACGAATGGTGTTTTTTAAATAACAAAACTGAACAGAAAACAATATTAATATTTGTGCGATTTTCTGTTATTTTCTAAATTTCCAATGTTAATTCTAGTAAATACTTGATTTTTATATCTTTTTCAACTCATTATTGCTCTGAAATAATGGCGACAAACTATTTACTATAATAATAATTATTTTTAAACCTCTTTTATCAAAGCTATAATTTTTTTATGCATTTTAATAACTGCTTATTTTGCTTAAATTCTTCTTAATTTACTTTTTGATATCTGTTTTATTATCCAAATAGAATTCCTCAAATTAAATTAAAATTTGAAATTTACCTCGCACGCGAAGTAGGTGAGGAAATTGCACGGCTGATCGTCGTACGTGCTGGCCGTAGCAAATCCAGTCGCAAGCGAGAGCTGAACACAATACTGCTGTCCGAACGCGTTGTTGGGCTGCCCTGTTGCCCAGTTGATGGTCGTGTTTTGGAAATACGAGTTGTTGTTCGGCGAGGTGCACCATTTGAAGTTGAATGGGCAGTTCAAGTCGCTGCCCGCAGTCCAAAAATTCCGTCTGCTCCACAACATGTCAACTGTGGAGATAAAGTGAAAATTTTTGTATCAAGGAGGAAGGTATGCAACTGGCGGGACTGTCGTGCAGAGCAGGTTGCATAGTTACCGTTGTTCAGATTTGACAGACACTGGTGCTCGGTGGACGTTTCCACGCTCAACAGCACCATACCCATTTCGCAGCAAGTTGAGGCGGCGGTCGTATAGTCTAGCTGAAATTTTGTTTATGTCAAAATATAAAACTGGAAATTTCTATTCAAATTACAAAGTTGTTTCCAAAGAAGTACACTTTTCCACACGTGTCGCGCAAAATTCCAGTTGACGATTGAACTATATATTTTTTATATAATTTTTATAGGAAATATATTAATAAATTAAAATCCAAATTGTTTATACTGTACCATTTAAAAATAGACCATCTGGTGTAAAATAAGTGGGCTGGAATAAAACGATTTAATTAGATGATTTAAATAATAATGAGAATGAATTAAAATCGTCTGTAAAATTGGTTTCCAGCTTCCATAAGTCAGAATATTTTTAGGATTTATCACACTGGCAATATTTTAATAAAGTTTTTACGGAAAACGAAATTTTCAAGACCCACTAAAAAATTGTGGTAAAAAAATTCACCTTTTACCCACTAAATGAACTTGAACTTAATCAAATCCTTTTGCTTGAAAAGGCAAATTGTTAGATTTAAATCAGTTAACGGTGCAAATTTTTTTGCCTGAAATTTCGCTAATTTTTCTTTTTTTTCTTTTTCACATTCGGCAATAAAAAATTTGGCGTCGTTGATCTTTATGTCTGAATTATATTTTCAAATTAAACTAAATTTTCAACAAAACTTACATTTCGATTGCAAGCGTAAGATGGACACTTTGGTAAACATGAAGTGGAAGGACTGGCGGTTGTGGTTGTTGGCGAAACCGTGGTTCTGTTTGCGTTTGCTTGTAAAAGCAGCCGACTGCCCTGAATTGTTTACAATTTTAATTTTGAAAATAATTTAAAAATCGCCAAAAAATACCTCGCAAATGAAATAATTGACAAAAGAGCACGGCTGATCGTCATAAGTGGTTGACGTCGCCGGTCCTGTTGCCAGGGTCATCTGAACGCAGCCCTGCGCGTTGAAAGCGTTGTTGGGTTGTCCGGCCAACCAGTTTATGGACGAGTTGTAGAAGAACGTGTTGTTTGGTGAGGTGCACCATTTGAAGTTGAAAGGGCAGCTTTGTTGACTTCCTGACGTCCAGTACGAACGGCCGTTTATTTTCATATTGGCTAAAAGGTTCAATTTATAATATAAACAAAATCTGTAGATAGTGAGACTTTTAAAGAGTACACGAATAATTTGGAAATATTTTTAAATACCATTATTCAAATCGGTGAGACACATGTGCTCATTCCAGCTTTCAACACTGACCAGAGACATCCCCAAATCACAACAGGCAGCGCCAGCGTTTGCATATGAAAGCTTATTTTTGTTGTCATTTGAGTTTTTAAAAATCAGTTTGCCATTATTAATAAATTATGTTATATTTACCTGATTAGTACTAAAGAAGTATAAGTTTCCACAAATTTCCTGCACTGAACCAATTCCTGGTGGAACTAGATATGATTGGGAAATTTAGTAATTTTTGTTTAGTCTTAGAATTAAAAAAAATACCAGCTAAGAACTGTCCATCAGCAGTGAAAAACGTGGGCTGAAAAAATAAGCAGTTTCCCCAAAATGAGTCTCATAAAATCATAAACTTTGATTTAAAAAATAACACGTGAAATTTGTAAACTGAGCGAGTTTTAAATGCCAAGCTTTAAGCATTTTCTTTTTACATCTAAAATTTATGAATCGTTATTTAAAAAATAATACACCCCAATATGAGGGCCAAAAGCTTTCAATAAGCAAAAGAGTCACGTTTTTAGTGTTACTGTTTGCCTTCATTTTGGAATTTAAATTATTAAAAAAAATTAATAATTCCTGTTTTGAAAATTTTCAAATTAAAAAGTTGGAAATCTTTGCAAAAGTTCGGTTTTGCCAATCAGTGTCAGAATTACAAGTAGTAAAAACAAAAACGCACTCAATTAAAAATTAAATGGAAAAAAAATAACTAAGACAGGAAGTTATATTTTTGTTATTGAAATTTTACGTCTCTATCGCAGATGAATGACGGGCAACTGGGCAGGCAGCTGGTGACCATTGCTGGATTGGCAGTGGTGGTCACCAACGTAGGCTGAGGGGTCGTGGAGGCGTAACTTTGCAGGACGGTCCGATCAGCCTCGCAGATGAAGTAATTAGAGTAAGTGCACGCCTCGTCGATGAACGCGCTCGCCGTCCACACACCGGTGGTCAGCAACAGCTGCACGCAATCTTGGATGCCGTTCAGATTGTTGGGTTGTCCAGCCAGCCAGTTGATGCTCGAGTTTGAGAAAGTGTTGTTCGAGGGGCACCAACGGAAGTTGAACGGACACCCCTTCTGATTGCCGGAGGTCCAGTGCATTTTGCTCGAGTAGCGCATGTCAACTTAAAAAAAATCGTCAAGATCAGTTGAGACCGACCATTTGTTTTGGCAAATTTTTAATCTTAAAGGATCATAACATTTTTTATTTTCATTTTAAATATAAATGAAAATTTTCAATATTTTATGATGGATGTAAAACATTTGTTACTGAAGCTTCTCTTCTAAAATTAGAAAAATGAAATAGGAAACTAGAATTATTATGAAAATATTTACAAAATTAGCTCATAGTTGTCCCAGTCAAGTTTTAAATTATATGTTGCTGACTATTATCTTGAAATGGATCACTTATATACTGTATTTAATAGGATTTTTTTTCTTTAATGATCTCAATGGAACGCTACTTTCACCCAAGTTTTTATGAATCACTCCAAATGTTGCCTCTTACTTAGAATTTCTTTGATTGCTCTCTTTATTACCGTTATTAAGCTGAGTTAAGCACTCGTGCTCTGCAAATGTCTCGATCGATACCAAATTCATTCCAGCTTCGCAGCAGATTGTTGCAGCATCACTTTGGGTCACCTTTATATAGTTCATATTTGCTTTAAATGATAAGAATTTTTATATTTTACAAAAATACCTGTATGTATGAAAATAAGTAAACTTTCCCACAGGCTTCTTTGACCACTCCAATTGGCGATGGAACTGCAAAAAAACATTTTTAATTAAAAAATAATAAATTAAAAAAATTGTTTATTAAAAACCTGCGAGAAATTTCCCATCAGATGTGTATAAGGAAGGCTAAGAAATAATAAATTAACAAATTATAAAAATTTTTACAAATAATGTTTCCTTTTACATCTTTTTCACAAAAAACTGATGGACAAGTAGCAGCGCAGTTTGATTGAGTTGAAGGTGTGGTCGATTGTTCAAGATTTTCGCTCCTTTGCAGTAGTGATAGACTGCCCTATTAATTTAAATGAATTAGTTTTTCCCTTAAAACTGCGAGCAATTTTTACCTCGCACAAATAGTAGTAGGCGTAAGTGCAAGGGTCGTCGTTGAAGGAGGCCAGTGGGGTGTTGGAAGCCGCCAGGGTCATTTGAACGCAATCCTGCACTCCGTTCAGGTTGTTCGGCTGACCCTGGAGCCAATTAATGGAGGTTGGTCCGAAAGTGATGTTCGAAGAGCACCACTTGAAGTACAAATTGCAACCCTTCTGGCTGGCTGAAGTCCAGTAAAACCGACTCGGAAGACCAGTTTGAGCTGAAGTTTAAACAAATTAGTATTTTGTACACAACTTTGTACTTTTTTTTTTAAATTAATACAATAACTAGTGGCAATGCATTTATTTTCCTCGCCAGTTTCCACGGCGACGGAAGTCATTCCCATTGTGCAACAGTAGTAGTTGGCGTCACTGGCGCTGACCTGATTTATACAAAATTTAATGCGTGCTCTTTATTTATTTGCAATTTCGCAACCATCCTGTTTCCGTAGAAATAAAGTTTTCCACAACTTTGACTCAATACGCCAGAAGCTGACAAAGCTTGCTCTGAAATGGGAATATTCTAAAAATTAAATCTCGATCAATATGATTATAATTAACTTACCGTTTAAATATTTTCCGTCAGACGTAAAAACTCGGAACTGAAATCAAACAGTTAATTTAAGTGTATTATGATTCAAAAAAATTTTCACGTCTCTGTCGCAGTTAACTTGAGGACAGCTTGCCACACACGGAGCAACTGTGGTTGTTGTTGTTGTGTTGCTGTTTTTCCATAATAATGCTGGGGAACCCTTGGAAAAATAATTAATAAAGGTTTAGTGATTTAATTAAAACTAGAATAAGAGCTTGTAAACTTCCAGGCTTTAGTATTGTTTAAATCTTTTTTTATTACAAACTAATATTTGTAATTTTTTTTTAGTATTTAAAATTTAAATACAAAGAAAGAAAAATAATTCAAATGCAATCTTTTGAACAAAAACCTCTACGTAAATATTCTTAAAAAAAATCCATGTAATTGTTCGAGAATCTTTGACGGTATCAAATTATTTTTTAAAATTTGAAATCTCTCACCTCGCAAGTGTAATAGTAAGAGTAAGAACACGGATCATCATTGAAGGTCGCGGATGCAGAAGTGCCCTGCGTCAGAGACATTTGGACGCAATCTTGAACCCCGTACAAATTGTTCGGCTGTCCTTGCAACCAATTTATGGAAGTCCGACCAAAAGTGATGTTTGACGAGCACCATTTGAAGGAAAGATTGCATCCTTTCTGACTGGCCGACGTCCAGTAGATTCTGGTCGGCAGGCCCAATGTACCTGGAAATTTAAACATAAAATTTGATTTAAAAAAAATGGAAATTCACCATAAACTTCCGCGATGCATTTGTTCTCGTCAAAAGTTTCCACTGCAACAGCGGTCATTCCCATTGAGCAGCAAATTGCGTTTGCTTCGGAAGATGAGACCAATTTGGTGCCGAAATAGTAAATCCTGCCACAAGTTTCAGCCAAAATTCCGACTGTATTTGAGGTGGTCACATAATCTTTTAAATTATCATTAATTTCTAAATAAAAAAGTTTGTTTCTCAATTTCATTACCACTCAAGTATTTTCCATCTGGAGTGAACATTTTTGCCTTTAAAGAAAATTATTAAAGTTTTAATAAATTAAAATCGAGCTTAAACTTGTATAAAAATCAATTTGTCTATTTCAATTTGTTTCAACAAGATTAAACGTGGCTTTAATTTTCTTATGCGTTAATTTTTAATTCATATTTTTGCTTGAATTTAGATAAATTATTATTATTAAATATGAATAGAATGAGATTAACCGAAATGTTGAATTATTGATTACGTCTTTATCACAATTTGTTTGCGGGCAAACAGCGTTGCACACCGGAGTGGTGGTCAAAGTTGTTGGTGCTGAGGTTGTCGTTGAGGTAGAGACTGTCGTGGCCTTCCACAACAAATTGGTATCGCCCTGTGAATTAAATATAAGAGTTTTTGTGTAATTTGCTGGATTAATTTAGTATAAAAATATCCAAGGATGTCTTTCTTATAGTTATTAAAAAATTAATTAATTTTATATCAATTCTTAGTGAAATCGAGTTTTTTAAAAAAAAAAAAAAAAAAGATAAATTGCTATCTAATTGAATCAATCTAAAAATATGGTTTGAATTCATTAATCTCTCCTCTGGGGAATTTCACCTCGCAAATGTAATAATTGGCGTAGGCGCATGGTTCGTCATTATATCCATTGCTGCTTATGTTGACCGCGTTTAGGGTCAGTTGGACACAGTCCTGCACGCCATTCAAGTTATTTGGTTGACCGGGAAGCCAGGCGATAGAAGTGGACGTGAAAGACATTTTTACGGGTGCAGTGCACCACTGGAAGTTGAAGGGACACCCGCGTTGACTGCCAGAAGTCCAGAAAATTTTGTTCACGTATCGGGTGTTGACTGAAAATTTAGCAAAGTCAAGCAGAAACCATCAAGGATACTGTAGGATACATTTTTCAAGTGGAAAAATTAAAAATTGAAAAATTCAGTAAAAATTTCATTATCAACTTTTCAGTTGGAAATATTTTCTCTACAAGATTTTTATTCAAATTAGATTTTATAATTAATTTAGGCTCATAAATGTAAATATTAGGCCGCCGGTCATTAAATGTCCCTTTGCCCCCATGGCTCCTCGTGAAATAATACGTACATGTGTTCGTGTTGACCAAACACTGGTGCTCAGCGTTTGACTCAACCGAGAGCAAACTCATGCCCATGTCGCAACAAGTGGAAGCCGCGTCTGCATACGTTTCCTTTTAAATTAAGTTTTATTTAAAGAGTCTATGCATGTCTAAATTTCTAACTTGAGTTTGACTGAAGTAGTACAACTTGCCACAAGTTTCGCGAACTTCACCCGAAATTCGAGAAGCTGCGTAGGAAAAAAACGCACTAAAAATAAAATCAATAATAAACCAAATTACCGTTTAAATATCTTCCATCTGAACTGAATATGAAGGGCTGTTTACAAAAGTTCAATTAATTAAAAATTAAATATGTTTTTTTTTTTTAATTTTTACATCTCTTTCGCAAGTGAACGAAGGACAAATTGTGTCGCAATTGAAGGGACTATAGGGAGTTGTAATTGTTGCGGGTGATGCTGTCGTGGTTGTTGAAGTCGACGTTGTTTGGTAAAATGAGCTATCTTTGTACAGAGCACGGTCACCCTAGAAAAATTGAAATTGAAAATAAAAAATAAAACAGTCACAATGGATTTAAATAAAAATAAATTTAGGATTCGGTTTAAAGTTACAAAAATGCACATATATTTTTAGTTCGTAATCAAGTCGCAAACCTCGCAAATGAAAGAGTAGGTGAAGGAGCAAGGGTCGTCATTGTAGGCACTATTCATCCACGAGCCGACACTGAGCGTCAACTGGACGCAATCTTGCACACCGTAGGCGTCGTTCGGCTGTCCTGGTAGCCAGTTGACCGTGACGTTGGAAAACCAAGAGCCCGTCGAACACCATTTAAATTTAAACGGGCATCCTTTGTCACTACCTGAAGTCCAAAACACCTTGTCGGTGTACTTTGTCTGGGCTGTGTAATAAAATTTAGGGAAATGGTGAATAAAATTTCCAAAATTTGTGAACCATTATTTAGATCGACCAAACACTGGTGCATGAACTGATCTTCCACGCTCACCAATCGCAAACCCAAGTCGCAGCATGCTTTGTAAGCTTCAAAATGACTTGCCTAGAAAATAAGCGTAAATGAATAATTAAAAAAACCTAAACTTGGTACTTGATATGAACTGAAGAAGTAAAGTTTGCCACACGTTTCTTTAAAAAAGCCTGACATTGTAGTGTCTGAAATGTATAATTTGATTAAAATAAAATTAAATAAAAAACAAGTCAGCCATAATAATATTAAATTTTATTTTTTCAAAAATGTAAAAATTTTGAATTTTATTTCAAAATATTATATTAAAATCAAATTTAAAATGGCACCATTAATGAATTTTCCATCCCGCGTGTAGTTCGTTGGCTGAAATTTAAATTTTCTCTCAAAAAATTAGCATTTCTTTGTTCAAAATTGTTTAACACAATTACATTTCTTTCGCACACCAGCGCAGGGCATACTGGGGAACAGTTATTTGGATCTTGCGTTGGTGCAGGCGTCGTGGTCACGTACCAAGACAAGAGCGTTGGACTGCCCTAGTTTTCAAAAAATTATGTTTTATTTTGGAATTTATATTATAATTTTTCATTAGAAAAAGGTCTTAAGAATTTAAATATTAAAATCACCTCACAAGCTGCGTACGCCATTGAAATGCAAGATTCGTCGTTGAGAAAGTTCTGCGCCGTGATGGTCAGGTTGACCTGAGTGCATTCCAGAATTCCTCCGTCCTGGGGCTGTCCCGGACGCCAAAAGCTATCGTTTACTCCCACATAAGACATCTGGTTCTCCAAGCACCACCGATAGTTTCGAGGACAATTCCGGGTGGTGGCGGAAACCCAGAATTTCCGACCTTTAGAGAAATTCATTATTTACTTAATTCTGTCTAAGGTGAGAGAATTTCTTACCAATCATTTCTGATGAGAAACAGCTCCACTTGTCAAAGGTTTCAAAACTGAGCAATTTCATTTGTGCTTGACAGCAAAATCTCATTGCATCTTGGTATGATTTCTAAGAAAGGAATTAAAATTAAAAAAAAAGCTCTTTATTTCTTTAAATGTTTCAAAAGCTTACTAATTCATTTCCATATATAATTGATCGTCCGCAGACTGCTTTGACTATGCCAGTTTCGTTTTTGACTGAAACATAAAAAGAATATTATTTGAGATTCAGGTTTTTTTAAATCACCTGAGAGATATCGTCCATCTGGTGTGTACAAAGAGGGCTAAAAAAATGAATATTAGCCTTTATTTGGTCTTTTCAGCACGATTTTCAATTTACGTCTTTTTCACAGCTCATGTACTGGCATGAAGCATTACACGTCAGTGGTGCTGCTGTAGTGGTGCCAGTACCAAGGAGGCTTGGTGACCCCTGTAATTTTTTGATCAATTTAAAAATTGTTCCTAATTTTGTTGTTGCTTTTTATTCATCCAATCAGTACAATCCTACTTACATTAAAAACTTAACAGGAGAAAACAAATGATTATTTTCAAAAGGATTGATGGGCAGAATGGATATAAAAGTCGTATCCAAAAAGAAATCTTCGGGTACAGGCATTATTTTATGTCTCAAACCTTGCAAATGAAGTTGAAAGGTGTGAAGCAGGACTCGTCGTTGAGCACGGTATTGGTTGTCGCGCCAGGGTTCATGGTGAGCTGAATGCAATCCTGCACTCCGTTGGCGTAGTTGGGCTGGCCTGGTGCCCACTGCAGGGTACCAGGATCCCAAGACTCATTTGTCGAGCACCACTTGAATGATTTCAATGGACAACCTCGCTGACTTCCCGAAGTCCAGAATGCTCGTGGCGAATACATCATGTCGACTGCCAAATCATTTAAATTAATTTATAAGAAGAGGGAGTTTCACATGCAAAGTTAGCTTCTCTGGTATTTTCTAAACTAACTTTTGTAGATCACCCTCATTAATGAAAAAATTCAAGTTTTTCTCTTGAACTTTATTGCAATATAATGAGAGCGATTCAAAAGCCTAGCCTGGCTAGTAAGTTTTAGCTAATTTTAAGATGATTTCGCCCTTGATTTTGCAGATCTTATGTTAACTTGGCTGCCGAGCAAAATTAGCCATGGCCATTTCAAAATTGTCCTGATTTTTTTTACCATTGTTTAAGTTATGCAGGCAATCCTGTTCAGCTTTGTTATCCAAAGACAACAGCGACATCCCTATTTCGCAACAGGCCACACTTGCCTCTGTTTGAGAAACCTTTAATTGGAAAAATTAATTTTGATTGGTTTTTAACTTTTAATTTTATGTTACAGATGCTCTACTGAAAAGATACAACTTCCCGCAGGTTTCTTTTAAAATCCCGAAATTTGGTGCCACTAAAGAAGGGAATTAGTTTCGTGCAATAAATTACTTAATTTTTTCACCATTAATTACAGAGTTGTTTGCAATGAAGTATGCCGGCTGAAAATTTAAACAATATCACATGGTTTTTATAAAAATAATAAAAAAGCTCACATTTTTCGCGCACTGGAATGAAGGACAAACAACAGGACAGGGTGGGACGGTTGTGATCGTCGGTCCTGTCGTAGGCCAGTTTGTCACCTGCCCTGTACTCTGCAAAAGGCTGATGTCTCCCTGATTTTTTTACAAATATTTTTTTCTTTTTAGTTTTTAAATAATAAATTTGTTAACCTCGCAAGCATAATTGTTCACATTATTGCATGAGTCCGTGTTATAAAGTGAGACCCCCTTTCCTAAAACCAATCGCAGGCAGTCCTGGTCAGGTGGTGCAGGCGCGACCGGTTTCGGGTAGTTTGCCATCCAGTTCACGTTGGACACGTTGATGTTGGTCGTGCACCAACGAAGGCTGCAAAAAGAAGTGGCCCCTGAAGTCCACAACTGACGAGAAACGGCAAAGTCCGGGTCAACTGTGCGGATAATCAAGGTTGTTGTTATACAAAATAAATGATTTTTTTTTTTATAAAACTCACAGTTTGCAAGGTCGTTAACGCAATTTTGCTTTGCTACGTCACCAAAAGTCGCCAACGTCATTCCCATAGAGCAGCACGTCGATATCGCGTCTGGCAAACTTTTCTGTGGTTTTGTTTAGATTTGCCGTGAAAATTATTTATATTTGAGGACGATCAAAAGTAACCCTTAACTTCACCATTGAAAACTGGCATTCAAACAATTGGATTCATTTTTACATTGTTGGAAATCCGTTGAATAAATAAGTTATAGTAAAATTTAAGTTCTGCAATAGTTCAGATCTTTTGGATCGCATCATGAGAGCATGATTTTTAGCCAATATTGGAAATAATTTTGGCCTTATATCCTTAAAAAAAATTGTGGCAAAAAACTCAATTTTTCTTCCAAAAATCGCAAATATTGGTTTCTATTGTTGTAAGAAATTGGTGCCAGTAAGCAAAAAGAATCATAATTACCACATTGGTTGAAAACAAGTAAAGCCGTCCACAAGATATCTTCAGCTGACCATTTGCTGCGGGGACTATAAATTTTCGTAGTATTTTCAAGTGTCATTATTATAATTTTTTTAATCTTTCTTAAAATAAAGTGGTATGGCTTTGTTCAAATAAGCAAATCGTTTTAAATATTGCAAATTGCAACAAAATTTAATATTAAGGCATTATTTTGGGGATATTTACCTGTTAAAAATTGCCCTGCGTTGTTTATAAACACCGAGCTCTAAGGATAGAATTTTGAAATATATTAATGATTTATTTCATTGATTTTTCCAGTTAGAGTTTTACATTTGTGTCTCTTTTACACATAGCCTCAGGACACTTTTGTGTCACGCATGGGGCGACAGTAGTCGTCGTTGCGATGGGCGTTGTGGAGGCGGCGGGGGTTGTGGGCCACGAGCTCACTAGGGCCTGGTTTTCGATCAGACTCACTGGACCCTTTTTGAAAATTTACTATCAGAATAACTTGTAGAAAAAAAATAATATTACTTTGCAGATGTAATAATTCAGCGCGGAACAGTAGTCGGTGTTCAAGGAAAGCTTTCCCTTGTCAATCAGCGCCCGAACGCAGTCTTGGTTCGGTGGGGTGGCAAAGGAACTTTTTGGAAAACCGGACATCCAGATGTTGGTGTTTGGGGAAATCGTCTCATTCGACGGGCACCAAGAGTAGTTGCACGAAAATGATGCCCCCGAAGTCCAGAAAAGCCGAGGTTGATCCGTAAAAAATTGATCGTCTATTGCTCAAGTTTTAAAATTTATAAATTTAAAAAAAGAAAATCATAAACAAACATTTAGCCATTTCAGAAAGGCAATTGATTTCCGTGCTGTTCTTCAAAGTGGCCAAAGTCATGCTCATAGAGCAGCAAGTCGATGCTGCGTCTGTGTAGTTTTTCTTTAGGAAGAAATTAAATTAAAAGAATTTGACATTTTTTTGTTACTTTACCAGGTTTGTGGAAAAAAGCCACAATTGTCCACAAGTTATTCTGAGTTGACCGTTTGGAGACGGAGCTGAGAAATATAATTTTTCATTTAAACAATTTATATATTTTTAAAAATTCAAAATAGTCAAAAATTTTACTAATTTTTTTTTTTTATATTTCCACACTATTTTCCAACATAAAGAAAATAGTATTTCGATAATTTAATGTAGTGATACCTGCTAAAAACTGAGTGCCATTGTTGCTGAAGAGCGGAGGAATCGACTTTCCATTATCTTTGGTGCAATTGTAACTGGGACAGTTAATCTGTGTGCAAGGGCCAGGAGTGGCCGCCTCTACCGTGGTTGTTTCCTCCGAAGTAACTGACGTTGTTTCTTCGGACGTTGTGTCTTCAGATTTCGTCGTCGCCTCAGTGGTTGTTTTCCCTTTTACGGGTTTCGGCGTTGTCGTCTTTTTCGTTTTAGGCTTTTTTGTCTACATAAAAAAAATACTAAGAATTTGTGAAGTTTCCTATTAAATTATAAATTTGCAGTCCGCATAAATTTCCTGTGATATTTCATCGCACATTGGCACAGATTTTATACAAATTCAGGATTTTTTTTTTTCAGATAATTTCACCTTTATAAAAATTGTAGAGAGAGGAATGTAGAGGCCTGGTGTTGTGGGGATGAAAACTGTTGGTGTGAATGTTCGCGAGAAGAAAACGGGCGGCGTAATAGTGAAAAAAAGCTGCGTTGACCACCCGCCATTCCCAATGCCCCACGAAGGGTTCTGGGCTCGCTGCTGTTCTAGCCTGTTGTTGCAGGTCCGTTCTATGTTGATGCGGCGGTTTATTTTAAGCAAGACCAACGTTTCTGCAAATTGAAGTTTAAAATATTTTTAAGTCTTAACAGGGAATTTTCCAGCATAATTTTCAATAAAAATTGAAACTTTAGTTTCGAATTAATAACAAATTAAATGATATTGTGGAAGATTATTTTAATTAAATTAACCGTAAAATTTTCTCAAAATAACCAGAAATACTTCAAATCAATGGAATGTTAAAAAAGACTTAAATTGGGTTTTGCTCTTGACTTAATTTGAGGCCACAATTGAACCCTCTTTTTGTCCTGAATGATTTACTTAAAAAAAAAGCGGCTACCATTATTGTAAGAGTTGGAGTCAACGTTGGTATCTCCATTATCGACATATTCGTTGTCGGAGTCCGCTAATGCAGAAATCTACCAAGGAAATTATTATTTTTATTTGTTCTCATTTTTCAGGAGTATTTTAAAAACAGACCAGCAGCAGAAATTGCACAGAAATTATTTGTCGAAGATCCATTAATATTTAAGTGTGGGCACACAGTTCAGGCCATAGTTTTCCATGCTGAGGACGCACATGAATACACGAGCGCGCGGCTCCATCGCGATCACATATCCGGTCGAAGCATCCGCTCTCCTCGATCGCAGCTCTCGTTTCGGGCCGCGTGCGACGAATTTCAGCGTGCGAGTTAGAAATACGTGCACTCGAAAAGCTAGAAATTTGTAATAATTTATTACGTAATTTGGCAGAATTATAAATAATATATTTTTCAACAAAAATATACGTATTTTAAATGCGTGCATTATTGATTTTTTTACCAATTGAAATGCAAACCTTACTCAATATTTTCTTTATTATATCCAAACTTCAAAATTTGATTTGAAGTTTTTTTTTCAGCACCTTTGAAGTAAGGTCGATCAATTTTGTAAAATTAATAAGAATCTCATTTAAAATTCTCTCCAAATGGTTTTCTAAGAATTTTGGGTCCATTGGCGATTCATATCTTATTATTCTTATAAATAATTTTTATTTTTAACTGCACACAATTAAATTAAAAATTAAAGATTTTGAAATTCAAATTATTGTAGTTTAACTTCTAAACAAATCAAAACCTTTGAGGGAAAAGCAGCAAGATTAAAATTGTGTAAAAGCTGCCGAATAAACTAGACCAAACTGGACTAATATTTTGAAAAATATGGTTCCTTAATATTCTGCCAATTGAGATTTAATGCATATTAAAAATTTTATTCCGGTACAAGTCATTAAAATTTTGTATGCTGTGTCTTTTAAAAGCTTATTTTGAAAAATGCACTTTTATTTCTGCTGAAAAGTTTAAAAATTTGATTTAGCCAATTTAATATCTGAACGGGTATGAATTTAGCTCATTTGGAAGGACCCGCTGCTAAATTGTTTTAGAACATAATTCAGTAAAGGCTGTTTAAAAAAACTTTATATAAAAAAAGCTGATTGCAATGACAATAATATTAAAAAGATTACGTGGTGAAGTAAATTAATTGTAACGATTTATTATTTTTTTTATTGTAACTTAGCTGGCAAAATCTCAATTACATTATTTAAGATATAGTGTTTGCTATCATCAAAATTGAAAATTTAATATTCCGTGATTGTTTGCGCAAAATTTAATAAAAATCCTTTTGAGGTTTCATTTACCTCATTTTCGTGGCAAAAGGAAGGACGGAAACTCTGAATAACGGAAGCTGTTCGAGCTGGTTCAATCTTGGCCTCAGTCAAACGAGATAAAAATTAATACGATTAACATCCGCTCTCAGCTTCCTCTTTATCTTATTAATAGGGCGCCGCTTTTCACAAAACTCCCAAGCATTCATGAGGCATCGATTTTTTTTTTGTAAAATATAAATTGCTGAAAAGTGTAAAATAATGCACATAAATGAAATGATGCGTAAAAAATTAATTTAATTTCAAATACTAATTTATCTTAAAGAAATTTTATTAAATTTGGTCTATAACAGGTGGTTTTAAGAGTTCACAATAGTAACACAGTTCAAAATTTAATGCAAGAATTTTTTCCTTTTTAATCTTTCTTATTTCTCCCTTATAAAATTTGAAGAAAAAAAATCAAAATTCCATCTCTAGAACCACTAGTGAATAATTTTTAATTACATTTGACAATATTATATTATTATTATTTGATATAATTTTAAAAATCTTTAGTGCTTTCTGATAACTGTATTTTTAGATGAATTTTCGTTCCAGTGAGATAAATTTTAATTGTATCGAGTCAATGAGCGAGGGAAAGACTCTCTCTCAAGAGAGACCATCATGAGTCGAGGGGAATAGGGGAAGAGAGACGCTGGATCTCGAGCAGGATGACTGCTGCGATGATTGAGAGAGGCTGGAGAGGGGGCGCGGGACTCGAAGAAGTCGCGAGGAGAACCGAAACAGCCCAACAGAGAGGAGAGAAAAATAAAAGAATAGAGAGAGACGAGAGAGAGGGAGAGCAAGAGAGAGAGTGCCTTACACCGTCGGTCTCTCGCCCGAAATCTCTCTCCGTGTTGTTGACTTTTAGCCATTGTGTGCGGCCCAAGTTCGACGATTCGGTGCAGCGAGGGCACTTTTCGCCCGACAGCCGACTTGCTCCTCCTCGTTGGCCGACGCCAGGTGAGCTTTTCGCCCGAAATTGGACCGAGAGTTTACAGATGCGCCGAGCCGCCGGTGATCTCGCCATGTGTGTTGTCAAAAAAATGTTGAGCCCGAGAAGCGCTCGATTGTATTCTGGCGATGCCGTTCTGATTTTCTCCACTTCGTCGATTCTTATTTTCAGAAATTTAGGGAAAACGGGTCAAAATTTGGGACTTTTAAATTTTTGTGAAGAAAAATTAATTTATTTTTGGTAGATTTTCTTAAGTAAATTGTTTATCTTTTACGTACGGAGAATAACACTAGGCCATAAATACCACTCGGCTTTTTCCAAGGGTCAGGCCAAGACTGAACTGATTCTTTGCCGGCCTTTGTTCTGTTAGTGACGTAGAAGACATCTCTCTGAAGAATAATTTTTTTAATCGAATATTTTAAAATTTAAGAGGATTTTATTCCATTTTACAAATTTTAAAAATGCAAAAAGATTAGATTATTTTTTGGAGACATATTATATTTTTTTATATTTTGTGTATTTTTCAAAACATTTTTCCTATTATAATTAAATAATTGCAATATTATTTTTTGTCAATTTTTAATAAATTAGAATTCCCACACTTTTAAATTGCTCTCTCCTCTTTCTATCTTGATGCAATTTGTATGAATTATCTGAACCTAAAAAAGCCTCCATGCAACCAAAAGCTGGATGTGCATTTTCAATTGGTCACGGTGCTTCTTGTAAAAGAGTTAGAAACGAGCATAATCTTTTGTGCTTCCAATTTCCATGGGCCTTTGCAGCTGTCAGTTTTTTAATTATTCAATTAAAACTTCAATCGCTTAAATGGTTCTTTATGCGAAGTTAAATTAAATTGCAAAGTTGCCCTTGTTTATGAAACCAATTAAATTCCTTTGCAACTACATTAAACTTCAAAACAAAATTTAAAAAGTTTCCTTAGTTCGTTTAATCAGCAAGAAGAGCAATAATTTATTAAATATTATTTTTCCTAACAAAATTCACCATTTTTTAAGACTTAACAGGAATAGTCTGAATAATTTTTAAAAAAAATCGTGGACTGAAATATAGTAATTACGAAGAATATTTATAGTTATCTATTAAAATTATCAAATGTATTTATTTTCACAACTCCGCATAATTCTAGTTTTTTTACCCAATTATTTTAAATGTCAAATTAAATTAATGATAATGGCTTATATTACATAATTATTTTATTTTAATATTTTAAATGAATTAATCATTTATATTTTAACTCAATAATTATAACGTTAATCATGAGAATAATTTATTCTCTTTAAAAAAAATTTATCTTTGCATTAAAAAGCTTCAGCATTCAAAGATGTTAATTGATTTTCTTCTTATTGTTTCTTGCAGATCCAAAAATGCTATTCCGTTTGAGTTGGTGACTGAAATCTTGGCATTTTCCATTCACTGAACAGAAAACCGCCCTTCAACATGCTACCTTTAGGCAGTATTTATAGGATCACCCTTGTGCTTTTATTAGCAGGTAAGAAACCCTTTTCAGTATAAAAAGTTATGTTGTTTGAAAAATTTCGGTGTGCCAAATTTTTCAAACTGCCTGTCGAAATTTCGGCCAAACTGGTCGAAGTGAGTGACGCTGATAAGCCCGCAGCAACTTGTGGAACAACAAGGCCCTTTCTGTCTAAAAGATAGCTGCACTTCTCGGAAGAGGCAGTGCCTTTGTGCCAACATCTTGAAATCAACAGATGCACACCATCTGTGTTTGGGCTGCGCTTTGAAAGAGAGTTCGAGGACGAAAATTGACTGTGAGAGAGTCTGACAACTAAATTCCCTTTTCTCTCTGCTCCCAAGGATACTAATTTACGAGTCTGAGAGCCGAAGTCATTAAATTCACACTCAATTTATAATAATGAGAAAAAAGATCAAAAGAAAAATTTCAGAATGCAAAATTTATTGAGTTTGAAATATATCACATTTTTTTGCGTGACTTCAAGATTTTGGCCTTGTTGTTTTATCAGAAGAATTTGAAAATTTTAAACCAAAATTTAAAATAAATAAAATGATGGCAGCCAATTTGAATCATTTACCAAATTTAAAAGAAATTCGTGTTTTCAATAATTTTTTATTTTTGAATCAGTGGACGATTTACTTAACAGTTAATTTAATTTTATTTTAACTCTGAAAATATTAAGAAATTAATTATAATACAATCACTATTTGAATCGTTTTGAGTCAAATTTCTTTGCAGCCAAAGCTCAAGTGGCGTGCGGTCTCGAGGCACGTAGCAAAGGGAAGAGTTCTTTGCTGCTGCGATGTTTTTTATGGGAACGCAAGCAGATGTGAACAAAACTGAAATTAAAATGACGTAACTTCTTCATTACATCACAAAATTTTTATGGAGCTGCCGAGTGGGTTGTCGAGCGACATGCCGAGCGCGTTTGGCGGTCTAGTTAAATTTAAATGATAATTTGCTCATACCAAAGGCACCCTTTATTAAAATAATGAAGGACAATTCAAGCTCATACCAAACCCACTATTATACATTGTTGAGCAAAGTCCACTGTTAACCAAAGGAATATTTTCACTTTCCGACATTTTTTCATGATGTATTTGTCCCTCAGTTTGTGTTGAAGAATCTTAAGAAAAAAAATATTTTTTGTTACAGATTCGGTGTTTGCGCAGTACCAAAGGGAAAGAGGAAAAAATAGTAAGTAATTTAAATTTTATTACGAAAATCTTGCAAAATTGTATTTCAAATTGGCCTCCAGGAATTATTTAGGATTAATTTTTTTATTTCTGCATTTAATGTAATTTTAAATTTAAAAACAGTTAAATGAAATTGTGTTTTTTTTTTCATTTATTTATTTATTATAAAACAAATATTTCACAACGACCCTGTTGTCCGAAACCTTCTTCAAGGCTACTACAACCAGCAGCATAAGACATTCCGTGCACGTCCCTTGTTCAATAACCCCTCAGTTTCCCTTGGTAACTCGTTCAGAGAAGAGCAGTCGGTCGAGGACTCAAATGTCCACCCCCTTACTCGCACCACGTCCAACTTCCGTGAGAGGCCAAACACAGGGCGAGGTAGGATCGTCTGAAAGAAAAACTAACCCCATCCACAAGTGGTGCTGGACCTGCGCTGAAGTTGACAACAACCCTAACTTAATGCTAATCTACTCGACACCTCAGCTACCCCAGCTTGTTGAAAAGGACATTTTTTGCAAACCTTCTTCGAATTGACCCTATTAACTGATGAGTGACTAATTTTTATAACAGGGTTGGAGAGAGGCTCGCTTGAAATTAAATTAATCGACATAAATTAATTATTGCTGTTTAATTGAAGACTTATGAAATAGTAGAATATTTTCAAACTCCCCTTTCTAAAATTATGAAGCGTTGTTATTTATAATTAGTTAAACAAGTACTAGATGATTAAATAAGGATTTAGATAACTTATCTAAAATTTCTCCTCTTATAGTTTTTTATTATTAATTTACTAAACGTTGTACACCCTCATGTAAGTTCAAAAAGCATGTAAAATTATCATGCAGTTTTTCTTAATTTTCTGAATAAACCGTTTTATAGTGCAATTTGTTTAAACTTAAATGTTCTGACAATGACGTAGACGACTGGTGATGGTTTTGTCATAACTGAATTTGCTAGACCGTTCAAAATTAGCCACATCAGCAAGCACAGCAACTAAAAATTTTATTACTCCTATGATTTAGGAAGAAAAGTTTTTTCAGCAGGTCTTTAAAGGGTCCAGCAAATTCTTTAATAACTTTTGCATTTTGTGGCCGGATATTTATTAAAATTGGTGCAGTTGTTAATGCTGAATTAATAAGAATTATTTTACGCAGAATAATAAAAAAAAATCTAATAAAATTTTTATTTTGCAGCCATTACTCGACTCCATCCGTGTGAGCAAAGTTCGTGCTACCCTGCCACTGGCAATTTGTTGATCGGACGAGAGTCGCGGCTCTCAGCCACCTCGACGTGTGGTATTGGTAGTCAGGTAAATTCTCGTTCTATTAAACCTGCTATTACCATAAATAGATAACGCTTAATTTTAAATTTTAAACTTTTGCCTTTAAAATTCGTCCATTTTATGGGCTAATAAAAATAGGCACATAATTTTTAATTCTACTTTTATAGGAGAGATTTTGTATTGTATCCCACCTCGAGGAACGAAAAAAGTGCTTCTGGTGCGACTCTAGAGATGCAAATAGAAATGAAGTAACAAGTCACAGAATTAGTAACATAGTCAACAGATATGGCGCAGGGTAAGTAAATTTTGATAAGACGTGACAAATGTTAATTTCAATTTGAAGGCAAAAAAATTAATTTTATAATTAAAATTGTAGGCAGTCAAGTTCGCATCAACACCGAACATGGTGGCAGTCGAAAAACGGTGTTGAAAACGTCTCGATTCAACTTGATCTGGAGGCGGAGTTTCATTTTACTCATTTGATCATCACATTCAAGACGTTCCGACCGGCGGCCATGCTCATTGAAAGATCCTATGATTTTGGAAGAAATTGGCAGGTGTGTTTTATTTTATATGTTAAAAAAAATAAATATATTTAAATTTTGATACTTTTAATAACTCAAAGACAAAGTAATTTACAATCAATTTTCTTCGTTAACTCAGGTGTACAGATATTTTGCCTACAACTGCGAGGAGTCTTTCCCTGGTGTGCCAAGGCAGCCTCCGAGGACCAAAACTGACATTATTTGCGAATCTCGTTACTCATCTGTGGCGCCCTCAACAGAAGGCGAAGTAAATGATTATTATTAAACTTTCTAAAATAATCTGTTGTTAATAAATAAACAAAGCAATGATTAATTTTTAATTTTCACTTGCCTAGGTCATCTTCAGAGTGTTGCCCCCAAACATTCCAATTGAAGACCCCTATTCACAAGAGGTGCAGAATTTGCTGAAAGTGACCAATTTGCGCGTCAACTTCACCAAACTCCACACGCTTGGTGACGATTTGCTCGACAACAGGCAGGAAATTCAAGTATGAATAATCATTTGGCACTGTATTTTAATTAGGCCTACAATTTTAACTTTGAATTAAAGGAGAAATATTACTATTCAATTTATGAAATGGTGGTTCGAGGCTCGTGTTCATGCTACGGGCATGCATCTCGTTGCTTGCCCCTTTCGAACGTCCTTGCTAGGCCAGATATGGTCCATGGTAGGTGCGAGTGCACCCACAACACCCAGGGTCTCAACTGTGAGCAGTGCAAAGACTTCTTCAACGATCTGCCATGGAAGCCAGCCGTTGGAAAGCAATCAAATGCTTGCAAAAGTAAATTTTTATTTATTTCATCTCTCTTACAATACACTATTTTATATTATTTTTAAATTTTAGTGTGCAACTGTAACAACCACACAAATTCTTGCCACTTTGACGAAGCCGTGTACGAGGCTAGCGGACGAGTCAGTGGAGGTGTTTGCGATGGCTGCCAGCACTTCACCCAGGGCTATCACTGCGAAGAGTGCAAGCCTTTTTACTACCAGTACCCCAACAGAGACATCACTGACCCTTACGCCTGCCAACGTAAGCAAATTTAAAATATAATTTATAATATCATTTAACTCTTTTTTTTTACTGATTTCTTCCAGCTTGTGACTGTGACCTCAGAGGTTCATTGGACGAAGGGATCTGCGACTCTAAATCAGATCCCGCAGCAGATCTGGAGTCAGGCCGCTGCCACTGCAAAAAGAATGTTGAGGGCAGAAGGTGTGACAGGTGCATGGCCGGCTTCTGGAACTTCTCGGAGGAAAATCCAGAAGGATGCGAAAGTAAAATATTAAATATTATATTTGAAATGTTTAAAATTGAGTTAATTCATGAAATGGTTATTTTACAGAATGCAGCTGCAATTCCCTTGGCACACATAACAATCAGGGGTGTGACTTTTTCACTGGTGAGTGCACCTGCAAACGTTTTGTTACTGGAAGGGACTGCAACCAGTGCTTACCTCAATTCTACGGACTGTCTGAGGAGCTTGACGGCTGCAAAGCCTGTGATTGTGATCCTGGTGGCAGCTTTGACAACGATTGTGATGTCATTACTGGACAGTGCAGGTAATTTTATTGTAAATAAATAATCTATTGATTTCAAATCTAATACGTAAATAATAGATGTCGACCTAACGTTGGTGGACGGACTTGCAATGAGCCAGTTCAAGGATACTTCGTGGGCTACTTGGACTACAATGTATATGAGGCTGAATATGCTCGCGGAACAGAGGTAAAACCATTTTGAAAGATCAAGCTTAAAATTCAAAGGCGCAAAACTTATTTTATTTGATGAAGTTGATTATGAGTGCTGACGAAAATTTCAAATTACCTTAAAATTTTATGTCATACCAAAAAAGTTCATTCAAATTTTCCTCAAAGTTTATACTAGTTCAAATTTTTTTTGCCAAAAAATTTAAATTTCTGCCATTATTAGGCTTATCAAAATATTTAAAAACCAAAATTTGCAGAGGTGCAGCCAAAAATTTGAGAGGGACTCAAATACAGTAAGCGAAATATAAGTTTCATTTCAAGGTGGTAGTGTGGTTTGGGGTTTGTGGTAATAATTTAGTTTTAGAAGGTACTGAAGGTTTATTGATGTATGCTAATAAAAAAATATGCTTTATTTGCTTTTTTTATTTTAATTTTGTTTTTCATACTGAACAATAGAATCACAAAATTAAGCTGCGTTTTACTTATTTTAGAAATGCCAAGTTATCATCAGAGAACCGTACAGAGATGGCAGAGAGCAAACATGGACAGGCATTGGCTTCATGAAAGTCTTCGAAAACTCTGAGATTGAGTTTGATCTGGGTGACATCAGAACCAGTATGGACTATGACATCGTCATCAGATATGAGCCACTGGTAGGCTTTTGATCAAATTTTCACTTTGCTTTGTTTTTTTCCTTGTCAGTTTATTAAAAACAAGGTCTTTGATTAGATTGCAGGTGGTTGGAGTGATGTGAAGGTGATACTCAAACGACCTTTCAATGACACCATCGATCCGAACGGCCCTTGTGCAAAGACCGTCCCAGAGGATGACATCAAAAGCGTGTCACTTCCAACTAACGGAAGGAGTACTGCTGTATATCCTCCTGTCTGCCTTGAGGCTAATAAGGATTACAAACTGGTCATTCAATTCCGACGACACGACCCTCAAAGTGAATCACCAACAGCAACCATTTTGATCGATTCTGTTAATAATATATTTTATTGTAAATGCGCGTATTTATTTAATTGTTTGTCTAGATTGCTTTGGTGCCCAGACCAGAGGAGTTACCGTTCTTCCAGGGCAACCAAGTCAATGAGATCAAAAGGGACGAGTACGAGCGTTATCGATGCCACTTGCTTTTCCAGAATGTTAACAAGGGACAGATACCTGAAATTTGCCGAGACCATTATTTCAGCATTGGCGTCTTTGTTCACGATGGAGCTAATGGTGTGTTTACCTAAAATTGTATTTAAGATAAAAACTATGTTGATTAACATTATTTTCAGAGTGTCAGTGCGATCTGACTGGCTCAACAAGCACACTTTGCAACTCGCTTGGTGGTCAGTGTGATTGCAAACCAAATGTGGTGGGAAGAAAGTGCAACAGGTGTGCTCCAGGCACATTTGGATTTGGTCCTGAAGGTTGCAAAGGTAGGCCAGATTAAATTATTCTAAAAGGGAAATATTATCTTATTATATTTCTGTTTTTAGCTTGTGATTGCAATTCCATTGGCTCTCAAGACAACTTCTGCGACGTTCAGAGTGGGCAGTGCAAGTGCCGGCCTAACACTTACGGCCGCGAGTGTGATCAGTGCCAACCTGGCTTCTGGGGTTTCCCCAACTGCCAGAGGTGCGAATGTCACGGCCACGCTGACGTTTGCGACTCGAGGACTGGTGCCTGTACAGCTTGCAGGGACTCAACTCAAGGGCACCACTGTGACCGGTGCATTGAAGGCTACTACGGAGACCCGAGAATTGGTTACGACATTCAGTGCAGACCATGTCCCTGCCCTGGCACAGTTGAATCTGGCCACTCGTATGCTTCTATTTGCGCTTTAGATCCGCTTACCCAAGACGTCGTCTGCGAATGCGAGCATGGCTATGCAGGTTAACAATGAAATCAATTTCAGTAAAACATATCAAAATTAATAAAATAATTTTTATAGGGCCAAGATGTGACATTTGCGCCGACAACTATTATGGAAACCCTGACGAGCCAGGTGGCACCTGTCAACTTTGTGAATGCAATGGGAACATTGATGTGTCCATTCCTGGTAATTGCGATGGCAGAACTGGAGAGTGCCAGCAGTGCCTCTTCAACACTGAAGGATTTTCCTGTGATGTTTGTAAGGCAAACTATTATGGAGACGCAATCAACAAACTTTGCACAGGTGAATTAGGAATCAATTTTCTAATTTGTTTTATTAACTGTTTGGTTTTAGAGTGCATCTGCAACATCCTCGGAACAGACAAAGCTGTTGGTGAGTGTGACCGTTCAACAGGACAGTGCCCTTGCCTACCAAATGTAGTTGGGTTAAGTTGTGACCAGTGTGCTGAAAACCATTGGAAGATCGCCAGCGGTGAAGGTTGTGAGGCTTGTGATTGTGACCCCGTGGGATCTACCTCAGACCAATGCAATCAAGTATGAATAGAAAAATTAAAAAAAAAAAAATTGATTTACCAATTTATTTTATTATTTAGTATGATGGACAGTGTGAATGTAGAGAAGGCTTTGGTGGCCGGAGATGTAACGAGTGCCAGGCAAACTTCTGGGGCAACCCTACCGTCGAGTGCATGCGTCAGTATTTTTTGCATAAAAAACTTTTATTTTGTTAATTTATTACTATCTTACAGCTTGTAATTGCAACATCTATGGTTCTGAAACGATGCAGTGCCACCGAAACAACGGCAGCTGTGTTTGCACGGCTGGAATTGGGGGAGAAAAATGTGACCAGTGCGCTAGAGGCTTCATCGGAACCGCACCATACTGCGAACCTTGTGGCGAATGCTTTGACAACTGGGACAGGATTTTGGAAGGACTTCAAGGTGAGAGATATTAACTTAATTTTAACTTCTAAGTTCTTACTTTTCAATTTACAGAGAGAACTAATAGAGCCATACAGAGTGCATCAGACATTAAGCAAACTGGAGCTACTGGCGCTTACACAAGAGAGTTTGAAAATATGGAGAAAAAGATAAGTGAAGTCAAACAGCTTCTAGAGAGTAGTAAGGTCAGCTCTAGTGACCTGGACAATTTGCGTAACAACATTGATGACCTAAGGTACACACAATTAACTGCATGAAATGGTATCTAACTTTTAGATTTCAGAGCCAATCTGACAAGCGCAACATCCAATTTGGAGGGTGTGGAAGGCTTCCTTCAAAACCAAACTCAGAGATTATATGATGCTAACATCACCTTAATTAATTTGCGTAATGACGCCAACGCTCTCAAGATGAATGCTGATACTTTGAAAGAAAATGCGACTAGACTGCAAGAGGCCAACGTTGAAGGTAAGAACAAGTTTGCTTTTTTTAATTCTAAATGATTGCTGGAAATATTATTATTATTTTTTTTTAAATCATCAATTTTGAAGAAGGAGTTTATTAAAACTTTCCTTATTGCTGACAGGCGCTTTGAACCTGACCAGAGAAGCATATAAGCGCTCGCAGGATGCTCAAGATCAGGCGGAATTAGTCAAGACTATCAATGACAATGCGGAGAGAAATTACAAAAGAACCGAAAGCCTTGTAGGCAGAGCATCCGAGCTATTTGCTGAGACCAAAATGGAGAATGAAAAATCGCTGAATAGTCTTAGCGACCGACTCAGCATCCTCACCGATGAAATTCCGGAGTTAAACGAACACGTAGGAAATAATTTTCCTGATGAATACTTTGCTAAAAAAAAAAAAAATATTTTCCTTAGGTGTGCGGCAGGAGAGGTGACCCTTGTGACAATCTTTGTGGAGGAGCCGGATGTGACCAGTGTGGAGGTCTCTCTTGTGAGGAAGGAGCTGTTACGAAAGCAGTCCAGTCAATGGACATAGCTAGAGACAATGACCAGATTATTAAGGAGAAGGAAACTAAGGCTGAGGAGCTTTTCCGAGGGGTAACTTTTTAAGTGCAACAATTTATAAAATTCTAACCATTTCTATTGTAGATTACTCAAGCTAGCGTCGAAGCGGCAAATGCCAGAGATCTTGCTAAAGAGGCTAACATGGCAGCTATGTTGACGAAGAACCGGTCTGAAAGTGGTGTGCAGGACAACAATGAGCTGCTAATTGAGGTCAACGGATTCCTTGTCAAACAAAGAGCAACACCAGAGGAAATTAAGAATCTTGCTCAAGAGGTGAAATATTTGTGTCAAAATCTTAGATTTTTTATATTAATTTTATTTCATAGGTCTTAAGCAAGAAAATTCAACTAGAACCTGCTCAGATTTCCGATCTGGCCCAGGAGATAAACAACACAATTGCCAGTTTGACAAACATTGATGACATTCTTGCCGAGACCAGTGACGACCTATTGGCTGCAAACAATCTCAAGGTTGATTCTGATGCTGCGAAGTATGTTTCAAACTAGCAAAAAATAAAATTTTTTTCGAATATGTTCCCTTGTTCAAATTTTTACAGAGCCGAAGCTGAAGAAATGTTAGAGCGTGCCAAAAAAGTAGTAGAGGACCTGGCTGAAGCTGCAAGCACTCAAGGCCTAGCAGAAGCTGCTATTGAGAAAGCCAACAAGGACATTTCCACTGCAGAGAAAGACTTAACTCAAGTAAAAGCAGAAATATAAAAATGGTGCCAAGTTGATAAAAGTTTTATTAATTCCAATTCCAGATTGCCAGTGAAATGACGGAAGCGCAGCAAAAATCAAATGAAACTCTGGCTGAGGTTGACAGTCTTCTTAACAAAATCAAACGCCTGCAAACCAAATTCCTCAAAAACGAAAGAGATGCGCGCGAGGTGAACGAAGAAGCCAAGTCTGTGGCCACCGAGACGCAAGCTGCTCAGACAAGAGGGTTGGAATTACAGACAGCGTACAAGAATGCGGAGCAGTTGCTTAAGTCCCGATCAGCAAATGCTAGACAGTCGCAGGAAAAAGTGGCTGCACTTCTGAAGAAAGCGTCTGAACTGTCAGTCGGCACCCTTGCTAAGTTCAAGGAACTAAAAGGTCAGTTGGAATTATTTTGAGATAAAAAGCAGACTTTCATTTTGAAAACATATGTAAATATTTTAGGAATGGAGGCAAGCAATCAAAATAATGAGGGAGTGCTGGTCGACCTCTCTAACGAAATTGAGGAGCTGAACGAAAAAATGAAGATCAACCTGGTGGAGATAAACCAAAAATCGGATTACTATCGCAACTGTGTTTCATGAACGAAATTTAGTTTCTAAAGTGACTTTGACTGAGCCACTGGAGTGAATTAAGTAAAGAAAAATACACAACTTGCGCTGCTGCTGCCTTAGATATAAGTCGACATGACAGCCATAACTTAAGATAATTGTAGCATTTTATGTTATATTTTGATTAAATAGGATGTTTTAAATTTGAATCTTCATTTAGAATTTTAAAACTATGTGCAATATTTTTGTAAATAATATAGGTCTCTGTCAAAATCTAGTGCCATTTCGCAACACCTCCTGAAAATACTTTTAGTAAAAAAAAAATGTGCATAATACAACAAATAAACGAGTACTTGCCTTCATCTTGATATTATTTTTATTTGCTTAAAAACAAACACATTTTTATAAATCAAAATTTTAAACCTAATTCTGTAAGGCTGAAGTAGAATGGTTGAGGTTCCTCTTTCAGAATTAGGGCCGCGCAGATATTTATTCGCTTTTTGAAGTTGTAATTTTGTTACAAGCAAGATACTAATTAATTATTTGCACAAAAGGATTTTGAGAGAGCAAATAAATAGTTATGGGATGAAATTTGTCAATTATCAAGTTTCAACAGAATGAACAGAATCAATTCAATAACCAATATAATCATTCATCAAATTAAAAAAGTTCCATACAATGATACTTTCCAATTACATTTAAATAATTTAAACTATATTTCCATTTTGACACAAATGCATTATTTTCTCAACAGAGAAATCTAACAACCATAAAAATTTATACCAATTTGCATAAAACTGTACAAATCCATCTATTTGCAATTGGCACGGCTGCGTTTCTTTATTATTTGATTCTGCATAATAAAAAGGGTCGCAAAAGACTAGTTGATATGGTGCAGAGCAGATTTCAGTTTCAAATCAACAAGAAAGTTCCAATATTTTCCAGATCAATAAAGTAGTAAGATTTTCTTTTCTAATTTGATTTTCTGTGAAAAAGTCAAGAAATAAGTGTGGAAAATAACACGACCTAAAATCCAAGGTACGAAAATTTGAGTTTTACGGTAACTCACTCGATCATGATGGTTTTGTCATGTGCATCTTCGAACACCGTTTCGTCTTCAAAAGTCTCTTCGATAGGGGCCATTTGCCTGGCCCTTTCTGCCACCATACTGGCCAAACTGTTGGAAGCACTGTGGTCGCTCAGGGTGGAAGGACTGACATAGGTGAGCCGCTCAACTTTCCTGGGTGCAGGGGTTGGAATCACCAAATCCTCCAAGCTTGAACCTAAGTCAACGGTTTGATCTAAGATTTCATTTTGTTGGGCTTGTTTGGATATATCCAGTTGGATAGTCCTATTTGAGGAATTGTCTAGTTCGACAGTCCCATTTAATGAGTCTTCCAGTTGGATGGTGGTGTTTAGGTTGGTCCTGGGGGCTATGAAAGGGGTGCTGGTAGCGACCTGGACAAAAGAGGCCTGTGGGGTCATGGTGGCCCTGCTGCGACCTCTGCTGAGCAGCACCGAGTGCAGTTCGGACATGAGGTGACGGTAGTAGGTGTTGTTGGCACTGTCCACAGAGTCGTCCTCATGCCCGTCGTCCCACTCCAGTGAGCCTCCTGACACGCTCACCCCCTGGAAAACCTCCTCCAGGAATGGGTCACCGACCTCTCCCAAGGTTGACGAGAGGTCGATGGTGATTGGAGGACAGTCTTTTCCATTGGTCACCTCCAGGCTCTCATCTTGCATCGAGGACATGACCTCCTTCGTCTTGTTTAGACGGGCAACAAGGATTTCTGCCTTATGCAGAAATGAGTCTGAGGCTGCCAACTCCATTCTGCTGGCCTAGATTATAAGATATAAGAAATTAGTTAAAGAAGAACAAATATAAAAGTATTAAAATATTAATTTTAGAAACTTTTTAAAAAAATCTTAAAATTTAGCTAATGGTTTTCTTGCAACCTTATCGTCTTAGTTTAAAATTAACAAAATTGTAAATCAAAAGAATTTTGAAATAACCTGGAGAGTTTGCAGGGCATGTTCAAACCCTGAGTCACTGAGGTTACTTGAGTGGAGAACGAGAGTCAGGGCATTTTTCAGGTGCATCCTGGAGCTCTCAATGGCCGGCACCAAAGGGTTGACATAGTAGTTGTGCCTCTTGGGGTCTCCGTCCTTTGCCTTGGGAGGCATTCTGAGCAAACGGACACCTTTCAGCACGTCCACAATTTCCTTCAGCTCCTGCTTGGCGTCGGCCATTCTTTGGGTCAGGTGACCCAAAACAGGGAAAACATTCTCGACTTTGCAGGGACCCTCTCTTTTGGCATGCAGGACAAAGTTGAGGGCCAGCTGGTGTGTGAAGACAGTCAGGACCTCTTTATAGTACAGATGGATATCCTGTTAAAGAATGTTTAATTTTTATTTTCAATCTTCTTAGAAAAACTCTAAACCTTCAGGTTGCGGTGAGAGAGGTTGGCTAGGTCAAGGTCAGGGTTTCCAAAGGAGCCAAGGGTGTGCCTGCAGTCGTACTCTGCGGGCAGCTGGTTGGCCGTGTTCATTTCTTCCACAGCCGCTTTGAGCAAAGTCGAGCTCCCCTTGAGCAGCACAACCAACTTCAAAACTCCACTTGTGCCAGAGTTTGAAAGCAGAGACTCGGCAACATGGTTAAGAGTAGAACTAGAAAATTTTTTAAAGTTAAAATTCTTTAAAAAGATTTCAATCTTACGAGAGAAATCTGTGGGACATTTGCTCCTGCTGAATTAAGTGCATGGCAAGGCCAAGTTTTCTGTTGAAACTCTCCAGGATGGCCAGCAGCTGTTTAAGGGTCAACAACCGCTCTTGAAGTAGAAATTGTTTACAGGCAAATAAACCACCTTGAGCCAGGAAGAAAAGCAAAGCTGGTTTTTCTATAATCCAAGAAAATGGTGACTGCCAAAAGTTGAGTGCCTCGTCAGACCTGAAAACAATAATTGGGAATTGGTTTTAATTTGTTTGGAGATTTTAAATTTTAACGTTTTACAAGACTTACGATAATGGAGTAATTTTCTTGGCTTTGAAGGATTTTCTAAAATTCCGAAGCCAGTATTCTGCCTCGGGTCTCACCACAGGCGAGTTCAACAAGTAATTCAGGAACAAATCATAGCATGTGGGATCCTTTCCAAATTTAATCATGGTAAATTCTGAACATGATTTAATTTTACAATTAGAAATAATACCTCAAACAAAGATGGAAAATATTTGTGGACAAGTTCAGTCTGGTCTGGTAGAGATTTAAGTACAGGTTGGAAAAAGTTATCCTGAAAATTAGTTAAAAAAAAATATATATAAATATGATATTTCTAATATATGTATGTACTTTGTAAACTTTTGGTTTAGTAGATTCAAGGCTCCAGCACGATTTGTCGTAAATCTCAAAGTCAGTGAAGCCAGAATTTATCAAATGCTCGTGAAGAGCGCCTCCCTGCAAAATATTATCACAATTTTGGAATCTATTTTTCATAACAATTTTGGATAAATGTAAACGTTTTCCAACCTTGACGACTACGTCCTCGTCTTCTTCTAGGTCGGACATATTTGAGAATTTTTAAATACAAGGGGTAAAAGAAAATTCTCCTTAAAAATATCAAAACAGAAAAAAGAAAACTTGAAGCATTTTCTTGGCAGGGCAGGCCGGTTTGTTTACAACTTGTTTCGCGCTAATTTGTCACAGCAGCCAACATTACAAATATAAGCGTAGTATTGTATTTCTTCTTTTGTTGTTTTATTTTCATTGAAATATAAAAAAAAATTGTCAAAAATTTTATCAACTGAATACAAAAATATTTGTATATAAATGTATTATTTTCAAAATTTTCTCTTAATACAATTTTAACAAAATACCTTTTTAATATTATTAGGTTTGCTGTGGCGTGGGCGTGGCTCCCTAGAGAAGCAAATCTTGGGTCATGTGAGTTTTTAACTGTTTTTTTTTTTTACGTTTATTCAATGTTCGTTCGACATAAACAAAATATAGATTTTATTGTCGGAGACGTCGGAGTCGGACTCGCTCATAACCACACAAGAAGACAGGTGTCAACGCAATGAGCTGGAACGCAGACAAAAGCGACCAAGCCACAAACAGTAAGCAAACTCTTTCATCAAATTGCAAAATTTCAAAATGATAATTTTATTAATTAAGATTCCGCATGCCCATCAATGCATAGTATACATAATATATATTTGCATTTTACTTTCAGAACTGGCTGGAGAGGTGCAGCTCAAAAAGTACGGCCGTATTTTGGAAGAGTACCTGCACAAAACTTCCGCCTTTTCAGACAGTCTCGGCTGCGAGTCCTTTTGGGATCCTGCCTTCAATTCAATCCACCTACAAACCTCACCTTTCGAAGACCAAGACATCTTTCAGTTGCTTGTGTCTGACAACAAGACGTTCAACAAGAATGCTGCAGCTGTAGTCGCAACATGTCTTGCTGCGACAGAAGCCCACCAAGAGGCTCTGCAACTCTGCCAAGGCCTTCTTTTTTATGGCGAGGGACCCTTGAATGAATACTCGGAGGGCGCTGTCTGTGTCAGCCGAATGCTTGAACCTCTGCAAAAACTTCTTGGCTTGGTTGGGCGTTGCGGACAGGTTCTGGAAACTGCCCTTGGTCACCTGATTGCTCTTTCTGCACCTACAGAGTCTAAAGGATTGTTATTTGGATCGTGGACACCTGATGTCAATTTACATGTGCTAGTAGATGCCATTGGAACTGTTCTCTTGACCCTTATCACTATTCAGGTTTAATCAAAATTTTCTGTTTTTCTCCCTTGTGGAAAAATGTTTCAATTTCTTCTTTTGTCAGGAGGTACTTTCAGGTTGTTCATTACTTCGTACACACTGGAGTTTGTTGAAACGAACGTTGAAAGCAATCGCCCAAGAGACTGGAGGTATCCAAAAGGAGAAACTCTTGCGTCTTCAGGTGGTTTTCCATGAATTGGAAAAGAAGTTGATAACCGGTGATGTGCTCAATTCATGTCTTCGACTTGTCATCGAGCCAAAATCTGGCAGCACCTTTCCTGCATCTGCAATTGAGCAATTATTCAAGTATTCCAAAGCAGAAGTGGCTGAGCTGGAATTGGATGTGGGCAGCCACTTGTCCTGGGTTAAAGCTTCTGCTGTGTTTGTACTTGGAACCTTACTTCAAGGCTCCGCTGACAAGAAAATGTTCCGACTAATCTGGGAGCCTCAAAAGAGGGTGCGTTTAAATCTTAGATAATTTGCATTTGTTTAAAAATTTAATATTAATAAAATACTGATGTTTCATTAACTTTAAATTTTAATTTTCAGATTACAGCTGTGATTCTGTTGGGCTCAGTTTTGTGGCTACCTGAGTCCTTCTTCTTTAACTACCTTCCAAGTGCCAGTCAGCTAGCGGACAAAAGAACTAAAACTGCCGTCGCAGCAAGCAGAGAGTTGTATCTGCAACAAAAGTCCCAATCTCTAGCCAAGGATACCCAAGTCTACTTTTTCATTGTAATTATTGCTAATTTTTTAATACCTTGGAATTAAGTTTTGAACCAAAAAGGTCTGTGATTGGCTCATACAAATGGATGCCTGCATGCGGAGAGACACAACACAACTGAAGCTCGACGACTTACATGCTAAATGCGCAATTTTACTGCAGGTTTGTGAACTCAAAATAAAACACTCTCATTACCATTAATCTACTTATTATTTTATCTTAGGGTGTTGAATTCCTGCAAAGTATGGGTGCAATAGTGAGGATTATTTTCAACCTGCACGTTCACTTAGGGGTTCCAATTCTTCGATCTTCCGTTGTGAATCTTTGCAAACTGGTGGAGCTGATGAAAAATGTCGAGTTCATGTACTACTCCAAATCGATTGCCATTGGAGAATCCTTGAACCATCTTATTCAGCACCTAACCTATCAAATTATTGCCATCGTTGCAAATGCAAAGGTAATTGAAAATAAAAATCTTACTTAATTATTTTTTTAATGTCGTGTTGTTTTCATTCACAGAAAACTCTTCCAGCCGACAACAAACGAAACACCAGAAGTCGACTAGAAGTGCTGGCAGCCCTGCAGACTATTGAATTCTGTCTACAGGGGACTTGCAGTCAAGAACGCAGGCTTTTGACCAGAGTGGCCTTAATTTCAGCCAATCAGCTAAAACACATTTCGCCTGACGATACGAACAACCTAAAAATTTTGATGGCCAAGCTTGATTCTGTATGCGAGCTGGAAAACCGGTTGCGTTTAGCTGCCGATTGTTCCTTCATTTACTGGCATAGGGTCGTCCTGCCCATTTATTTCAGCCGAATGCTGGAAGAAAGAGCAGACCTCAAGAGACTGAAGGTATTAAAATTAAATTATTGTTTTACCACTGAAATTACATATTGGCTTAAGTACATTTTTGCAACGTTCCACGACTGCTCTTCAGCAATGCAACACTTGCAGCATATAGAAAAACCTGAAATCCTCCAGAATCAATTTAAAAATGAAATGTTCACAGCTTTGAAGCTCAAGGTATTTTATTGCAGTTTTTCTCATTGCTAGATAATTTACAAGACCTTTGTAGCTGCTTGACCCTTTGTGCCAAGAAATTGAGACAGATTTGCGGCTCCGAGTTCATTCACATTTGCAAGTAAAAAATGAGGGAGGAAACAAGTCTGGCTACCACAGTATGATCAATTTTGGGCCTCTCAGATTCTTCGACGATTTCCTTAATATTAAAGGTAAAATTAAACCCCCCACCCTCCACTGCAATCGTAAACATTCAACATAAAAAATTCTCTTTAGATTATGTTGAAAAATATCTGAGTGCCACTTTCTACAACTTGACCACCGTAGCTTTGCATGATTGGAATACCTATGGTGACATGCGAGTGATAGCTAGGGTGAGATATGGTGTCAACACAGTTGACGACCACCTCCCCAGCCAGACACTAGAACAGGGCTTGGACGTTTTAGAAATCACACGCAACTTGCCATCGTTTGTGTCGAATCACGTCTACAATCTCAACAACCAGATCTTCGTTGAGCTTGCAAGCAACAACAAATACCTAAACACAATTAACGTTCAGCATATAGCAAATTCTATTCGGACCCACGGCACAGGAATAATTAACACCACAGTACATATAAATTTATAGAATATTTTAGTTGAATATAAAATAATCTTTGAAAGGTCAACTTTACCTACCAATTCCTGAAGAAAATGTTCCAGTCGGTATCAAAATTCTTATTTGATGCTCGCATCAAATCTCGTCTGATGAAGGAGTTGCACAACTTCCAAGAGACTAAAGAAAATACGGATCAAAAGTATTCATTTTCAAGAGCAGAAAAGTTCAACCAAGGCATTCGCAGGTTGGGAGTCACAGCTGAAGGTCAGAGTCTCTTGGACCAATGCAGAGATCTAGTCACTCAAATAGGTAACTATTGAAAGCTGAGAATTGGATTAGAATTAATTTTTAGTTCATAGGAAATGCAATTGGCTATGTCAGAATGATGCGTTCTGGAAGCAGACTGTACATTTCCAAAGCCATAAGTTTTGTTCCTGACCTAGAAGATGTTGTGTCGTTTGAAAAGATGACCCGAGAAGAAGGTTTGCCAGACTCCTGCATACAGTCGGCCAAAGAACTTGACATCATGCTCAACACTCTGCTCAGCAATTTTGATAAGGGAATCGAGTATTTCAAGGTAAAATTATTAAATTTATAATTCTACACAGCAAGTTATGAAAGAATAATTCTTTCTTCAGCTCCTTGTTGAAGTTTTTGCCCCTGTGTGCAAAGACCCTAAAAACTCTCACTTCAAACTCTTCCATGCTCTTGTACCTCCTCTGACCATCAACTTTGTGGAGCACATAATTACTTGCAAAGAGAAGCTGAACAAGAACGTGAGAGATCGAGCGGCTTTTACCGATGATGGTTTTGCAATGGGTAAATCAATTGAAGTGTTTTTTTTTATAGCATGGATAATTCTGTCTCAATTTTTAAGGTGTGGCTTATTTGCTGAAAGTTCTCGAACTGGACTCTGAGTTTGACTCACTGCACTGGTTTCAGTCGGTGAAGGAGAAGTATGCAATGGATAAAGCAGAACTCAAGGAACAAACATTGAAAATTAAAAAGGGCGACGAAAAGTTAAAACAGACATTGGTACTGACTGATAAGCGCATTGAAACTTACCAGCAGGTATAATAGCAATTAAGTTATCAAATTGTTGCAAATTAAAATTATTTTTTAGGAGTTTGATCTTCTTTTTTTCAACTTGAGCAGTGCGAGAATTTTCTTCAAAGGTTATGTTAATGAAGAGATCAAGACACCAACGGATTTAACGGAAAGCACAGAAAGAAAAGTAACTGAAAAAAATTAATATCACTACCAAAACACATTATTGTTAATTATTTGACACAAAATTTCCAATTATATAATTTAATAAAAAAATGCTCCTTTTTCATATATTTCGAAGTTTATTTTATTGTAAAGAACAAAGAACTAATTTTGGTGCAGTAATGCAGCTGTGAAGCAAACAAAGAATATTTTCATTGGGAAAATTTATTAAGAAATTTTTAATTCAAGGAAATAATAAAGCCATCAAATAAAATCTTTGTGGCTTTGGTGCGGCTATTCAAATTATACAGTTCTAAAGGTATTCCATTAATGAGCATGCGCCGCACGTACGAGTCGCGGTGGCTTTTTCCGATTAACCGGATAGCCGGTTATCGGTATTTTCTTATATCTCAACGGCTGAATTCTGAAGCTCTGCTGTGGTCCTACAATCATTGCGGACACGCCACTAGCGACCTCACATCGGTATAAACTGGCAAGTTAAAAAACCGCTTCGCCAAGTAGACCGTTAACCGTAAATAAATGAGGACGAAGCATCAACGCTGACAACAAGCAGGTGCGTCGGTCAATTTTTGTCGAGGAAACAATTCGGCGGACGAATCTGCAAGCGGGCGTTGCGTGAGGCGATGGGGGCGACCTGATGAGTGGCGCCGACTCTTCCAACCCCGAGGCACACCCCCATCCCCACTGGCGGCACCGCCTCCGCGAGACGGTGCTCTCGACCGCGTCCGACGGCGCCCTCCACATCTCTGTTGTCGGCGGCTCGGACAATGGACAATTCGCCCAGGTAATTATTAACCACCTTCATTTTGTTTCAATCCGAATTCTTTTCTTATCCCTCTTCTGCTGAGCATTCTCTGAAAAGAAAGCACCAGGCAGGCCTTCAGGGTCCTCCTCGAACCTGCCGTTAACCTCTTTTTCGAGCGGTCTCAGGATTTTAGTGATTTCTGAACTATTCCTCCAACAGTATCCCTTAAATTATGCTGAAGATCAATTCTGGATAATTTGTTTTGAATATTTTGGAGGAATTTTCCAGTCTTGAAGTTTTATTGAGCGGAAAATGCAGTTGTTTTGGTGTTTTGTTTGATCGAGCTGGCAATGGCGACGCCTCCTTTTTGCAACCTTTCCTGTTTACCTGAGACAGTGTCAGGTTCACGGTTCACCTCGACTGCGTCAGGAAATTTTAATATTGAGAAAATATCTATGGATTACAAACTATCTAATCTTTTTATCAACCTCAATATATTTATAAGGTTTAATAGTTTTATTTTTTTTACTAACAATAAAAATTAAAATGTTATAATTTGAGGGATAATTTGTACACTGAACGCTAAAGATGTTGTTAAATTTGATACATTCAAATAATTTATGAATTTATTTGGAACTTTTAAAAATTTCAAAATTCATGATGTTAATACAATTAATTTTCGTATTTTCTGATTAATACTTTTTATTTATTAAAAATATTAATATTTTAGGTTTCCATTAACATTTTGTTTACTTTTAATTTCAAATCGATACTTATCAGCAACTCATCTGATTCCACGCCAATCATCATTCGATCAAATCTTTTTTATCATTTTCTTCCACTACGAGAAATAAGTGAACATTTCTTTTCGATTTGTCACCAGGTGGGGCCCGATTTGAACCAGAACAAAGTCAACTACGCGTCGGGACGTCTCTACCCTGGGGACGTGATCATCGAGGTGCAGGGCCAGAAGGTGGCTGGCTACACTGAGAGGGACGTGCTCGCCTGGCTGCACCACTGCTGCCGCAACGGAAACCCGGTCGTCATCAAGACCATCCCATCGAGTGAGTAACAAAAATCAAACTAACCTCACATCCTCATTGAATGGCCACCGATTGAATGGCGAATTTCCTCAATTGTTATTATTTGTCCTGTTCAACCGTTTGACATGTCGAATTGCTGCTCACCCAGAACAAGCTGGTTTATTTTTTACCATCGAATTCCCCTCTAGTCCTATAAAAATTGAAAGGGGGTATTCATCTTATTTGTATTCATTTAAAATTTTTGAAAATTTCCTGCAGAAATATTATTGGCAGAATGTTTTTTAATTAATAAAATTTAACATAAAATTTTTCAGAACTTTCAAAAATAACTTAATTTTTAGTTGCTTACAAAATATTAATTTAATTTTTGCGTGAAATATGGAGTGCGAAGCAATTTTCAATTTGCATGTAATTTCTTACTTAGCGATATTGAAGTTTAACAGCAACACTGAAAGATCTTTTAAGCTTTTGCTGAAAAAAATGGTGTGCTTTGATTTTGCACAATGTTTCCGCATTGAAACGACGAGATTCAAAAGAGCTCTTTTGCATGCTTCCGTTGATGCAAATTGTGGTCTGGCCGGCGTCACTGCGTTTTTTTGCATTTTGTCTACTGCTTTCTGAAAGAGGAAGGATGGATGCAAAACAAAGAGCCCATTAGAAAGTGAGATGAGAAAATACCACGCTCACGGTTGGTTGAACTCGAAAAAATATCCAGCCGCTGCGACCTCCTTCCTGCAGGAACAATACTAAAATTTATTGCCAGTTGCAATTTCTGATATGCATTTTTTACGTCTTTGAAATCCAGACGTATTTAATCGGTACACATGAAAAAATTTCCGTTTGGAAGATATTTTATAAATTTGCTTTTGAGGATCAGTTTTTTTTTCTTTGCTCAATTAGGTGAGGTGGTTCAATTTCTTACTGTAAATAACATTTTTGTTTAAAACTAAATTGAAATGCGTTGGTCTAGGAGGACAAATCTTTTGTTCAAAAAGTACAAGAAAAGTCCTTCTGTTTCTTAGTTAAAAAAAAATGCCTCAAATTCGCGCTGTTCTTTTTAATGGTAGGAAAGTTGCTTGTTTGTTTTCCACTTGGCAACTGGGCTATTATTGGGAGTTCATGCGCCGTCAAATAATCGCGTGCTCCCCAAAACTGAACTGAAGTCATGAGTTAGCTGTTTACAGTACGGAAGAGGTGTGCAGAAGCCACCAAAATGTCTTTTTCCGTGCTCATCAGCTTTGGCGGCATTAAAAAAAAGATAATTCTAACATGTACTGACAGTTCATCACATGTCATTAATTAATCAATCAATCTACACTATTTTTTATGTACATCACACTTTCTCATCTAGAATCTTATCATAACAAAATATTATAAATTAACTTGAATGAAATAATATTATTTTTTATTTGAAGAATAAATAATACAAAACCGTCAGTGAAAGTAAAAAATTTGGAATTATAATATTTAAGAAATAATTTTTAATTTTTTCACTTTTGTTTTTATTTCATTTGATAGTTTGACAGAAAAATATTTCTCTCTTTGCCCATCGTGCAACTTTGCTCGCCGTAGTATCAGTTTTGTCCGCCCAGCACGCCGGATCAGTTTCAGTAACTTGAGTTTGTTTGTTACATGCTACTTCCCAAATGCTTATCTCTCTGTTCATTTTGGAGGCACCTGTTGACTCACCCAAAAAGAGGACCCGCTATCAGCCCACAGCTTATCTAGTGGGAATATACACGCACTTTTTGTTTGCTATGGGATGTTGGACGTTGGAAATGGTCTCTTGCTTCAATTCAGATTCCTCTGCTCTTTGCTAAAAGCATTTTAGCTTTTTAAATCCTGGAACAAAACTGATTTTAATTGAGAAAACATCAACTTTTTGTTGTTATGACTGGTTTTGACAAAAAATAGAACTATGAAGCTGAAAATAATTTATTACCAATAACTTTTTAAGTAATCATTAATCTTGCAGAATAATTTTGATAATATATTGAAAAGCTAAATATTACAAAAAAGATTTTGGCCAATGTGAATCGAATCTTAAGATCAGTTGATAAATTTGATGGAGATTTACAGAAATTTATATATTTCTTCGATTGATTATAAAAATGCAAATGAAATGTAAAAAATATTTTTACACCACTTTCAAAGGAATCTAGAGCAGCACTATACATTAAGTCCCCTCACAGAGCGTCTCTTCCGCTCGAGTTTTCACATGTGCCGCACAAAACCCTCCACCCCTACCTGCATTATTCATTTTGTCCCACCTGCTATTTTCTCAGCCATCTCAAGACACTTGAAAACAAGTTGTTGGAAGCTCTCTATTTATTTCTTATCGTACTGAGCGGTTTATAATTATTTTCTTTTTCAATTTTTTTTCCGAATGAATGTTTAGAAAACACAACCTTTTTTATTTACTATTTTTATATTTCCATACAAATTATTTTCTGCGTTTATCTTACAATTGGCTAAAATTGAAATATGACCAAAAATATTTAAAATTTGCAATATTGCATGGAAGAAACTGATATTATTTGCCACACTGCAGACTTAATGAACTTGAAGGGAAGTGCACATGCCGGCCATCTGTTTCTACCCTGCTGTGCCCTTTCTTCCCGCGCCTACTCAAATTTCCTCCCTTCTCATCTTCGCACCCCAACGCCGGCAAGATTTTCTTATATTAACTGCTTGCTCGCTTTTTTTGCCCATTCAGACCAGTTTTAGTTTTCAAATATCACGAACATTATGACGTGGGAGGAGAAGTAAACTGTGCAGCGGTGTTAGTTTTTTTAAACGTGCTACCAAACAGAACTTCTTATTCAAAGGCGTTTTCGTCGCTTTTCCCCTTGGCCGCCTGTCCTCTCTCCATCACCCCCCTTCACAAGTGAGCCAAAGGATTGCGCTTAGAATTATCTCCCAGTTAGTCGAAATAAGCGAACTGAAAGAGTACGGACAGTTTTCTCTGTGGGAGTGCAAATAGATATTTTGGTGTGCGGGTAATATTCCTTTGCTTTTTAATTGAAATCCAGGTCATCTAATTGTAAAGTAAGTCATTTTCAAAATAATTTATTATTTATTTCTGGACCTTCCAGAGGTTTAAGGCTAAATAAACAAGATAGTATTATTCATCTTTTTGGGAGTGCCATTCTGATAGTTTGATTTAAAATTATTAAAGATACTGCTTATATCTAAAATTTCATACTTCAAAAGTAATTTAATTATAGTGGTGGTGCCGTTTTGTCCAACAATTTCTTTTTTCCAAATAAATGTTTTCAACAATCTGTATGTAAACAATGTGATGTAACAATTTGGACAAATAAACAACAATAATAATAATATTTTTTTTCAACTTTACTCTAGGCCGTTTTAAATCTGCCAATGCAATTTTAATTATTATTAAATTATATTTTTTTTAATAAGACACGCAAATTATTATATTTTGCCGAAATAGTAAATTTTTGATCAGACAATATTAAATTTTTATCCGTGTAATTACAATAACCGATTTTCTTATTATTTTTCACCACCTAGCCAAATATATGTGCCTTTAGTGCAAATCAATTTTGTTAATGATTGCAGCTGTTTTTTATGATTAGATCGTTTCCAAATGATTTTTCTCATGTGTGCATACAATCCATGACGCATTTTGTGCCTGATTACACCACGCTTGCCAGCTTAAAATACACAGCGTGAGGCGTCTGCTTCTCATCAAGCTGACTTAACACAAACAGAAATGCTGGCTGGATGGTGTCGATTATCGGCGGCCGCCCCAATTGCTAGTCAGCAAAACTGCAACAATAACCGCTTCATTAAAATTCTAAATATTCAGCACTTTCTGATTTTGCTGTCCGCAGGGGTTTGTTAATTTTTCCCTGCAGTTTTCTATACTTGCAATTTTTTATTATTAACATTTAACTGAATTACTTAAATTTTAATTTTAATTAATTGCCATTTTACTATATATGGGCATTTTTTTTCCTTTGAAATTTTATTAATTTTAAATAATCTGCTGATTGTGAGATTGACTGCAGTGTTAATTTGGTTTTACATAATATGCATGAATATTCACTCTTGAAAGCTTGAACATAAACAAGGTCGTGATTGCGGCGGCAGGGCTGAAAAAGAAAATATTTACTTAACCAACCCCTTTTCAAAGTAAAATTTGAGCCCAGACGAGACCCATTCACGATCAAAGAGCAGGAGATCCTTTCAAAAAATGCAGTTCTTTTGGTGGAGCAACAATTCGACCGAGTCTCGCCGCTTGAATGTATAAAAAAAAATCCGTGTTCTGCGCTGTATTAAACATGTGCTTTATAGACCAAAATCTGTTCTGTTGAGTAATTACTTTTTTCAGAACTGCCACTCTCATTGTAAAAAAAAGTGAGAGAATTTTAGTTGAACGTTTTAATTCTAGTTACAGCATAATTTTGTCTTAAGGGCAAAAAGTAAAATGAAATCAAATAATATAGGAAGCTATTTATATTATTCATATATCATTCAAAACCATCAATATGTGAACCTTCAATTTTTTAACTAAGCTCGACAATCAATCTTAAAATCGTCCTTGACAACAAATATCTAATTGTAAGTTGTTTTCAAACCTAGCCACTTGGTGGCATTTTTTCTGACCACTTGTATGGCTTCAATATATACACGAGTCGAATGATGGATTATTTTTCGCCACTAAGCCAAAATCGCAAATTTGCCCCCAAGTAGTGCAACTGCATTCTAGAAAGGCAAGTGACAGTGTTGCTGGTTTGTTTCTAGGCGAAATCACGAAGGACCTGCGGCAGTTCCTGAACACGCGCTTCCAGAAGGGATCCGCCGACCACGAGTTGCAAAACACCATCAGAGACAACCTCTACCTGCGCACCGTGCCAGTGACGACCCGAACAGCGCGGGAGGGCGAAGTCAACGGCGTTGACTACACTTTTCTCTCTTTGGACGAGTTTGTCGCTCTCGAGCGACAGGGCAACCTACTCGAGAGTGGCATTTACGAGGGCAACCACTATGGCACTCCGAAGCCCACCAAGAAGTCTCCTGGCCCTGTCGGTGCCTCGGGGGGCGCCGTCATAGACGCCATTTTTCCTGGAGCTCACCCTAGTTCTGAGGGAAAGCGTAGAAGAAACAGGTTTGACCTTTGTAAAAGTCGCAATTGGCGTTTTTCTGACTTTTCCGCGGTATTTAGGTCAAATGTTGAGGCCATGGCTGCCAAAAACAGCAACGTTGATCATGAGCTTGAAGCTAGCAATGGAGTAGATGAAGGTGAAGAACCTCATTAATTTATTTTATTGCAATTTTGAATCCTTTATAAAAGTTTAGAATTTAAACTTTTCCCAATTTATTTCACTTTGATAAAAAAAAACTTTGCTTTATATATTTGAAAACCTGATCAAGGAAATGTGTTTTTTTCCAACTCCCATTTATACAGAATTTATTTCCTCTTTTTTTCATATAAAAATTAGCCCTAAATAAATTTGAATTATTTATTTTCAAATTACTTGTCATTAACATTTGAAATTTGTTTCTCTAGTTTCCAACAATGTCATCATCCATACGGAGACAAATCCAGGCCCGCCAAGTTACTCCAAGGGCCCAGAGCCGCTCGAGTCTCCGAGAGGTGACGAATTGGGTCCCTTGCCTGTAAATTGGGAGAAAGCGTATACTGAGCGTGGAGAAGTTTATTTCATCGACCACAACTCCGGCACCTCTCACTGGCTGGACCCGCGACTAATTAAGTTCCAGAAGAAGTCTCTGGAGGAGTGCATGGACGACGAGCTGCCGTATGGTTGGGAAAAAATTGAAGACCCTCACTACGGCACTTACTACATCGACCATGTCAACCGAAAGACACAGTATGAAAATCCAGTCATCCAGGCCAAGAGAGCTGTCCACGGGAGTGACACAGGTCAGTGGGAATAATTGTTGCCTCACAGTGCATCATGATCTAACCTTTGAGCTTTTTGCTGATACTCATGCCAATTTTGTATCCCTTAATTGAACAATAACCAAATTAATCAAGCAACCTGTGCTTTAGCTTCTCTGGCTTTGAATGACTCTGACCCCCTGCAGTACAGTCCCCAAACAAAGCAGCAAAATGAATCTCCAAGGCAAAATGGGCCACTTAACCTGTCTACAAAAAGACAACCAAGTAAGTTCCCAGATTTTTTTAATCTATTTCAAAAGGTTTTCTTGGAGAGATTATATAATATATATATTTTTTTAATTAAAACCAAGAAATCAATTTTATGACTCGAGCTAATACGACTATGAATTTTAAACACTAAGCGCACTTTTGGATTCACCTCCATATAATTATTATACTAATGCACATGCTATGAACAATTATTAACTATTATTTCAATCTATGAAACAAATTTGGGTGTTGGCTATACATTTAATAAATTTATGAAGTAAATCAATGCACAGATGAAGGATCAATAGAAGAGGAGCAGAAACCTCAACTGAACCAAACCATAGTGCCCAAATTTGCAAAGCCCACTCTACCTCCAGTGCAGCCCCCCTGGAACAACGTCTACTCTGACAATCCCTCAAAGCCAATGTACTTAAATATCCCTTTAAGAACACTGCAGAAACACCAAATGATAAAAGGTAGCACAAAACCCCTTAAATCCCTAATGCAATGGTTAACTTAAAGTGGTGGAAGAAATAACCCTTACCTTATATTCAAAACGCAGAATCCAAATTATATAGAAAAAAGAAGATATAGCTTTTATATCATAAACCAATTAAAATTTGGAGATTCAGGTAGTTATCTCCCTGTTTTGTTATGGGTGTTGGTTTAATTGCACTTACTGCTTTAAGGATTAACTGGAAAATATAAAACTTAGCATAATTGTATTTTTAAACTTAAAAAATATTCCAGCAGACCGGCCATTTTTCACACGGAACCCAGACGAGCTGCAAGGCGAGAAAATAACAACCTCATTGCTGAAATCTTCTAGAGGTTTGGGCTTCACCATAATTGGGGGTGATGACTCGGAAGAGGAATTTTTGCAAATCAAATCGGTTGTTCCTCAAGGACCTGCTTGGATTGATGGAAAGCTTCAAATGGGTATGTTTCCTGCAATTACAATTTCTTCTAAAATATTGATGATTCTGCACAATTAGGTGATGTACTTGTTTACGTGAACACAACTTGTGTGCTCGGTTTCACACACCACGACATGGTTACCGTATTCCAGTCAATCGCCCCAGGAGAGAATGTCACCTTGGAAGTTTGCCGTGGATACCCTCTGCCCTTTGACCCGAACGACCCCAACAATGAGGTTGTCACAACAGTCGCTGTTAATGCTCCAGGTTATTGCTGTTATTTTTATTCTTAATGAACCAATTTAAATGCTTAAAATTTCAGACAATTCAGACATGAGCATTTATGCTGACAGAGACTCCAGTCAGTACTTTGATAACGACTCGGAAGATATGGTTAACAACTCTGTGAAATCAGTGCCTGATTTGTGCGCCTCGGAAAAGATGACCCGACCAATGCCTCGTCCGAGCAGCACAGACATGTTGTTGAATAATGACATGTCGAATGATAACTTGTCTGTGCCTGAGTTTCTCACCATTCCCATAGTCAAAGGTGCTATGGGTTTTGGCTTTACTATTGCTGACAGTGCCTATGGACAAAAGGTAAAATTGGTAAATTAAAAAATTGAACTTAAAAAGAATGAATTAATTTCTCAATGCCATAGGTGAAGAAAATCTTGGACAGACAGCGTTGCAAGAATCTTCTCGAAGGAGATATTCTCGTCGATATCAATAATATCAACGTCCGAAACATGAGCCACATCGAAGTGGTGCAGGTTCTTAAGGACTGTGCTCGAAATCACGAGGCCAGCGTCACTGTGCAGAGGGGCGGTCTTGGCTCGCCATCCAAATCCAAGTTAGCTGGTCGACGTAAGGAAGAGAACGCTCCACCACCACCGTCTCCACCAAACAAAGCCGCCTACAAAGATGTGCTGCTTGGAATGTACCGCAGCAAAACACCCACGGCCGATCTCTACAGCACTCAGAAGAAAGAAATCGTCCCTAATAGGCCAAAAACTCCTCTTGTTGATACAAGACCACGTTCAAAGACGCCAACAGGAAAGTGGGCAGAGGTAGACTATGCCATGAATTTGAACAAGAGTGTGGAAGGGGTGCAGAAGGTTGGCACTGGGCCTCAGAGCCCAGACTCACCTGATTCAATGTACAATCCGTACAAGGAGACCTTTACTTACGGATATGTGGATGAAAGAGTGGAGCAGATCAATCAACATCTCATCAACACAAGTCTGGAACAAAATTCCAGACTAGAGTATGGGATGCGAAGCAGGAGTCCAGGACAAGAACTGGACTACCCACCAAATAACATCAATCAGTATCGACACGAAGCTGGGTAGGTTTTGTTTAGAAATCTTTTTCTGATTGATGAATGAAATATTCTAATTAATTTAGGCAAATCGATTACTACCCAAGCCAATATCCTGGCTACTACAATGGTTATGGACCATCACCAGTCAGTCCTTATGACCCCATGGCCTATGCATATTCAGACCACAAAGAAATGCCGCAGCAGGCATACCATCAGTCGGGATTGCCACCCCCTGGAACGGTAATTCCACCCCTTCACTCTGGAAATTATTATCCTTCGGACAGTCTGACCAGGAGAAAAGAAAGTACCAGCTTTGAGCATGAACAGCCTTTGCCCAGTGCAATGTCAAGGTACTTATTGTAATTGAATTTTGTGTTGGAAGTTTTAATATTAACTTCAGATTGAACAGAGGTGAACTTCGGTGGAATCCCGCCTCACAAATTGGCCAGGCAATTCGAATTTATCCAGCAGGGCCAGGACTTGAGTGGGTGGAGACGGTGAGCACCCTGCTGAGGCAAGAGTCTGGTTTCGGATTCCGCATTGTTGGTGGAACAGAAGAGGGGTCACAAGTTTCAATTGGACACATTGTGCCTGGTGGTGCTGCCGACCTTGATGGCCGTTTACGCACGGGCGACGAGATTGTCAGTGTGGATAATCACAATGTGCTCAGCACTTCCCACCATCATGTTGTCCAGCTGATGGGCAAAGCGGCCGCTAATGGACGTGTGACAATAGGTGTGAGGCGACGTGTACCCACACATGGTCAGTATATTTTGTAATAACAATTTTTACTTAGTATCTTACCAACTGATTAATTTGCAGAGTTGCAAAATATGAACAGGCCTGACATAGGATACCCCTTCAACGTGACTGTCAGTAGGAGAGAAAACGAGGGTTTTGGTTTCGTTATCATTTCCTCGGTAAACAAGGCTGGTTCCACCATAGGTAATTTTTTTGTCATCTGCCTTAATTAGGCACACTGAGCTTTTTATTTGCAGGACGAATTATTGAAGGCTCGCCTGCTGAGAGGTGTGGCCAGTTGCATGTAGGGGATCGCATTTTAGCTGTTAACAATGTTGACATAGTTAACCTGCATCACGGAGATATTGTTAATTTAATCAAAGACTCTGGTTACACTGTCACGCTCACTATTGGACCTCCTGTAGGTAAGCAAAATCAATTTGAAAATAACTAGGTAGAAATTAATCTCCTTCAGAATATTTAACAATCAATAAATCTTTCACTCAATATGATACTGTTATTCTGACTCAATATTTGAAATTTGACATTTCAGATGACACTTCAAGCACAGCTTCGATTTCGCAAAGAGTAAGTCTACTTAGTTTAGAACCCTAGAAATATATATTTATCTGCTTAATTTTCACCGCTACTGCACGATTTCATGGATTAAATAATCTGTTCACTGGCCCATTTTTTATATTTTATTTATATTGCATGCTATGGTACCTAACTGTAAATTTTGGTATTCTTGTTGGTTACTCATTCCGTCTTCTGCTTTTTGCTGCCCACTCACCAAAGGTTCTCCAGCTTGAATATGGTCGGTAATAATAACTATCCTGATAGCTTAACAACGTCTTTACTCACCCTAATAAATTCCAGAATTTCAATTCAAAGTTAACCTGCTCATTCACGATTTTTGAATCTTAAATGCTAGTTGTTATTAATCATTATTGTTATGAATAATAAAGTTGAGAAAGTTTGTTGAATCGATCCTTAATCATCAATCTCCTTCTTCTACCCCCCCCCCCCCTATTGCACTCTCACCAATTTGCAATTTTGCTTCATCCGAGGTATTGCATTTTTATATTTACAACCCAACTGAAATTTCAAATGATATTTATTTTGCTCAGGAGGATGATGCAATTGAAGAATATCACGCAGTAGAACTCAACAGAGGTAAAAGGGGGTTCGGCTTTAGCATAAGAGGTGGACGAGAATTCCACAACATGCCTCTGTTTGTGCTGCAAATTGCTGAAAATGGGCCAGCATCTCTCGACAATAGACTCCGGGTATGTTAAGAAAAAAAATGTCGATTTAATTTTTTTTAACAATTGAGATTTCATGTTAAATAGGTTGGTGATCAAATTATTGAGATCAATGGCGTGAATACCAAGAGTATGACGCACGCTGAAGCCATTGAGATCATCCGAAACGGGGGACCCTGTGTCCGTCTACTTATCAAGAGAGGAGTCAAGATCCCACCCGGAATTGCAGGTACCTTTAATTTATATCCCTAAAATACCATTTCAATTAACTTTTAAAAGAAATTCTAGAGGCTGGAGGAGCCTCGGGATTGATTCGACCTGGCAGCTCACTTTCCCAGCCAAGTACAGTGCCGACGTCATCGGGGTTGAATGGCCCAATCACATGGGACCACTTTCCCCAAAGCTGATTTTGTAAGTGCCCATAAGAGTGGATAACTGTCGACATTGAGAAATAATTGGAACTGCTCGGTGGAGTTCTGTTGCCATAAGTGGACTCGGTTCGTGGTTGAACATTTTATCAAATCCGAGTGCAACCAGAGCAGTCAAACACATAAAAACTGCATTTTTGAGGAATATTTGTGCCTATATTAACAGTTAATCCACTTTTAATATCTGTAAAATCATCTATGGTGCATTTTTCCATTTTATCTCATTGTTAAGAATATTATATTTAAAATTGGGGAATTTTGGCTGATCTCGTCGTGTTCATGATTTTATCCCCTTGACGTTTTTCAAGATTCTTGCTAAAACCAAAGCAGCTACTCTGATTATTTAGATTGGAGATCATTCAAATTTCCGCAATTGCATTCATCGAGATCTATTGGACATTGTTATTTTTGTATCATGCATTTTAACCTGCCAGCAGGCATCTATATGAGCTTTTTGTCATACTAATTTTACACTGCTTATTTTTGCTAGTATTCCCAATTTATTTTGTTAACGTTGTGGTTCTCCTGTAAAATAAATATAAAACCATCATGATATTTTCTCATATACTTTAGAAATAATAGGTCAGAAAAGGGTATGTCAGCCTTAAGATTGTAAGTCAATTTCTGTTAATTGTGCATTCATCTAAATCAGCAACACGTTAAAAATTATACCTTGTTGTACACATCCAAAACTTTATTCTTCTCACTAGAAACATCAATAAAAACTACGTTATGTATATTATTATACAACTCTCAACTTAAGTTTTTCAAATCTTTTTTGTATCACCCAAATTGAATCTGAGGATTGACATTTTAAAACTTATCAAAGATAACGATTAAAATTCAATAAGCATTTTTAGTAATAGTATCTTATTTAATTTAAAAAGAAATTTCTCAAATATTATCTACTTGATGCAAAGGTATGCGCATCACAGCAATACCATAATTTGCTTGTTGTTTGAGCTCTCTGATTGGGTATGTGAAAAATTGCAACCAACCAAATTGCTTGGTAAAAATGCTAATTTACTTTGATTTGTGATGTACAAACCGTACTTGGTATTGTTCGAAGAAACAAAAATTGTTGCTAGCAATAAATAATTTTATTATTCACCTTATGAATCATTATCTACACATTTTGCTTTGAAAACCAAAGCTCTTCTATACTTATTACAAGTTTGTAAGAGCTTTGGTCTCCTTATACCAAATTGGTTTTTGAGATTTTTACAAGAAAAGAAGAGCAAGTGTAAGCAACGAAGCAGCACCGAGCATCGTGTAGCCAGTCTTGTACACCTGCGAAATTTCCAGACCCTTGCCCATATCCCACATCTGCAAAAAATAAAAATAGCAATTAATATGTAAAACTTCAAGACTATTGAAATTTTTGTCTTACCAAGTGCCTGATTCCGTTGCATGTGTGATAGGCAAAGGGAAAGGCAAGCAAAAACTTGGCTGTCACCAACAAGGCAGGACTGGTGGTGGCCAAAGCCGCACAGTAGTGTGGGAAGGAAGCTGGCAAGCACATCATACCTTAAAAAGTAAAAATATGAATACAAATACTATTATTTCCAATGCAATTTTTTACCAATGCTGAAGCCGTAGATATAGCCAGAGACTGCAATTCCAGTGATACGATGCGAGATGGAGAGCATCGAGGTGATCTGCGGCTTGTAGATTGTCAAGTGCGGGGACATGGGGCGATTGAGACGCTCGTTCTTGATCCAGAAGTCCTCGGTGGGGCCACCAGCGGCAGGCTGAGAACGCAGAACCACACTGCGAAGTTGGGGAGCCATGGAGTTATTCGACTTAAGGAACTGGCTCAGGACCCCTCTCTTCAGGCCAGGGCATGACACAATGCTGAAAATTTGAAATTTCTCGTTATGTAATGTGGTTTTATTGTCAATGAAATATTTTTATGCAAATGTTTACAATGGTAAAGTCGCTGCAATTGTGGACTTTTCCGCTTAAACATTTTCTACGTACCTTCTGCACATCAGCGACATTCTGAAGTTTAAAATATTTCAAACTAAATTGAAATTTAAAGGGACCTTTTAATTATTTTTTATATATGATTTTCGTATTTTCGGAATTTCTGCGCTGGTGCCTGCAATCTGCAAAATCCAGCTTCCAGCTGCGATGAGGAACCAAGAAAAAGTGAGTAGGTATTGCATTTAGGAGATAAGTACAATAATTAATCATTATAACTATTATCCGAATATTTCAAAGAAAAATCACACAAATCAGACACAATTTAGAATATAAAAGTTATTATCAATATAAATTTTATGCTTTTATTAGAAACTTTTACTGATCTTTTATGTTTTGTAATTAGTTAATAAATTATTCGTTGTCTCCTTTATGCACAGTTCTTATTGTGTTGCCAACGTACCAAGTTAAAACTTTATTAAAAATACGTACCACATCTGAAAATAAGATGCAACTTGCTGTTAAAAAAATATATACTACACGAAAAAATAATTTTTAATTATTTAGATAATTTTTTTTCATTTTTAAACATTTTAAATTTTGTAAGCTTATCCTGGATTGTTGCAGCACTGAAATCGTTACCCGATTTGCACGCCACCCTCGACGGACATAATCAACCCAACCCACAACCCAAAAATCTTTCATGTCCAGCTAACGGCAACTGCATTTCGGCGGACGTGATTAAAATTTAACCTCGCTACATACTTCCAAGTAGGAATTATTATCGAATCATCGATAACCACCGAAAAAGGCCACGCACTCAAGAACCGACGAGGATTTGAAAAATCAGTGGTAAGTTCAGTTGTTGAAAATTGAAAATCTATGCCCATTTTCGAACGTAAAATTCTTCATAAAAAAATTAAATTCCTCCCTTATTTCTTTCCTTGTTTTCTGTTCATAAAAACTGGTGCTATTGCGCTAATAACTTTTTTATTTAAACTCTTTTTTTCAATTGATATGTATTTTAAAAACGAACGACAGATTTCAGCTGACTCGTAGTTTCGAGTGAACTAAGCTCTTTTTACACCTAAGCCGCCAAGTCAATTGAAAGGATCTCTTCAGCGATGGAGGCGCTGATTCCTGTGGTCAACAAACTGCAGGATGTCTTCAACACTGTTGGCGCGGACGCCATCCAACTTCCACAAATTGTGGTCGTTGGCACTCAGGTAAAAATATAATTGAAGGAGAATTTTCCCCTTGATTGCCATTTGATTCTACAATAACCTTGACTTCTCAGAGCTCCGGTAAGAGTTCCGTCATTGAGAGTCTTGTAGGGCGCTCATTCCTTCCTAGAGGCACTGGGATTGTCACTCGAAGGCCTCTGATCCTGCAACTTGTCTACGCCCCTAAAGATGACCAACAGCACCGGTCAGCGGAGGAAGGTTCTTAAATATATTTTTAATTGCATGAAAAATTATCTTGATTGCAAAAAGTTTCTTTAACAAACCATCATTAAGTTATATAATTTTAATTTATTTTAAGGTACCCTCGATTTGGAAGCCTGGGGGAAATTCTTACACACGAAGAATAAAATCTACTCTGACTTTGATGAAATTAGAACTGAAATTGAAAATGAGACGGATCGAATGGCAGGCAAGAACAAGTCCATTTGCCCTGACCCGATCAACTTGAAAATCTTCTCGTCTAAGGTTGTAAACCTGACACTAGTGGACCTCCCTGGAATCACAAAGGTGAATTCGTTTACAGCCCATTGAGTGTGATCTTAACTCTTTTGTTCAAAGGTGCCTGTGGGAGATCAACCGGAGGATATTGAATCCCAAATTAGGGACCTTCTTGTCCATTATATTGCTAACCCTAACTCCATTATTTTGGCCGTCGTGACTGCCAACACAGACATGGCCACTGCAGAGAGTTTGAAGTTGGCCAAGGACGTTGACACGGATGGACGGCGGACTCTTGCTGTGGTGACCAAGCTCGACTTAATGGATGCAGGTTAGTTGAAGGAGTTGCGGGATAAAATCAATTTTTTTTATTAAGGAATATCTAAAGACACTGTTTAACAACTTGTGTAATTAATAAAAAAGTAAAAAATAAAAATGTTTAAGGCAGGTGTCATCATTGTTGAAAAAACTTCTCATTCCAGGTACGGACGCCATTGACATCTTGTGCGGCCGCGTAATACCAGTCAAGCTGGGAATCATTGGTGTTGTCAACCGCTCGCAACAGGACATCATTGACAACAAGAGCATTGAAGACGCTCTGAAAGACGAAGCCAGTTTTCTGCAGAGGAAGTACCCAACTCTAGCAAACAGGAATGGCACCCCCTACCTTGCAAAAACATTAAACCGCCTGCTAATGCACCATATTAGAGACTGCCTCCCTGATCTTAAGGTACCTACAAGAAAATTAATGTCACAGAAATTTTTTTATCTATCTTTGCTACTTATGAAGTAGAGAAAATAAAAAATCAATAATTTTATATTCTAGACACGAGTGAACGTAATGGCATCTCAGTTTCAAACGCTGCTCAACTCGTATGGCGACGACGTTTCAGACAAAAGTCAGACCCTGCTGCAAATAATCACCAAGTTTGCTTCCGCCTACTGCTCTACTATCGATGGTACGGCTCGCAACATTGAGACAACAGAATTATGTGGTGGCGCCAGGATTTGCTACATTTTCCACGAAACTTTTGGACGAACTCTCGACTCGATCCACCCATTGACGGGCTTGAACAAAATGGACATCCTGACAGCCATCAGAAACGCCACTGGTCCTCGACCAGCTCTCTTTGTCCCTGAGGTGTCGTTTGAATTGCTGGTTAAGAGGCAGATCCGGCGTTTGGAAGAACCTTCCCAGCGTTGTGTGGAACTCGTCCATGAGGAAATGCAGCGCATCATCCAGCACTGTGGAACAGAAGTGCAGCAGGAAATGCTTCGTTTCCCTCAACTCCATGAAAAGATTGTCGATGTTGTTACTCATCTACTTCGACGGCGTCTGCCCACAACCAATGCCATGGTTGAGAACCTGGTGGCCATCGAGTTAGCCTACATCAACACTAAACACCCTGATTTCAACAAGGACGCTGCATACGTCTCGTCTTTGTTGAAACACCACGAAGAACATGAAACTGCACGCCCGGCCAACAGAAGAACTCCAGTTCCACAGCAAGGGGTCTTAGTTACTGCCCAGGACTCGGAAGTACCGAAGGTATTATTGATATTTTTCTGATTGTTTAATTTCTGTTTTCAATTTTATTTGGTTTTCAGAATCAAAACGTCGCTCGACTCAATGGAGAGATGGTTCCTCTGCAGCCTGGCTGGCTATCGAGCTATTTGCCCCAAGCAGGTAATCTCGAGTCGGCTGAAAACTCTCCAATGGGAACTCCGGCACATCATCCACCCAGTTCACAAAGTCCTCAAAAGCCAGTCAATCTGTTGCCAGAAGTTCCAACTCAGCAGAGCAGAAAACTTTCCGAGCGAGAGCAGAGGGACTGCGACGTCATTGGTAAATTATTTATTATATTAGATTTTGTTTTTCTGAAAATAATTTCTTTATAGAACGTTTGATCAAATCGTACTTCTACATCGTTCGCAAGTCCATCCAGGACAGTGTGCCTAAGGCTGTGATGCATTTCCTGGTCAACTATGTCAAAGACAACCTACAGTCTGAGCTAGTTGTGCATTTGTACAAGTCAGACCATGCAGAGGAGCTGCTCAGCGAGTCTGAACACATTGCCAGGCAGAGAAAGGAGGCTGCGGACATGTTGAAGGTATAAAATTTAAGTGAACTTATTCAATTGAAACTAAATAATTTTTTTCTAGGCTCTGCAAAAAGCAAATTTGATCATCAGTGAAATCCGTGAGACCCACATGTGGTAGATTGTTGTTCCGGAGTATTTATTTCTGGAAAACCGCCCGTTTTAGTTCTTTTCTTTTGATGAGAGAAGTGACCTTCTCATAACACAATGAGATTAGTTGTGATGTTGAGACATTCAAGTGATGATCAATTGTTATTAGACTTCACGGAATCCGAATTGTTGTGTTTATGTAGTTCAGCAGCTTTTACCATTTTGTGGTCTAGTGCCAATGCAATTTTTCATCTGAGAAGCACATTATTTGCTGATGCTGGTGTGAATGAATTGTTGCTTCAGTTTTCTACGCTAAATATTGTTCACTAATGGAGGTTGCTGGAAAACGCATTAAATATTCGGATGTATTCAAAATTTGCTATTCATTTTAGTATGTTCATTTATTTTCGATCAACTGAAATTAAAATTTTGGTAATTTTTCAAGCAACAAGAACTGCAAATAATTTAGTTTGATTTGTATTTACAGTGTTTTATGTACCATTATTTTTTTAGCAAATCTTAGCATTTTTCTAAGTCCGTCAGCTCAGCAACACATCATCATTTATATATAGTCTTATACACAGTATATAATATAAAAATTGTTCAAATATTTGCCTAGACACACATGAAATAATTAAGCTGTATTGCAAAAATAGATTTATAGTCAGTCATTCCTTACTGATTGTCAAAAAAGATCCAAAGAAGACTTTTACTTAATATAGAAATACATTTACCACGAGAGATACAAGAAAATTTGTTTCCAAAAGTTTCAAATAATAAAATTACCAGCAAGTTTGATCACAATTACATCATATTATTATATGTGTTTAATTTTTTTAATCAAATTAATTTCTTCACATTCTATTCAAAATTGTGGCAAATTCATTTTTGCCATATTATATAATTTTAATTGAAGAGCGTTCCCATATCAAATACGAAATGTGAGTAGGTGTAGAGAGAATCACATGCGCGTTATAGTCGTTATATTTTAGTATAAAAAAAATCTGGCCCTATACTATGGCTTATGAATTAATAAATTTGTGTTAATTTATTATTCTTAATTCATTATTATAATGGATTCATATCATATCTCTTCACAGAAGCCGTTTTAATTTGTTGGTCTTGATACAAGCATGAGAGTCATGCTTATTTACATAATATTTTGGTTATATTTTGCGAAAATTTGTATATTATGTATAGTTTAACAAATTTATAGCACTATAATGACAAGTACAGTTCATATCGAAATATTATGTATTTCATTTTAAATCAATGAACTCTCCCGCGTAAATAACTTAAATTATTAGAGCTTTTTCAATTCATCCATAGATGGCCCGGCGCTCGGCTTTCCTGGCTTCTCGAATCTATTTGTTGATTTGATAACTTGATATTGCTCTCTCCGGTTTCTCTCCCCAAACAAACTTTGTCTGTTCATTTTTCTTTTGGTTTTACTCAAAATAATGCCGTTGCTGGCAAATCTTTGTTGGCCTAAGTTTTTAGAGTTGTAGCAATAATTTTTATCTCGAACCGGAATCGTGAAAATCTAGGAACCATCAGGTCAGTGGACTCCTTTGGAATGTTTTTTTTTTATTTTATTACTTTTTTACATATGATCAAATTGTTAACATTTTAATTATTTAGTTGATGAATCTATTTCATACATATGTATTTAAAATTTTCAGTGAACATGTCGGCGCCAACGCCAGCTAGTGCACCAATGGGTCCGCCGGCGCCGCAAGCTCCACAAACAAGCGGCGCCATGGGGCCTCCACAAAGCCCAGTGAGCGCGTCCTCTTGCGTCCTCCAACAAGCAGCAACACCTGCTGCTGAAACTCAATCTGGGCCTTCTGTACGTTTTTCTTCTTGCTCAATATCAAATTTTATTAAGGTTAATTTGTCTCCTATTATTAAATTTTTAGCAAGCTGCGTTAAACAACCTGGCAGCTTTGAACCGGGCCATCGCGGCCATGGAAGAGAAAGGTCTGCAGAACGACCCTAGATACGCTCAGTTGATTTACATCCAGTCCAAGCACACTGCGAATGAAAACGCTCAGGTTTGTTAATCACATTTAAATATTAGACAGACAATGAATTTAATTTTTGAGCAGACTGCGGAGAACATCGAAAAGCACATATTTACAAACTACCAGAGGCAACAGTTGCAAATGCAGATCATGGCGTACCGTTTGCTGGCAAGGAATCAACCTTTGTCCCAGCACATCAACAACGGCATTCAGAGTAAGGAAATATTCATCTTTGTTATTGAATTTTTTTTTTAATAAAATTAATTTAATTTTAAAGGTCATGACGAGCCTAATCAGACAACAACTTCAACAACAGTCATTCAGCAGCCAGCTGCAGCAGCAAGCCAACCAGGACCCTCAAAAAGTAGCAGCACAACTGCGGAGGCGGCAATCACCCCTCAAACCTTGGCACCAACGTCCACCACCCAATCCACAGGCACTCAGCCAACAGCCACTTCCACTTCAAAGCAGAGCAAAATCATGCCAACAGCCAAACCAACCCCACTCGATCCAGTGATCACTCTGCAGGAGCGAGAAAACAGAGTGGCAGCTCGAATCGCACATCGCATCCAAGAGCTCAGCAGTCTGCCAACCACCATGGCCGAGGACATTCGGGTCAAAGCCAGCATCGAGCTGAGGGCGCTACGCCTGCTCAACTTCCAGCGGTGCCTACGGACCGAGGTGGTTGCTTGCACCAGAAAGGACACAAGCTTGGAGACCTCCCAGAATGTCAAGGCGTATAAGAGAACGAAAAGGCAGAGCCTCCGAGAGGCACGGGCCACTGAAAAGTTGGAAAAACAACAAAAGCTTGAAGCCGAGAGGAAGAGGAGGCAAAAGCATCAGGTAAAAGATTAATTAAAAAAATAAAATTGACCGTGGAAATTATTTTCAAGAATTTATTACCCAAATTTTAAAATTCAATTTTTTAGGAATATCTGAGTGCTGTGCTTCAGCATGGAAAGGATCTGAAGGAATTCCACCGCAATAACATTTTGAAGATCCAGAGAATAAACAAGGCTATTATGAATTACCATGCCAATGCTGAAAGAGAGCAGAAGAAGGAGCAAGAACGCATTGAGAAGGAGCGAATGAGGCGTCTTATGGCTGAAGATGAAGAGGGCTACAGGTACATTATTCTTATTACTTTTATAACATTTGAATCATCACAACAAATATGCTAATATTACATTTATTTCAGAAAACTGATTGATCAAAAGAAAGACAAGCGTCTGGCCTTCCTCTTGCAACAAACCGACGAATATATTGTTAATCTGACTGAAATGGTCAAACAGCACAAGATGGAGCAGAAACGCAAGATGAAGGAGCAGAAGGAGCGCAAGAAACTCAAGAAGAAGAAGGAGGGAGATGAAGGTGACGATGAGGATGTGCATGTCACTGTTATTGAAACAGCTACCGGTCGAGTTCTGAGTGGTGAAGATGCGCCCTTGGAAAGTCAGGTGCAGACCTGGCTAGACATGCATCCTGGCTGGGAAATGGCCCCTCGAGAGGACGAAGATGACGATTCAGAGATGAGTGAAGTGGACGAGGAGGACAGGGCTGCTATTGAGAGACAAGGTTGGTCGACAAAATATCTGCTTGGGCTGAATTTTAATTTTGGAAGTCTTTTTGGACAAAAAATTGATATCATTATAAAAATTAAATTCTTTTATCCGTAGCAAAACTTGACGGAACAATTGAAGTCAATGACCCTCACAGAATGCCTCGTAATGTTGAGGTCCATGAGGTGATTCAAAAAGCAAAGGTGGAAGATGATGAGTACAAAACCGCCACTGAGGAGGGAACTTATTACAGGTTAGTAGCCTCCCAATTTCAAGATATTATCAATTTTTAATTGTGCGTTCCAGCATTGCGCATACAATTCGAGAGACGGTTAACGAGCAGGCAGCTATGATGGTCAATGGCAAGCTGAAGGAATACCAAGTCGAAGGCCTCCAGTGGTTGGTGTCATTGTATAATAACAACCTCAATGGCATCCTTGCTGATGAGATGGGTTTGGGCAAGACCATTCAAACAATTGCCCTCTTGACCTACCTTATTGAGAAGAAAAAGGTCAATGGCCCGTATCTCATCATTGTTCCACTTTCGTGAGTCTCTTTTTAATTTTTATTATTGAATTCCAACATAACAATCTTTCAATTTTTAGAACATTGTCAAACTGGGTGCTCGAATTTGAAAAGTGGGCCCCAAGTGTTATTGTTGTGGCTTATAAAGGGTCACCTTCAGTCAGGAGGCACCTCCAAAGTCAAATGAAGGCAACCAAGTTCAACGTCCTGCTTACAACATACGAATACATCATCAAGGACAAGGCAATTTTGGCCAAGGTAAGGAAATTAATTTACAAATTAAAATTTGTATATTTGAAATTAAATATTTTAGCTGCGTTGGAAATACATGATCATAGACGAAGGCCACAGAATGAAAAACCACCATTGTAAGCTGACACAAATTTTGAACACCCACTACTTGGCGCCACACAGACTTCTTCTCACCGGCACCCCATTGCAAAACAAATTGCCCGAGTTGTGGGCCTTGCTGAATTTCTTGCTGCCTTCTATTTTCAAGTCCTGCAGCACTTTTGAGCAGTGGTTCAATGCTCCCTTTGCCACCACAGGAGAAAAGGTAATATCTCCTTTCTAACATTTACAACATGAACCAAATATTTATGTTATTTCTAGGTTGAGCTGAATGAAGAAGAAACAATTTTGATCATCAGGCGTCTGCACAAAGTGCTTCGACCTTTCCTGCTGCGTCGACTGAAGAAAGAAGTTGAATCGCAGCTACCAGACAAGGTTGAGTACATCATCAAGTGTGACATGTCAGGCCTGCAGCATGTTCTATACAGGTTTGTAAATTTGACTTTCTGCTTTATGATTGTATGCTCAATTTTTTAATTGATTCCAGGCACATGCACAGTAAGGGTGTCATGTTGACTGACGGCTCTGAAAAGGGAAAAACTGGAAAGGGAGGTGCAAAGACCCTTATGAACACAATCATGCAGCTCAGGAAGCTCTGCAACCATCCCTTCATGTTCCAGCACATTGAAAACGCCTACTGCCAGCATCTCAACATCCCAACCAACATTGTCCATGGGTAAGAAGCTTATATTTCTAAAATAATACATTTTAAAAGCATTTCTTAACAGACCCGACTTGTTCCGCGCCTCTGGCAAGTTTGAATTGCTGGACCGCATTCTTCCAAAGTTGAAACGCACCAACCACCGAGTTCTCCTCTTCTGCCAAATGACGCAACTCATGACCATCATGGAGGACTATCTCAACTGGCGTGGTTTCCTGTACCTCCGATTGGATGGAACAACCAAGGCCGAAGATAGAGGAGACCTTTTGAAGCGGTTCAACACTCCTGGCTCAGAGTTCTTCATATTCATCCTGAGTACCCGCGCTGGCGGTCTGGGTCTCAATCTGCAGGCAGCCGACACAGTCATAATTTTTGACTCGGATTGGAACCCGCACCAAGATCTTCAGGCCCAAGATCGAGCCCACCGAATTGGTCAACAGAATGAGGTGCGCGTCCTCAGACTGATGACAGTCAACTCCGTCGAGGAGAGAATCTTGGCTGCTGCTAGGTACAAGTTGAACATGGACGAAAAGGTCATACAGGCAGGCATGTTCAATGAGAAGAGCACAGGCGTTGAACGCAGGCAGTTCCTGCAAACAATTCTTCACCAAGATGAAGGAGACGAAGAAGAGGAAAATGAAGTGCCAGACGACGAAGTGGTAAACCAGATGATTGCACGGTCGGAAAACGAGTTGGAAATTTTTGAGGCAATGGATGTAGAGCGTCGATTGCAGGATGGAAACAAGTCAAGGTTGATGGGCGAGAATGAACTGCCTGCTTGGCTTGTGCAGGAAGATGATGAGGTTGGTGTCTTCGTTGAATGAAAAAATAGTAAACTAAAGTTTTTTTCTTGCAGGTTGAAAAATGGACTTGTGAGGAAGACGAGGAGAAATATGGAAGGGGATCACGCCAGAGGAAGGAAGTTGATTACTCTGATAGTCTGACTGAAAAGGAGTGGCTAAAGGTATTGTTGAAAATAAAAATTCCACAAAAAATTCAATTTAATACTTTTGTGTGTGTGCAGGCTATAGCTGAAGAAGGTGAGGAAATGGACGAGGAGGACGTAGACGAAGAAGAAGAGAGACGTCGCAACAAAAAGAACCGTAAAAAGCGAAAGAAGGAAGAATCAATGGCGGTGGCCACTGCTGCTCTGTCTGGTGGAGAAGGACCAAGTTCTGTTCCTTCTCTTGAGACTGCAGAGGACACGCCCAAAACAAAAAAGAAGAGAGGCAGACCCCCGATTGACAAGTCGATCGTCACAAGCAAGCACATCAAGAAACAAATTAGGAAGATTATGGACATGGTCATCAACTACAAAGACAGGTAATTTTACAAAAATACTGAATTTAGTTCCCATTATTAAAAATATTTTTATACTTTTAGCGATGGACGTATATTGAGTGAACCTTTCTTAAAACTTCCCCCAAAGAAAGAGCTGCCTGATTACTATGAAATCATCCGGAAGCCACTGGATATTAAAAAAATTATGTCTAGAATCGAAGACAACAGAGTAAGTTTGTTCTGTTGTGGATAATTTTATTTATTTTTAACATATCTGTTTTTCCAGTTCATGAGTGTTGATGACCTGGAACGAGATTTCATGCACCTTTGCAAGAATGCCAGAACGTATAACGTTGAATCATCCCTAATTTATGAAGACTCGATTGTCCTGGCAAAAGTCTTCCAAACTGCCAGGATCAGAATTTGTGGAGAGCCAACTGAAACTGGAGAGGAGTCTCGCACTGCTGAAGAGGAGGAGGAGGAAGAAGAAGAAGAGATCGAAGAGGCCATGGACGAAGGAACTAGCTCGAGAAGTGAGTTTGAAAAATAGCATTTAACTTAAACTTACTAAAAATTTCTTACATTAGGTGGAGTTGTCGAAGAAATCGCTCCAGAATATGAAGCTTCCACTTCGGCCCCTGCAGCAGCAGTTCCGAAAGTGAAAATAAAGCTGACGCCTGGTACGATGGCAGTAGCAACGCCCATACAGACGGAAAAGAGGAAAAGGAAGAAGTCGAGGAAGTTATACACAAGTGATGATGAGGAGATGCAAGAAGGATTTGCTGAAGAGGTACAGTTTGAAATGCCAAAATCAAGATGATTTAATAGAAGTTTTTTTCTTCCAGACGTACGCAGCCGAAACAAATGGTTAGCTGCTTTTGTGGGAATAGTTTTAATTTTTGACTCAATAAGTTGTAAGTAAGGACAAATTGTGGTAAACTTCATTTAAAAATGTTTTGATACACCAGACATTTCTTTAAAATTGTAGATTACTTTTATTGGATGCTGAAAAAAAGCATAATTACATACAATGCGTTTTTTTGTGCAATTAAATAAATAACAGCTTTACATGTAATTAGCAAGTGGTTATTCAAATTTGTCAATTCAAACTCCTACAGAAGGTTAAGGCACATCACAATTTTGTTAATTCTTACACATTTAAATGAGCAAAATTGAAAAAAAGTTATCATTGGAAAAATAACTTAATCCGATAATGTGATATTTGCAGAATATAAATACAAAATCATTGCTCAAGCCATGACAAACCTGAGCACAGCGCCCAAGAGCACACCTATTGTGATAACAGTGATTATAAACCAAAGGACCACCGTGTGTCCCTGGCAGTTGTTGTTTTTCCCAGTATTAGCCATTACACTTTTTTCGCTGGCTGCCGAACCCTCTTTTCTTGGCAGAGTGTGGTGAATGCCCTTTGGGTCTCGAACAGGAAGGGGCTCAAGGGGTCCTTCGCTTGCTGGCACCACCAGAGGCCGGGGTTGCAGCATCGGCGGCAGTAACATCAGCATATTTTTCTCGTACGCTGGTGGCCGACGGGGCAGAGTGGCTGCAATCGACGGGGGCAGCATTGCTGGCGGGATACCCTTTGAATAACAAATTCATTCATTTATTTATTTATTTTTAAATAAGAAGATCCCCTAATAAAATTAACTTTTAACTCTAAAAAAGACACACTTTGTTTTAGTCATTGTGCTGACTAAAAAAAACATCCAAAATTAAAATTAATAAAAAATTGTAATACCTGGACTGACAGATGTTGTGGAATGGGTAACGATGGTGGCACCTGCAGCATCTGCAGGTGGTGCACCGGGCAGGGCTCACCGTCCCAAGTTCCGACATAAGCTGGATATGCAACTGGAGGCGCCGAGTTCACCGGTCTCGAATTCTTAGACGCTCTTTCTGTGCTCGAACTTGAACTGGATGCTGTGATGGATGAGGAGCGCCGTCCTTGCACAGCCTGTTGCTGGCCCTCTGAGGAGTGGTTCCCGTTTTGCTGACTGCTGTGAACTAATTACCAAAAAAGTTTAATTCCACTAATTCCAGCTAGATTCATGCAAACTTCATTTTAGTTTTATTTTTGTAAAATTATTACTTTTGTTGGTCTGTCTTTCTGTTGTGTGCATCAGAGTGCCATTATTCTGTTGCTGGTGGTAATTGATGTTCCTCTGCTGCCAAGCCAACGGTGTTCGACTCTCGACAGACTCGGCCATGAATATTCTGGAGTCCGCACCACCTCCGTTATTGCTCTTTTTCCGCTCTGCAGGCATTTTATTGAGGAAACTGCAAAGAACAACAAACAAAATGTTTATCGTGTATATAAATGGTATTTAATTTTTGGGAGATTTTTATTTAACCATTTCTTTCATAATTTTAAGAAATAGGCACATTTTTCCGATTACTAGTTTACTGCCCATTTTTTATATATTTAAGTTTCAAATAATTTTTTGTTGTATGAAAAGTCGTAGAATCAAGAAATTTGTAAAATAATTGTTACAAAGAAATACAAATTACTTAAGTAAAATTGATACTTGTTTTCTTGCATATTGCAGGGGCATGGTAAGCAAAAAAAAGTAAATTGTTATGTACCAAAAATATTTAAATCAACAATTTAATTTATTTATTTAAATGTGCTGTCAGAAGAGAGGGTTCCCATGTATTTGTGGTTTGTCTCATTTTAATTTTCGTCACACAGGTGTGAGCATCGTGCCCTTGACTCAAAGTCGTAATCATAAACGCAGCGTGCGGAGAGAGGCTTCTGCTTTCTGTTGAAGCCAATAAGCCACAAACTTAGCAACACCTGACATTTCATTCTCTTCATTCAAAGAACTGACGAAGCGTTTTAATCTCAAAATTATTCTACAATTTTCCCACCTATATACCTTTAAAATGGTGAAATCTATTTAATAAGTGTGTGAAGAAACATGAAATAAATTAAGCCCTGCGGGGCGTACAACGTAGTTTTTGTTAATTTGAATTGAAATAAATTACTAACAAAAAATACTGGATATATATATAACAACTAGTATTACTAAAAAATTTTAATGGAAATAATTTGACTTCAATTGGGAAAAAATTGAATAAATATATTAATTTTATTGGATTAAAAAAAAATTGAAATGTAATTCTATTTTTCATTTTAAATTTAAAATGATTATTATTAACTGTGGTTGAAAAATGTAAGAAGGATAAGGAACACTTGTTAACTTTTTGATCACGAAAAAAAATAATAATCTTTTTTCTTTTCATGATTGACCGGCGCTTAAGGCTTGAGGTTAAAGGCGAGATTCACAAATTCTGTGAATTTGTCCTTAATTAAATTTTTTGGTATGAGAAAATTGAAGAATCACGGACCGTATCATCCTCGCAGCCTCCCACTATGTATCTTTCACCGGGGCCAAATTGCGTGTGCGTGAATACTCGTTCGAGAGCCATTCTTTTTAGAGGATGATGCGCGGCGGCATCGGCGGTCATTGGCCATGCGGATATTTATCTCTTTACAGCAAAGTATGCGTGTTGCGCTCAAGCGGTGCTTTTCTTTCAGAGTCATCTCGTCAAGAGGCAACCGGCTGTTGGTCATCAATGCGCGCATCTGGCTCCGCGAGTAGGCAGGAAAACGCAGATTTTGCCACCTTCCGTTTGATTTGACATGTGTACAGAGTACACGAACGGGACATTTACATCATTTGTATTGTGTAATAATTTTCTTGCAGTACAAATCTGTCTAAAACAGATGGTGATCTAGATTGAAAAATTATCTCATAAAATAATTGAGCAGAAATTGTACAATTCACTAACGGCGTTTTTAACAAATTGAAAACAAAGATAAAATCTAATGATATGAACTGAGCTTTTCCGCAGCTAGAAAAGTGTTATTATTTTTATTTTTAGGAAATTCTCTCTTCGAATGCTATTGAAATTATTGTAAAATGAAAGTGACCTCCTATATTTTGAATTTATAATGGATTTGTTTAACATTCCCAGGTAAATAACATCTTTTTGAAATTTTTATGAAATTTAAATGGTTAGGTATCTCTGAAAAAATGCACTGAATCCAGTCAGTGAATCTTAACATTTTAAACAAGAAAAGACAAAGCAACCATAAGCCAAGTTAGCATTTAGAATCAATAAGTCCATAGTCCATATCCATTCAGCGACCTTCATCATAAACAAGAAAAATAATAAATCAGCAAAATATTCATTTTATTAAATTTAAAAACAATTAATAATTGATATGTATGAATTTAATTAGGTGTTAAGAAAAAATTATTTTTCTCGGTATTGTAAATAAAGCTGTTTTTATTTTATTAAAAAAGGGGGCTGCTTTTAAAAAAATTAAATATTAAACGGAAAAAGGAACAATCTTTTTATATTTTTAATTAAATTGATAGTTTCATTTCAAAGGAGTCCTCCATATAAAGTTAATCAGGTCGAAATAAAATTTGATAACCCGATTCTCCATAAAGTAAACCTGAATCAAATGGCGATGGAGCGCGTCGTACGTGTGTGTGCATTGATAAATATAAATCTGAATGAGAAAGTCATGTGAACGCGTGCATTTCTGCGGTGCGCTCTGAAAGCTCTTCTCGGCCTCTTCGAGAAATCATCATCAATCGGCACAATTAACCAAGTGTAATGAAATCAGGCGAGAAACTACTTGCTCTCCATTTTTGCTCGGCCAAAGAAATTAAATGTAAAAGAGAAGAAGCAGGTTTCAAAAGCGAATAAAAGAGTGAAAGAAAACACAATCGCAGAGCATTGTCGCTGAAGGAAATAAAGGGCTTTTATATATTTCTGACGGATTTAAGAATTTTCGGAAATGATTAAAAGCGTCAGATGGCGGAGAGCTCTGATTAGTAATTGGGTCGCAATTCAACGTGATTGACGAAGCTCATCAAGGCGCGAAAAAGAAATTAAAAAAAAATGTGTGTGCGCGATGCACCAACGGTTTTTACTTTAATCTTTTTCGAAACTGTAAACGAGATATTATGCAAATTTTAAAAGTATATTAGGCGAGTTTAAAATTTCGAAAATAATTTAATTTAATATCTAGATTATCTTTTCAAAAATTGAAAAATAAAATTAATAATTGTTGTTTTACGGCTTAAATTATATTTTTGTTTAAAAAAAAAAGAGTTGCCAGCATTATTGAGAGTAAACCGATGAGCAAAGTAAGAGAACTAGCACGCCTATTCTACCGAAAAAGGAAGTGAAGGTACAATTTAAATTTCATTGTATGTCACGAACTCGCCATCAATGCTTGACCCGCATGCCCTTCAATGGCTGCGGCTTTGTGTGCTTTACTTCATATATGTTCAAATAACAAATAATATCCTACGCAGAGGCCATCCATCGTGTGGCGTTTAATTGTCAGTTGAAATAATGTGCCGTTTTGCAAATATTAGCGTGGTCGACTTGACGGCACTAGCGAAACGATGGTGGTTTACGTGGCGTGACTCAAATTCTAAAGTATTCAAATGCTAAATATTTGTAGCACAAAGGCTTAAAATTTAGAATAAGCGATTAAACATTACAATTCTATGGAATTTCGATTGCATATTTTTATTTTATATTTATTTTTTGAGAAAATATAAGTTAATTTTAAAATATGAGAGATAAAAATACGGCCGAAGCGGGCCAAAGCAAATTAAAAACCTAAAAATAAAAAATAAAATTTATTTTTAAATACAAAATCGGATGAATAAATAAATAAACAATTTATTAAATCCATTTTTTATTTAATCAAAGAAATAATAAACACAACAATATTTTTTTTTAACCAAAGGTTTTTTACATTTTACAAGTTTATAATAAAATATTTGTGAATTTCCAATAAAATTTTAAAGGGTTGATTATTGATGGTTGAATAAATACATAATTTATAAATCTCATCCTACAACTGAAAAAATAAGGAATGCAATACGTTTGCGTGTCTAATGATTTTTCCTCGGAGCAACAAAATTAAACGATTTATAACTCCCATCAACCATTTATGCGGTATATTTTTTCTTTAATTTCCTCAACAGCAGCATGAGAAGAAGAGCGTGAAGAGAGTGCTGCTGTGTGGAAACTGTTGAGCGTCTCGCTTTTATGAATTTCTCTGTGTATAATAAATGATAATTTGCTCAGATTACATAATACAAGCAGCAAGTCCAGGCTGAGTGTAAATAGTGCTAACTGTTTGCGTTATAGGCCTGCCGACAATTTGTAGCCGGTGGTTTTATTTTAGATAAATAGCAGTACTTTATGAAATAAAAAGACTAAAAAACCTTGACGATCGAGTTGGAAACCGCATTCCGTCTCATATTTGAGCGAATATATTAAAATTTTAATTACACGAGAATTTTAATCAAATTCATTTCTCATTGGCCCAAATAATTTTTTATACTAAACTTTTGGATTCCTTAAATTAAACCAGAATTTTGATAAATTTTAAATAATATTTAGAATTTATCTGAACTCATTTGGAATACAACTGAAACTTATTTCCTTGACATGAAAAAGTTGATTTTAAAAAGTTGCTGAATTATTTATTATTGGTGTTTCGGACGGGTGGTGGTGGTTAATTTTGTTTTTTAATATTAACTTATTTAAAAAAATACGTTCACCTTGATTTAGGGGGGGCATGTTTAACAAAAACAAAAGTTTTCGACACAATTTTTACATAAAAATTACTAAAGGTGAATCGAAATTCCTGTAATTATAACAGGTAATGAAAATTAGGAATATTCATGGTTTTTTAGGGACTAACTTATTCATTTTAAATTTCACTAGAAAATGTAAATTGAATTCAAACCGCATCTACCATTAACTAAGTGTCATTTTTTTAAAGTTAATATTATACAAGAATTTTATAAAAAACTTCAATACAATGAATTACCTCTTTTATAAAAGAAGATGAGTCTCTGTTATGATGACAAATTAACTCTCCCAGAGGAATGCGCTAATTCACTACAGCTCAAAAAATGTTGGTCCGCCTTTGAGAATTAACACGGGAGAGCAACCGCAATTCACCTTGCTTGCATGCAACCTGCGCTCGTACTAAACATTAAACGGGTAAACGCATCAACGGATCCTCTGCCGACAGCCTAAGCCACTAACCACAGACAAGAAGCGAGCGGAAGGAGTTCTCTCCTCCCGTGTCTGCGCAGGTGGAACCAAAAGGTGGGGAATGCATGATAATACACATTAACGTTTGCGTCAGGTGTGTTCCTTTGTGTAGAGCTATATATTATACATATTATACTTTTTTTCATGTTTCGTTGACTCATTATAAATATTTTAAATGCTATTAATATTTGTATTGTTGCACCACAGCTGATAGAATAAGCAATTATATACTTGACACAACTAATAATTTTTAAGTGCATAATTTATTTTTTATTGTAATTTTTTTTCGGAAAAACAAGGCTCTTTTAAACAAGAGAGTTTAAAATTCAGGTGCAGAAAAAGTAAAAAAAAACTCTGAAGTCTTAATAAAATACAAATTTACTCTAAAGTAAATAATTAAATTTTGATAAATAAATCATACAAATAAAAAATAGAGTAATTTTAATATTTTAACAACATTGATTAATATTATATGATAAATAATTTAGTTACCTTATTTTTTGTTGTTCATTTATTAATTTTGCAAAACATGTAAAATGCTAAGCAGGATATCGGATATCTTCTTTTCGTAAACAACAAACACCTCACAAAACTCATCAAGAAAAGTCGACTTTAAATAAAATCAACATGAATAATCCCCTTGATCTTGTGAAATTATAACAAACAAAAATTAATTTGAAAATGCAATAAAAAAACTAATATTAATAAATAAATAATAAATTAATAATAATAATAATATATATTAAGTGTTTGTCATCATGGGGGGGGGGGGGGGCGAAATAAAGTTATTTGTTATTTTCAATGATTTGGGGACAAAAAAATTAAGGCGGGATAAAAAATATTTAACCCGGGACAGTGGTTTAAATTTTATCCCTTTGTATTTATCCCGGTATATCTTTTATCCCAGGAGAGCCTATTGTAAGTCTATTGAATCTCCCCTAATAATAATAGAATAACTAAAAAAAAAAATTATTAACAAAAAGATTAAAAACGGTGTTTGAATATTATTTTGTACTAGTTTTCATTCGCCACGAAATGTATCCTTATTTCTTATTTGATAAGATGTAAAAAAAAACTAATTTTTATTATTATTTCAAAATAGAAAAACGATTTTTAAATATTTTTTTTTGTTAATTAAATGTGTCAACTTAAAATTCAATGATGATTAAGTGTTGGAACGAAGTTTTTAACAAATTTAAAGAGAATATTTAAAAAAAGGCATTTCTTTAAAAGGAATAATTATGTATCGATTGTATTGCTCCATATTTCTTTAGTCTCTTTTCCTAGCTCTCAAACAAATTTCTTAAATGAAGATGTTAATTAACGAACACATTATCGTAAAATGACGCTAATTATAAATGAGCACCGTTCTTTGCGTATTATGAAGAGGCACCACCTAGTTGCGGTGCGGGTAACCTGCTGCGTTGGTGCACCGGAGTGGCGGGTCGCGCGACGTCCGTGTGTAATTTTGGTGACTCTTTGTGCGGTCGACGGACGGATGGGACCGACCGACCGGCGCACCAACGTACGAACGCGAGGCAGCCAATTCAGGCGCAGCAAGGCGGCAAAGAAAAAGGAAGCGCGTGCCAAAAGCAGAGAGGGAGTCGAGTGTCCTCATCCACTGCGCGCTTCACTTTTTTAGTTGGGCTCCAACCGCGGCGTGCGAGAGACGAGGGTCGGGCACGCACGCTAATGGTACTTCGCCTGTGTCCCCCGAGAACAACACTCGTCCTCGGCATGACCTGCGACCCGACTCGGAATAATAACACCGCAGCACGGAAAATGATGCTGGGCTCGCTGGAAAGTTGAATATCCCAAAACTGAAGTAAGTTTTGATAAAAAAAAAATTAATTGATAATTAAATTATTTTAAGTTGTAACATTTCTTTTAATTTTAAAAATTGGTTATTTTAAATATAAAAGATAATTAAATTTAAACAACAATTCTTTTTACAAAGTTAAAGGACAGAAGTATTTTTTGTTGAATTTTTACAAAACTTGATTACCAATTAATTTTTTTAATTTCAATTTTTATTAGAACAATATATTAAATTTGGTCGTATTTAAAAAAAAAACATATATATAATATAAATATATATATATTTAAATGATAGCTCTTTTTAATTTTAATATTTTTACAAACTCGCTTGATTCCTTATATCATTATTTTAAATTTAAACGTTAATTTTTTTACTAATTTTTTACTCAGTGTATGTATAGTTGCGCACTTAACGTTCGTGAATTTCAGCCCAGTGAGACTCCAAAGAGAAATTATCTTTAGTTTTTGTTAAGAGACGTGCGCCTGAGTGAGGTCTTTTGCAGCCGAGACACATATAAACAAACCAAAATAACCCTCGCGTGTACCCATACCGATAGAAAGTATGCACTGTAAGTTTTGCCTGCATATTTCATTTATGAATGTGTAGGAGGGAAACATCATTTTTTTTTTATTAGCGCGTGGGCGAGCGCTCGCATGCCCAAATGCGATTTTTTTTCGTTGGTCGCCAAAATTTTTGGGCCGTCCAGTGAAAGCAAACGAATCTAATTTGGCTTCTCTATATGCATACACGTGATGGAATTTTTGTTAAATTTTTAATGGAGAAAACTACGGAATTGTACCACAAATGATATACAACAGTGTAGAACATTTTGAGCTTTAATTAATAGCAGAAGAAAGTAAGAAGAATGGATGTTAACTTTTTCGCACGCCGCGTGTATGATTTATAATTTAATTGACCCAGAAAGACTGTTCGTGATTTATGATGAGAATTCGCTGCTCCTGGTGAATGATCTAACTTTTAATAAAGAGAAAAAGTATCGATCTCGTTAATAAAGTCGAGAAATGTTGAAAGGAAAAAAAATAGTGTAAATATTTTGCTTTTCTACATCTGCTTGTATTTGTTTACAATTCTGACGAACTTTGCCAAAGGAGAACGCTTTCAACGTAAAAACTTTGATATGCCATACATCAGTAATAATACCACATTAAACTAATAAAACGAAATTAATTTATCCAGTTTGATACTGGACATAATTATTTGTTTATTATCAAAACATTTTGGTTGTAAAATATGATATGATATGAGAGGTACACCCAGGTCACCCAGTAGACATTATAATCTTTTTATACTTTTTCGGCTCAGAGTTGCCCTAGAAATAAACTAATCTGCACTAATCTGTGTGCGAACAGACAGTATTATACAACAATTTTACATGTACACAGCTGATACAAAGCAAATACAAAAAAAAAAAAAAAATCGGAAATAAAACTGATTTATTTCATTTGATTTCATTATTATTGCATATCTCGATTGTTAAAAAAAAATGTAAGGCTATTATACTATATAAAACTAAAAAAACTACAAAATTTTGTATTTAATAGAGAAGAGTTTGGGTATCCAAAACAAGAAAAATATTTACTGAATCGTTCACTGATATTAGTTTAATTTACAATTTTGATTTAATGACATAGACCTCATGAAGAACAGAACCTAATCAGATTTTTACCCAATTCAGCCGATTTCAACAGAAAATATTACTAAAAAATAATATTCCCATATGGAGCGAAAAAGAAACATTAGGTGTTTTGAATCGATCCAATTTAAATTATAATTTCTAATTTGAAATTCAATGGAAATTCAATAAAAATTATTGAATTTTACAAAATAAAAAATATCAAATAACTTTTTTTGACAGAAGTTTTAATACTAAATTCAGTTAACTTAAAGCAACAAGTTTCTTAATTCAGTGACTTATCAATCTCACATCCATTAAGTTCTTCCGGCGTTTACATTATTTTTCGATCTCGTCGTTTTTTTCACCTGCACGCAAAGTGCGGCGATGAGCTTTCGTGAGTTGATAACTGATAAGCTCTCTCGTCGGAGTTTTTTCTTTATCTCTGTCAGCAGAAAGTTGCTTATATGAATTGTACATAGGCGCGGCCAGCGCAGTCTCTGATTAACTCCTGAGGAGCATCTGATCTGCTTTCTTGTGTCCCACGGCTCGATTTTTGTCTTTCTCCAAAAGCACAATACATAATCTTGGGCTTTGCTTTCGACACGCCACACAATGCCTTTGGGATGAGAGCCAAAGGAGCAGCGACAGACCATTTGCAAAGGAACTGGGTCAAAATTTCCAACCGTATGTATCCGACGGTAGCTGAGATGACGCCGGATTATGCATGTTTGCGCTGTAGGTAATTTTCATTTTGCTCAATATATTCATTCCGACTTTTAATCTTCCCTTGCCCGCCGAGTGACAGAGATAAAAGGGACTCGTTAGGTATAGGAGAATAGTCTCCGCGAATTTGTGTAGCCGTGCTTTGTTCTTGCGTCATTTCAGCCAGAGAAATTATTCCAGGCGAATGAAAGATTGAAAATTATAAAAAGAAAATTTTGATTACTGTCTCATTTTTACAGAAGAATCTATAAACCTTTATGCTACTTACAAAAGACACACATAATTTTTCTGATTAAATTTAAAAACATCACAGGGAAAAATGTTATTCAATAGAACTTGAAATAAAATTATATAACAAAAATATTACAAATGATCAATATTTCAAGATTTTTTAAATAATACCTCTAAAACAAGAAATTTTTAGTTAGAATCAAATTTATTTATTCAGGAACTTATTATAATTGAGGAAAATTGATTATTTTATTCTAAAATCACCCCCCTTTACAAAAGATTGGAAATTTTAACTTGTTTTGAACATAGTTAAAAATAAAATGATTAATTTTTTGTTCGTTGGATCATCTGTTTTGAGCTTTATGAAAGCATGTTTTCCTAGTTTGTGTTTTTCTCCTTTAAAAGAGCAGTCGAGAAAAATCATTGCGAGAGCGAGAGCGCCCCCGAGGGCTGATGAATGGTGCGAGAATTCAGAGAGAGAAGAGAGCTTTGCGTGCGGCTCTAAATTTTCTAATAAAATGTGCCCATGAGGATCGAGCGAGGAGCGTGGTGCTCTTCGCAGCCAGCGTCCGACCAAGCAACAAACTCTTCCACAAGCAAGCAAGCGCCCCTCTAAAAATAACTCTCAGAGATCCGAGCCAGCCGCGCGCAAAAGATCAAACTAATTTCCCAAAAATTGGCGCCCTCTTCTCTCAAATTGAAGTCATTTACCTGTAATTAGAGGCTGTGGTATTGAAATTTTTACTGAAAATATTCTTCTTCTATTTTATTTCATCCCAAAGAAAAACACAAAGAATACAGCAAACTTATTTGTTTAATTTATTTTTTTAAACAATTTTAATTAGTATAAATCTTGAAATGAAAATTGGTTTTGTTGAGAATCTTGATGGATTAATTTTAAAACAATTAAAAAAATCGTGCGAGTTCTTTATTATGTAAAAATCGTCATTTAATTTGTTAATTTAAGCGTGCCTCGCTAAGTCCTTGGAATGCCAAACTCGATTCGCGCGGTGTCGCAATTATTTTAACGTCAGCTAGCACGATCGGAATTTGACATGGTGATCAATGTCGGACGCATTGCTCATCAGCGAATTCAAAAGTCTTGCGTGCAGTCCCAGCAGCTCGAATCAATGTCGTCAGGCCGCGACCGGAAGCTGGGCCTGCATAACTGCGAGTGTTGCGCTGCTTGGCTTTGTTTGCGGTGCGCACCATGTACATACGATCGAAGCAGACAAACGCAAAGCACGTCTTGTTTAAGGTGCACTGTCACAATATCAGCACTGCCTTAAGTGGGGTGTGTACCTCGTTAGGTTAATTTATGGCGAGTATAAAGTTAGACCAGCGAGACCAGAACACGCACTATAAACTCGGACATGAGCCGAATTTATGTTTAAAAAAAGAAAAGAACACGAAAGGAAATGGCCAAATTTAATTAAAGCTATAGAAATTAAATTATTAAATTATCTCAGAAATTCTTAATTGTTTTTCTCTCATTAGGAAATAATTTTTATAGAAAACTAATTTATTATTTTTTCTCTATAAGATCATGGAACAAAAATTTATAGAAACTTATTTTGAATTTGATATTTTTTTTTTCTAAAACCCGTTTAAATTTGAAAAAATATCGAAATTCTGAAGAAAAACATGCACAAATAATAATTCCGTTAAAATGTCTTCTACAAGTATAGCTAAATTAATTAATATTTTTTAGATAAAATAGAAATAGGTTTAATTATATCCGTAGTAAAGATCGATAAACCAAAAATGAGGGAAATGTTTTGAAAAGAATAATAAAAGTTTCGGTATTTCTAGATGATGGAAGGCCCTGGTCGGGCGGTGGGTCTGCAGCGGCTCTCATCCTCTTCGGGTGTGTCGAGCATCAGCGTGTCACATGGCATGTCGTCCGTGCGCTCAATGTCGGTCGCAAGCATCAGTTCCGAGGGAAGTTCCGAGAGCCACAGCGTCGAGCAAGAAGAAATCTCCGCTCTAACGCACGACGTAAGGGCGTTCAAGGAGGCGCTCGGTCATCTCCGGAGGATATTCCAACACTCAGAGAGAGGTAAAACACCACTTCAGATTCAATGTTGATCTGAAATTGATCTCCGGCAAAAAAGGGATCTATTTTCTAATTAATTAGAATCTATGAGCGAAGGCTGAATGCATTTTTGTTTGCAAATTATTAAATTAAATTTAATCAAAACATTTGAAAATCTAATCACGACTGCCGAAAAAGTTCACGCAAACAAACTAAAGATTTGATCGGAGACTAGTCGGCATATCCTTGATGGGGGTTTTTCAGTTAATTTTTTAAAGGGGAATAAAGAAATATCATCTAGAGGATATTTTTTATAGCAAACAAAAACCCAATTCTATTTGGAGAAAACCATCTCTAACTTCATATTTAGCCATCAACCCTCGATCAATTCTACTACAAAATTTAAACTTCTGTCACCAGATTTGCAAGACAATGTGAGAACAATGGCGCACGACAGATTAGGTGAGGTGCTGCGAATTTTGAGAGTGGTACTTGAGAAACACCACACCTTGCAGAACACTGAACTTCTAATGGCAGCCGGAGCTCTCATACAGCAAGTTAAAGGTGCGGTGTAAAAATGTTTAATTACGCTGTTATAAATGTATATTTAATTAAAAATTAGGGCACGATTATGAGGATGACAAGGCGAGCACAAAGGAATTTTTTGACTCCATTGACAAACTGGCTCTTGCGTTCAGCAGCAGGTAACAAAATTTGTTATTAAATTTAAATTTTTACGTTTTAATTTACTGGTTATTTGATTTTTTTCATCAATTTTATTAAAAAAAATTTCAGGGTTTCCGAATATCTGATGGGTGACTTGGATGTTGTCAACCTGCCGTTCACCAACGCTGTGACGAGCAAGACCAAGTCTTACGAAACCCTGACATGCAAAGCCGCGTCGGTCCGAGGACGGTCGGCCGGAATGGACGAGCCGAGTTTGCCAGGAGAACAGGAGTCCGAGTTGCTCAAAATCGAGCACTCGGTGGAGGCGTTGCTGCGACGGGCCAAACTCTGCTCCAAATACCTCAAGGACGTGGTCATGTACGTGGAGAAACGGGCACTTCTAGATCTCGAATACGCCAAAAATCTGTCCAAACTCGCCATGACCGTCAAGCCATTCATTTGCGAAGAGGTCAGTATAAGTGTGCGTCATGAAAACGTCGGCGAGCACAGCTTCTTTTTAAATTAATGACTCGCGTTCAATGCTGAAAATAACACTCGCTTCTCAATTTTTAGAGCCACTTTCCGCTCCAAGGCATTTTCTGCCACGCCTTGGACAACGACACGGACAACTGCAACGCGTACCTGGACACAGGAGCTCTCATCTTGGGATCAAAGTTTCTGGAGGTTAATTTTTGTATTTTAATCAATTATTTAAATTTAAATTGGCGAGAAAACTAAATTAAAACACAGTAAAAATAAAAAATAGATTTCAATAATAAATAATTTAAGTAAAAAATGGAATGTTTATTTTAAAATCAATTCATTTTTGGAAAAACAGATAAAATATGCCAAAATACACTAATTTGTAATTTCAACAGGAAACTGGAAACAAATTACATAAAGATCAATATTATTAAATATTTTTCCATTTTCTAACAATTTTGTTGATTTTTAAAAAGGTTTTGTTAATTATTCTTACAATTATTTACATTTAAAATTTACTCAATTTCACAATTTGCCAAACTATTGGAAAAAAGCTATGTAGATGCTGGAAGAAGCAATTTAATGCAAATAAGTCCCTCTTAATGGACATAATTTACTCCATAAATCACTTTGGCCTGACTTCCGTTGATTATTTTTCTTTCTTGGATCGAATTTTAGCCGATGAGAGCGCGGCGGTTGGAGCACGAGAGGAGGCGGAAGCAATTAAAAGAGCAGTGGCAACGAGAGATGCGACGCATGCAAGAGGCCGAGGGCGTAAAACGGAAGGCGTACGCGATTTTCGCGCAACGCCAGCAGGCGGCCAAGGCTGTCGTCGACCTCGACACCAAGCCCGAGCGCCGGCGAAAGGTCGACGATGACGCCATCCAGAAAGTGAGCCGGAAAAAGCAAATTTGATTGAATTATGAAAAAAATGGTACCTTCCTGTTGAGCGTAGGCGTTCGAGGCGGAGAGCACGTACAAGAAAGCGTGTCTCGACGTGGAGACGCAGGCCCGCCACCTGCAGAAGGTCAAGGCCGAAGTTCTGCACAGCCTGCAAGCCCTGCTGCTTCAGTACGACCAGACCATCAAAGCCACCACGATGAACTACTTTCAGCTGCAGCACAACCAAAGTTCCCTTACACCGATACAGGTAGATCGCATAAGTAGGCTGCGCCGCTTAACGGCGGAGAATAGCAGGTTGCGTAGCTGTGCATTTTCAAGGCGTCTGCCTCCAAAAGTTTCGGAATTTAATTTTCAATTTAAATAAAAATTTATTCCAAAAGAGAAAAAATAAAAAAAATTCTCAAAATAAACGGTACAGATTGAATTTTATCTCTTTAAGCTTATTTAATTAAAATAAATGAACTTATGGCCCGATTTTCTAAAATCTGTAGTAAAAACACAAGATGAACAAAAATTATTCAGATTTAGCTTGAATGTAGATAAATTTGGCTATTATTTTCTACAATACGCAGGGCTCTTATGTAAAAATAGTTAATGCTCAAATATTATTATTTAATTACTGATCAATTATTTAATAATTGAGTAATTTAACTTATCCTTATTTTGTGGCATTTTAGTTTCAGAGGCTGTATGAAAGCAGCAGTCATTACGAGCCTGGGCAGCAGTACCATGAATTTGTGAAGCGATTCTGCGCTTTGGCTAGTCAAAAGCACGCACTGCAAAGTTCAGCAAGCATGTCACAAGTCATGGACGCTGCAGGCGACCCAGATGTCTTTATTCAAGGTAATTCTTTATTTCTTGAAATGATTTATTAATTAATGATATTCTATTAGGCAAACGAAAGAAGCATTTGATATAGTTTGATATTAAGTTATTTAATTCACATAAAAAAGATCAGAAAAACCACAGAAATTTATTAAATATTATTAATATTTAAATGAGGATGGACTTCTCATTGGCAAATTGTGAATTTCAGTTTTTGAGAATTTTTTAATTCAATTTAATTTTTTAATTAGTGGAATATCAAAATATTGATAAAAAAAAAATACTTAAGATTAAAAGTTTTAACGATGAAATTTTTATGTTGGAAGTATAACATATTTTTTTTTTTATTTGCTAGCATTTTCGTTAGAGTAAAATTTTTTATTGACAATTGTGCATTATGTTCTGTCACTCCAGGTTCTGGTCGAGGACCGTTCCAAGTCAAGCAGGCGTGGGGAAGCTTCAAACGAGGCCAACAGGCGGAAAGCGATTCTGACAGCAGCCACAGTGGCAAAAGTCGCGAGTCCTCGCCCGTTTTGAATTCGCCACCGGCGACCAGGTCGTCTGGTGATGAAATCGACCAAAAGGAAGACGGTGAATATCAGCCAATTAATTAATGATTTAAAATTAAATTTAAATCGATTGCTTTTTTCCAGAACATGTGATTTTGCCGGATGACGTTTCAAAAGCTTCCCTTTCGCACAAGCTTAAAATTCTAAACTTGGACAGGAGCAGTCATCTGAGGTGCTCTGAATGTGATAATAAAATTTACGGAGATGCTCTTCAATGTGTTGAGGTTGGTCAATTTTTAATTATATCTAGATTTTAATGTATTTGAATACGTTAAATTAAATATAAGCGTGAAATTGCGACTTTAATAAAAACTTGAAATTACACACTAAAAAAACTTAAAAATAAATTATGATTTAAAATAAAAATGAAATCGCAAATATTTAAAAAAAAATCTGAATTATAGATTTCTAAGGAAAAAATTGAAATAACAATTAAGGAGATATTAATGTTTTAAATTAAATTAACTTTTAAACAATTTTTTAAACAATAAGTATACAATATAATATAATTGAATCTTTACATTTATTGCAGTGTGGCCTGAATTGTCATAGAGGGTGTTTGCTCAAACTGAACGTGTTCTGCGGTACACCTAAGCTGCCAGAAAACTATGGCGTTTTCGGCACAAGCCTTAGCCAGCACTTGCAAGAGAGCGGATGCAGCATTCCACCAGTCATTACCAAATGCGTTGAGGAAATCGAAAAGTCAGCTCTTACAATAAAGGTACGTTTGAACGTTCAAGAAAGTCGAAATATTTTTAATTTATTTAAACAGGGAATATACCGAGTTTCTGGAGTGAAATCAAAAGTCGAGAAACTGGTCGAGGAGTTCGAGAGCGGAGCGGACAAGGTGGACCTCTCGGGAGTCAATTGCCACGTGGTCGCCAGTGTGTTAAAATTGTATTTGCGACAACTTCCAGATCCTCTACTCACATTTGAATTGTATTCCAGCTTTGTGAAGTAAGTAAAGCAATTAAAAAAACATAATAATAAAAAAAAATTTGCAATAACTGTTATAATTTTTGCCACTATCTTTATTGTTCTTATTATTTTTTTACAATTTTTTTCGTTTATCTTTATCTTCAGTTTCCATTTTTCAACTGTTAAAATTGGCAAACTCGAATTAAATACTGATTTATAACTAATTAATTGCCCAAAATTTAGTCAAGTAAAATACGTAAACTAATACGCTTGATTTTATTTATAATTTTTAATCTTTTAAGTTTCTTGAAACGAAAATTGAATAAATATTTTAACGATTTTCGTATCTCTTTAAAATATCAGATTAGCCAAAGAGTGGCCAACGAGCGAGGGTTCCATGAGTGGCAGTGTGTCCGAGCTTGGTGCATTGGTGCAGCAACTGCCCGCCGACAACCTCAACTGTCTGCGCTTCCTTGTGAAACACCTGTGCCACGTGGCCGCCCACTCGGACGCCAACCTGATGCCTTCGGCCAACCTGGGCATCGTTTTCGGCCCCACCCTGCTGCGCACGCCGAACGGACACACGTCCCTCAGCTGTCTGATGGACACGGTGCATCAGACGAGGGCCATCGAGCTGCTCGTCGTGCACGCCGACGTCCTCTTCGGCGTCTCAAAGCACCCCAAAGACTGCATCGTCCTGCAAGAACTGCTGCAGCAGAAACAGGGTGAGAGCCAGCAGGTTGTTGACCTGCCAGGGTACATTCCCGAACAGGACGCCCTTTCCAGCCCAGAGTACGAGCCGGGCCCTAGCCAAGGTGAGAGAAAAAGAGCAGCGCACACAGTCCAAAGGAAAAACAATGCAAAAAGAGAAAGAAAAATGAGATAATTAAATTTTCAGTTTATATTATTTAAGATAAAACAAGAGCTGATTTAAAAACATTGATTGAAAGTTTTATGGAATAAGTGAAACTTGGACAAGCCTCATTAAAAAAATTTAAAAAAAAATAAGTTTCTGGAAAACCAGAACAATAAACCTAACGATATGGCTTAAAAATATAAATTATTTAATATCAGCTTGAATAATGCATTAATTTTAAAACAAAAATATATTATTGCATAAACTTTAATATTTAATTTAATAATTCGACTGTTTAACTCATTTTTCTATACAAATTATAAGTACAAATGCACTTTTCTTGTAAATTAACACTTTTCTTGGGTTCAAATGCAATTCTTTCGCACCAAACAACATGTGAGTATAATTCAGCTTGATCGATGTACCATAAAAATCTATGTATCAACAGATCCACTTATCAATCCATCATTTTGGAGTTCAATTTTGCTTTCCACTTTTCAGACGACATTCTCTTCGGTTTCGCTTCGGACGACGATATACCTGATTCGTTGCTTCCCGACTTCACCAACCTAGACTCTTACTCTCCTATCCTGAGACGCAATCTTCATCATTCCGGCTCTGCTAACATCATTAAGTGCTCCTTACGAGATTACAAAGGACTAGAGGGGGTAAGTTAAACTGCACAAACGTTTTTTCAGTTTCGCTGGATTAAAACAATTTTTTTTATGAAAAATTTAACAAAACTTTCTACGTTGAAGCCCAAGGATAAGAAGGTAAAAAAAAAAACCAGTATAAGAGTAAAACACATAAAATTTGTTTAAGATGAAAATAGTTTTTGTAGATTTTTAAAATATCCAGCAATATTATATAATTTTAGAGCTACATTTTTTAATATGTAATTATTTCCAAATCTTGGAAAGGAGTTTTTTAAGTTTATATATATCTTATTCTTCTTAGGTGACGTCTGAAAAGAAGTCGACCGCCAATCCAGAGCCTCCCTCCAGTGAGCTCGTGCGCCTTTACAAGAGCAAAAGCGCTGTTGACCACAGGTCAGGGACTTCTTCGGACGCAAAACAGGCAGAGACGAAACTATTTAAGGGTCGCAAGGAAAGCATCGCCGACTCTGACGACGTCGACTCGCACCTCAGCAGCTCGGTGGAGAGTTCAAGTTTTCGCGACGAGATGCTCAAACGCCACCAGCAACACTTGCTGATTTCGGGACCGGGCTCGTCCATGGAGGAGAGCCAGAGCGAAACAGAAGACGCGGCCAACGGTGGAAAATCGGCGCTACCACGAAAGTTCAAAGGTACGGGGAAATTGAAATAATGCTTATGACTAAAAATTTGTTTTAAGTTTCATTAAAAAATAAATATAGAAAGCTTATTTAAAAATTAATAATTAATAATTTTTTATATATTTAAAATTATAGTGTAATATATTATTTTATAATTTTTATTATTTTCTTATTTGTAATTTTTTTAATAAAATTAATAATATATTTTAACTTTTCTTGTTATATTTTTTTTTTACAAAAATATTACATTAAGCTAATAGTAATTTGTTACCTTAATTAGTGAGTTAAAATTATAAAATTAGTTTTCATCAATTATTTTTTTAGCCCAACGCTTTTTCTCATTAATTTAATATGATTCAAACCATGAACAATATAGAAAATGACTTGATTTAAATTTTTTTAAACCGTTTTTGTTTGTTGAAGTATTTTTTTATATGCATGATAATTGATATCTTCTTACTTCATTTAAATAAATTTTTTTTCTTCATTTTCTTTTTTCAAGATTCATCTGACGGAGCGCGATCTGTAAAGACTTCCTCGTCCAGCAGCAGCCTCATCCACTCGACCAAACACCACATCAGCGTGGTCACCAGCCACCTGGTGGGGCGCCGGTCTTCTCGAAAGGACTCTGGAGCGTCCACCGCATCCGTGACCATCAGTCCACCAATCGTTATTCCCAAGAAGGCTGAAAAGGTGCTTGGCGAAACTATAGTCCACAAAATCACCCTTGTCGACGAAAACGAGAAGCCATCAAGTAGTGACAACTCAAAACATTAAATAAAGTTGTAAACTGAAAAGAAAAAAATCGAATTGCAGAGGGGAAATGTCAATTTCCTCAGACATATATATGATGAATGTGGTGTCTGTGTAGTGCTGCTTGCGCTTATCTGGCCTCACCAGATAATTTGAATTGTGTAAAATAAGTTGCAAAAAGTGTAAATTTTTGCTGTTGTGAATTAATTGTTGGCTCACTATCGACAGAATACAGAAATCAAAAGAATTTATTCAATAAACCAAAAAGTAGGATTAAAAGAAATAATTTTGTTTAAAATTTGCAGAACCCAATAATATTTTCATACAGACGAAAAATGCGAGAGTTGAAAAATGTCCTGTTCATTTTCATTACCAATAATTTTAGTGTGTTCTATTTGCTAGATTTTTAAACATATTTAATTTTAAATACAATCATCATTATTTATTATTAAATATCTTTATTAAAGCCTTTATTATTTTTGTATTTAAATATTTTATATTTATAATAATAATAAAATTTAAATTGATTAATAATGATATCTCAATCTAAAAAAATAACCAAATAAGGCAAAAATAAATTTTATTTTAAATTTATATTTAACATGTAAATTTATAAGAGTCGTAGTCAATCTTTCTATTATAGTGATAAAAATAAAATTTTAATTGCAAAGACAGCAACCATATTTTTTTAATCATAGACAATTTCGATGAAAATAACTCAAACTTAATTTAAATTCGACAAATTTTCTTAATTAACTGGGTTTTTTTATGTGCTCCACTTTCTTAAAATCAAATCTATTTCCTTCAATTTTTAATTTGCAAAAACTTTAAAATTGAAACTTATTAAAAGTGTTTTTAGATTCATCAGCGCACTCTGTATAGACATCCTCGTCAAGCAGCAGCCTGATCTTTACGACCAAACACCACATCAGCGTGGTCACAAGCAATGACCTGGTGGGGCGCCGGTCCTCTTGTTGGGATTTCGGAGCGTCCAATAAATCCGTGGCCATCAGTGCGCCAATCGAAATTCCCAAGAACGCTGAAAATTTGCTCGACGAAACCTTAGTCCACAAAATATTAACATTGTCGACGACAACGACAAGAAGCCTCCAACTAGAGAAAACTTGAAGCATTAAAAAAGAAGTTGGTAACTGATAAAAAAAATTAATTGTCGAGGTGAAAAGTTAATTTCTCTGGACTGACAGGTGTTGAATGTGATGTCTGTGTAATGCCGCTTGCGCTTATCTGGCCTCACCAGATGGTTTGTAAATTGCATAGAATAAGTTGCAAAGTGTAAATTTTCGTTGTGGTGAATTATTTGTTGGTTCACTATGGACAACATAAAAATCCAAAGAATTTATTCAGTAAACCGAATAACAGGGTAAAAACATAAGATTATAATGTAATTCGCAAACCCAAAAATGCCTTTTAAAAAATTTAAATTGTGAAGCTGCTAATATATCCTGTGCGTTTTCATTTCAGAAAGTTTTATTGTATTATTTGAGTTTTTAAATTGTAGATCAGTGATCAGGATAATGTTTTTCTTTCTGCTTTTTTGTTTTCATTGTTAACAACCATTATTTATAATGCTAGTTTATTTTATTTTAAATAAACTTTTATTTTTCTCTTTTTTATATAACCTTTTATTAATTTTTAAAAAATATTTTGCTTCATTGTCCAATTTAAATATTCAGTTCAAGCTTATTTTAAAATATAATCTTATTAATAAATTTAAAATGGATATAATGGTTGAAATTGAGAAACAGGTTGTAACATAATTGAAAATTTACTGCAACAATTAAAAATGGGCCTGACGATGCAATTCTGATTATTGACAATCCATTTGAAAATAGCTACGTATATAATTTATGATCCTCCTCAAATTTTATTTATTAATTAAATTTATCCTAATAATGAGCTCAACTTATGAAAAACCAATTCATTTTCAGAAATTTTAAAGTTTCTCAGCGTATTATATTTTTTTCAATATTCTTCAGGCGGTGCAGCGCGTTCTGTAAGACAATCTCGTCCAGCAGCAGCCTCATCCACTCCACCAAACACCACATCAGCGTGGTGACCAGCCACCTCGTGGGGTCCTGGTCATCTCTAAAGTATTCTAGAGCGTGCCAGTCATCATTCCCAAGAAGTCTGAAAAGGAGCTCGGCGATACCATAGTCGTCAAAATTACCCTATTTGACGACCAAGAATTAAGAGCCACTCAAAACAATAAAACAAAATACCGATTAGAACAAACAAAACTGAATCATTGAATTCATTGAGGTGAAAAGTTAGGGGACTGGCAGGTGTTAAATGTGGTATCTGTGTAGCACTTATCTAGCCTCATTTAAAATTAGAATCAAAGTAGAAATAAGATTGTTTTTCTTTTAAATCTAAAATATAAAAAAAAAATAACTAAAAGAAGGTTAATTTGTGGATCTTCAAAAATGTCCTGTGCGTTTTTATTTCCAATAATTTTATTGTATTTGAGTTTTCAACATGGAAAAGTACAAATATTGCATAATACAACCAATTTCCTATGTTTCTTCATCATCTTTTTTCTCTTCAATATTATCATGGGAGGGAACAACAATTTTTATTAAATATTAATCTTTGACTGCTCCCTTTCGTTTTTGCTTGTTATGTCATAATCTTTTTTTTCAATATTTTCATCCCCAGAGAGTGTGAGACAATAGGTGAGGTACATTGAAAATGAATGCAAATTTATTACAACAGGTCATCACAGTTACTGCCGTTGTTGTTAGTCATGGTGGTAAATGTTCGTTTTCTTTCCAATTTTCGCTTCTTCTCCATCGTCCTTCCTTATGTTTTCGCTTCAAAAACCAAAGCGACCGACCCTAAAAAAAACAGGGCGGTGCAAACTCCAATGACCTTTTCTTTTTTATATAAAAATGGTTTCCATTCCCCAAAAGTTTTCGTTTTCGTAAAAGTTAATTTTGTCCAATTTAAAAATTTGCATTTTTTTCTTTCTGTCGCGTTTTTAAATATACCCAATGCGTGTATCTGCTGTCTCAGAAATGATTTATATGGTGAGATCGTTCCGTTCAATTTTGTTAATATTGTACCATAGGGCGTCTCAAAGTTTTGTGTGTGTTGCGGTTGTTGTATTATTCTGTTTATATTTTTTCGCTGAGTTTGAGATTCCTTTCCAGTGTTTATCATTTTTTTTTCGTAATTTTATCTGAGAGATCCTAAAACAAATTCTAAACTCGACTAGCATACACACTTAACAGTCAAAGACAAAAAAGTATAGCGAGATATTAAAGTACTTTTGTTTTTCCTTTGCTATTTTAATACTTAATGCATGAATAAGTGTAGCTTTTTCATCATCATTGCAGCGTTTATTTTTTTTTTCAATATAATGATGAAAAACAAGAGAGGCTTCCGGCCGTTTCGTGTGTACGTCGACCCGAAACAATAAATGGGATAGAATTTGGCCATTCTAGCTTTCATCCGAGATCGTTTTGTTTTCACAGATATTCTTTGGAATCGATGAACACAAAATTTCGTGTGTTAATATAATTACGTGTGTCTTCAGAATCGAGTTCAAAATTTAACATGCAACAACCAAAGTCCAACCCATTATATATCCTACTATAAGTACTAAAGGTCGTCTCACAGCAATATATATTTAAGAAAAAGACAGAAAAACACAGCAATGACACGAATTATTATAACTAATCTGGAAAACTGCAATCATTGAATTTAATCTACGCAATAATACATGAGTGAGTGCTTAATATGATTAAGAAAGGGTCAATTAATTAATTAAACCCGAGCATTGGTTATTTTTTCTTTTGTAATAATTCTAGAGCAAAAGCAGCAAAAACACTCAGATAATTAATTTAATTATATAATCATACATGTGACCACCTTAGTAAGGGTTAAATTTAAAGGTGTGAGAGAGAGTTAGAGAGACACGTAGATTAATTAAGAATTATAATTAAGAGAGACGTGAAATAATTAATTGTACGCGTGGAGAGCAAGGGAGTAAACATTGCGTGCAACTTCTTCTCTTTTTTCACTGTTGCTAATAGGTATGTAAGGTATATAATAATTTAATTATTTATAATATCTACCCACTTAATAAATGCGGTCTCGTGTTGCGCTTAATTGGTTACAAATGCATATATAATGTAAATAACTGAACGGCCACTACGTAGCCAGACACAAAAATTCGAGGAGAAATTAATTAATCAATAAATTCCGCACCAAAAATATTTGTAGTGCGTATTGATGAAAATTTCAGATCCTCTCCTCAGTTAATTTTTGTGCTCAAATGCAGTCACGTGGTATTTAATAAGTTTAATAATAGCTAATGCACAACCCATCATGGAATTTAATGGTTTTTAATGATCTTCTCAATAACACATGTTCCTTTTCTCGAGTAAAATTCTGCTCGGTTATGACGTTAAAATTAATTAATCAATCAAAGAGTATTTGTGTGTTTGTCTTTGGCTCACTGCTTGTTGGTATTCGTTCTGAGTATAATGTGTTTGCGCGTATTTCTCTCGTATATAATTATAATTATATGAGACACAACAATTCAGCATAATAATTAAGACATCAATAAGAACATTAATGAATCTCGTGGTTTAATATACTTGTGGTTGAGTAAGTAAGTAAGTACTTATCGTAGCGATAATAATTTATAATATAACTGCAAAAAATGCTTCGTGCGATGGAGATTTCAATTAGAGAGAGATAATTACTTATCCGTTAATTAATCCAAAAACTTCTTCTCAAAACACCCTCTTTTATTGTTATTTTTTTTCAATTCCGATCTGTCTGGGGACGAAACTCGCGGAAACGGCGCAGAAAATTCGACAATAAATATTCTTGCTACATAATTATTTTTAATTTTAATATCTGGACTTTTACTTCCAACCTCACTAGTTCATCTTCTTGGCTCGCGATTAGATCATCATATCCGCCTCTCTTATTCAGAAATTAACCGCACGATATGTGTGATATGCAGTGTATATGAAAGTGTCGAGTTTTCCCGCGCCCTTCCCAAGCATTTCCGTATAAGATATAAAATTTAAATGCAACTCCGCATCTTCTTCTTTTAAGTATATATAAACACCAGAATGGCCTGGTTAAATTAAATTTATATGCCGCTAATCAACCGGTCGAGCAGGGAAGCGGAAGCGGAAAGGGCAACAGTTTTCCGGGGCGATCCGGGGGCAGCGCATCATTTTTCATTAAATTCAATCCCTTTCGATTGAGACTAATTTATTTCGTCGTAGCAAGTTTTGCGATGAGAGATAGAGAGAGAGAATCATATAACAACACCAAAATCTAAGTGCTACCGTAGAACGTTGAATAATCAATACAATAATTTTATAATATAATTTATCAAATAATTAGATATATTATTGCAGCGTTTTTGTATGCGTGATGTAATTCAATTTTTTTTTCATTCTATAGCACGTCATCTTTGTTCGTTTTTCGTTAATATGCTTATGATATATAATAATGTTTAGATGACTCAGGGGCGTGTGTGTATGTGTTTGTGTATAAGAAGAAAGTGTGTGTATGATTTTTTTAGGTTTTCCTCTGTCTTTTTCAGGTCTTAACAAATCGCACTCTCCTTCAACATCCTTTCAAAATGATTCTCGCGCAAGATCTTTAAATTATTTAAAAAAAAAACCGGCGGGCCCGAGGGTAGATTTTAAGAATGAATTACATAATTATTCTCATGCGCCGGGGCGTCTGCGGGTTTGCATAAGTTTCAGGCAGGTCTTCGGCTTTCTAGGAATTTACACTCGTTTTTTCACCTCACAAACTGCAGCTCTTAGAATGTAAAAATAATTTATTATTTTTCACTATACGCGCTCAAGGCCGGATATTTCTTTCTCAAAAGGGGATCGATTTCTTCAAACAACAACAACACACGCCTCGTCATATAGTTCGCGTTGACTTGCCCTGATCAATCAAATTCAGCTCACGTCTATTATAATAGTACGTAATAATTATATGTAAAGAGAGGTATATAAAGTGAGTGTGTGTATAGGTCTACAAATGATGAGATAATATATATATTCGACAATAATTTTCGCGATGGGCGAGTGTGATTTGTTCGGGTTTCTTCTCTCTCACTTTTTTTCATCAAATCATATTCGTCTCATCGGTATATATTTTAAAATTGCTGTCTTTCGCGGTGTGGCATTTCTGTTTTTGTTAAGCTATACATATGAATACGAACGGTAAAAAGCGGCTTAAACAACCATAATAATTATTATTTGTTTTTTTATGATACAACTCGTGTCCCACTCATTCGGTCGCAATTTTTCTTTGTATTTAGTTTGATCAGCGCGTTATTGAATTTTTTTTTTGGCAAAAGTTAATTTTTTATTTTTCTTTTAAATATATAGATTTTCTCAATGCTTCTATATATATAGAACAGGCATTAATCACATTATCGAGATAAATGCATTTTAATTTTTCCCATTTTGCATGTATAGAGAGCTGCAGTTCACGCGTAAAAGATGATACTCTGGTACACAGAACCGAAAAATATATCTTATTTTTATATACGTTATGATCGAGTGTATATATTTATGTGAGTGGTGTGGGTGTTTTATTTTTTCTGCGTTTTGGCCCTCCCTATACCTCTCCATCTCAACTTCATTCCCCATAATAAGATTATCCACTGCCCTTTTTAGAGATTCCGTCAGTGTTTTTTTTTTCTAGACCACTTCTCCACATATTTACAAATTTATGAAGACTTATTTTTTTTTTTTCACAAATATGCGTTCACGTCAAAAAGCATCCTTTACAAGGACCATATTTTTCACAACTTCACAAGCCGTGAGTTTCTTTACAAATTTCTTCACGAGATGCGACTTTTATATTTCGAAAAACTTCGTTGTATGCTCAAATCCATTCTCTCATCGTCTCTTCTGATATTCCGGTGCGCGCTGAAGATTAAAAACAGTATATTAGATCAACCGGTCCAGTCTGCGCGCATTCTCCGTGTGTCAGTTTGATTTTCATTTTTGGTTACAATTAATTAACTAGCCGCAGCCCCGAATTTTTACGTTAATTATATTTCCGCCTTTATTGCAACATTGTCAAAAATATGGTCAGCTTTTCTTCTTTTTAGATTCGTTTATAGACGCGAATGAAATTCTCGCCTATGTTTTTTTTTTATAATAATTCTTTTCTCTGAGAAAGCAAAAGTTTTATCATTGTTTGGTGGCTCGCGGTGGTTTTGATGGTTGTCTGTGCGGTTCAAGTTGCACTACACGTACAATAACATGCAAAAGTTTTGTTTCAAGAGAGATGTCGCGCGGGACACAGAAAGGGGACTGCAAAAATCCATAACGTCTTTCGTTGCTTTCAGCGCCGCTTTTTTTACACAATCGCGGAAAGGGTTGATGGGGGGACAGATTTACAAATATATCGATTTGAAATGTTTTGTATGTGATTTGAAAAATTTCCAGTGCTGAGAAAAGCGGAAGCCAGTTTGAAAAGGCTCGACCGAAAATATATATTTTTATTTATATATATTGCACCGTCTCGAGTGTGAATGGATGTTTTTTTGTGTGAGATTATTGTTATTATTTTCGAAAGCATTTTGGTTTTCTGGACGTGGGAGGTACAAAGTTTATCTCTTTTACTTCTCTATTATATTTTATGATGATATATATAATATTTTTTCGCAAACGGCCCAGCGCAGAAGCGAGTTAATTCTTCGTTTTAGGCAAGTTCCCCGTGACCCGTCGAGTTTTTTTTTTTAATGAAACCAAACATCGGCTGAAAAATTAACTGCACTCACGAGAACTGTCTGAATTCGTGAGCGGAATCAATTAGTCAACTAATATAATCAATCGGTTGTCGGCTGCTAGCAATGAACAAGGTGCTCAAAAGTTTTTTGATCAACTCTTCTTGTATTGTTCAGCTTTTTGAGAAAGAGAGAGTAAAAAATCGCCCACTTCTACTGGAATGCGTTTTCTTTCACGTCTGTACTTGTTCGTTTTTATACTTTTTAGAGTTATTAAAGAGTATTTTTCATTAGTAGCAATATTATCTTTACTTTTGATAAGTGTCCTTACAAAAATAAATTTATTATTTTCACTCTTCACTTATTTCTCTTTTGCTTCATGGAAGTGTGCTGTCTTTGGATTTTCTTTTTACATGTCTTTATACGGGCAGCATTTTTTTATATTTTTGATAGCGTTCACCTGATTTTTTGATCATCATTTTCAAGTTATGAAATGTGTGTTGTGTTGTGGATTTTAGTTGGATGTGTGTGTGTGTTAGTTGATGTGCCAGTCGTCAACGTGGCCCACTCACTTACACTTGTGCACAGCAGACCAAAGGGGCTCGCTTCAGCGTACGTGTTCGTTTTTATATTTTTAATTATGAGAAATGCGGTTCTCATGCGCAGGTGGAGATGCAGTAAGAAATCATAATAATAATAATAATAATAATAAGGAAAATCAACAACCAAACGAGAATGAAAATGAAATGAAAAGACAAATATTAAGTATATAAATATCATACTTTTAATCATACGCTTAACTTACGAACTAAAAGACAAATGAATGAAAAGAAAAGTGAAATTATAATCAATCAAAATCATAATAATGGTAAGAGAATAAATATCTTTGCTCTTTTAATGAGTTAATTAACTCGACGTGCGGTAAATATTGATCAATGTGTTAATATTTAATATAAAACGTGAGATGAGACGCAGCCTTTTAATGAAACCATTCATTATCATAACTATTGTTACTATTACTGATTGTGTGAGAGTGCCAAATTTAGGTAAATTTTTTAAATTTTTTTTCTTCTGTAATAATAACCATAGCGGCCGCGTCGACAAAATAAACTCAAACCAGAACTTTTCTTTGGTTTTGCTTAATTAAAACTAAAAATCTGACTCTTTTTACTTACAGAACTAAAAAGGTGTATCACCTTGGTATCAACTTAATAATATAGCAAATCAATCATCGTTTATATTTACGGTGCCAAAAGTAAGAAAATACTCCTAAAGTATATATAAATGAATGGATATATATATCTCTGTGATGCACAAATAGAAATTTTGCACTCGTTGCGGCACAAAAAACGAAACAACTTTCTACTACGCTTCATGTCAGTATACAAAATAATTTTCTCCGGGGAGTGCTGAAAATCAAAATATATTTATCTACTACTCGTACCAACTCAAGGTAAAAACCAAACAAAAAACTAAAATGAGAGGTGAGACTGAAAAATTAAATACATATCCACCTATTTGATCAGCGCAGGCAACCGGCGCCTTGTGAGATATTTTGCACATAAATCTAGTGGTCCGACACGTGGCGGCACCACTTTAGAGTCTTGTTTGAGATGAAGAGTTTTATGGTTTTCAATCTAGTACAATAATTGCCTCATACCATCGCAATTACTTTCAACCAAACTCAACAATTGCCGCGGGCGGAAACACTCAATAAATTGGGTTCATTTCGCCTGGGAGATACTTTGAAAGGTTGACTAGCCTCAGCAGACTAGCGAAAGCCCCTGCTAGTCGACGACTAGTGATTTCCTTCGGAGGCGTGATCATCACGCGTCCGATTTTTAAGTAATTAATTAGTCAGCTATACGCATCGCAAAATGGTAGCTTAATCCACTCGTCATAGTGCAAATAATAAAAATACTCGTACAACAAGAAACAAAACAGGCGGGGGCCAAATCCATTGCTCCGGCCGATTTTCACTTATTCGAGAGAGATATAGAGAGATAGAGAGACCAACAGTTTTGTTTTTTCGTTTAAGTACGCAAATCCTTCTTGAAAGAGAGGCGGCCGCGGAAAACCAACATTGATGGCTATCACTCGTTATTTGAACAGAAAACGCTTTTTCTAATACAGAGTTATGTACACAAAATTTGTTCTCTCTCTAACGAGCGGCGCGCGTCTTCTTCTTCTTCTAATCTTCGTCGTCAACTTTTTGAGCTTTTACAAAATTTTGGAAGTCACTAGAAGGTAATATAGGCCTTGTCTCCTATTTACATCTTTAATTGTCAATTTGTACTCTCTGTGTTTTTCGCTTTCACTTACCCCAGCCAGGAGGCGGCCGTTCGACAATGGCCGCCCACGGGCCGGTTCTGCTGTCCGCCTGAAATTTTTCTAAAATTTTATCATTTCGGGGTTGGCAATGGACTCAGTGGCGCCTGATCCGTTTTTTTTCCTATCGATTCATCCATTTGATTTGACTAGCAACGTGGTCACAGTGGAGATATGACGGAGGAGGTTTGGATGAGGTTGAAAAGCATTCTTACATAACACAGCATATACATAGAGGAGATTCTCACACTTGTTCTTCGTACGTACGTTCTTACATTATATACTTTATCATCAAGTGTCCATTCGTCAATGTTTATTTCTCTTCTCTCGTAGATCAGTAGTTAATAAGTTTTTTCGTCGCGCATTTTTTTCTATAGAAAAACGTCCGTGTATATCAAATTTATATATAAATTTCTCATTTGGCTCTCCTCTAAAATATCTCTCTTACTCATCTGAATTCTCATTAATATGCTTTACTTATTATTGTATGTGTGTGTGTGGGTGTGTATGTGTAGGTGTATATTTCATTCTCTGCCTTGTCGAAATCATCATCTTCTTCTTGATGTTGATGGTTGGTTGGTCGGTCTGCTCCGAAATTATTGTTTTGTCCTCCTTGTTCAAGAATAAATTTCTTTTCAATGCATGTAGATATACTGAGAGAGACTGAGTATGTGCGAAGGGGTGAAGAGTGAGTGGGTGGGAGTTGTTTTTGTTTCGCATGTGGGGGCTTATGCTGTCTTGCTCTTGTTGGTCTTGAAGGAGACCTGCAGCACTCGGTTGCCGAGGGTGTAGCCGTTGAGCGACTGGATGGCGACCACCGCCTCGTCGTAGTTGGTCATGGTGACGAAGCCGAAGCCCTTGCACTTGTTGGTCTGCAGGTCGCGGATCACTTTGACGCTCTGGACGGCGCCGAACGGCCCGAACAGTTGCCACAGCACGTTCTCCTCCGTCTCGGGCGCCAGGTTGTACACGAAGATGCACCAGCCCGAGCCGTTCATGGCGTTGCCGGGCAACATGCTGTTGGCCAGAAGGTCGCCAGCGAGCGGCGAGTATCTGCAATTAGACATACCATGTCCTTTAAAACCACAAGGCGCGTTCCTACACTTATAAGGAGGGCCAGTAATTTCCAATTTCAACTCACAACCATGCAAAGTATAATTAAATACCAAACAACTATCAACCAGATAATAAATATATTTACAGGAAATTAAGCTTGGAAATAATGATATGATTATTTTTAACACGAAATGTACAAATTTGGAAGTTAATGTAAGGGGTCTTAGATATATTCGAAAACGTAAAATTTTGATACCCATAAATCTTGCAAAACGATTCTAATTAGTAAATTTTGTCAAAGATCAAGCAGAGGATCTATTTGTAATGTAAAAATTCCCCTATTTTCATCCTAAGTAATTAAAAATTAAATTGCAAAGATCTAATAAGATATGTTTCAATTATTTTTTCCAAAACCTCAATTGCTTTGAATGATTTTTAAACTGGCCTTGAGCTTGAAAAATACTGTAACCAACTCCCTTTTTAATTTAATATAAAATCAAATGTTGTAAGAACTTCAGAAAAAAATCTTGTTAGAACTTTGTGGAGCAAAATATTTTAAATATAAACACTTGTGAGGTTTTGGAGCAAATCACAACATAAATCACGAGCAAAATATTTACAGTCTGCTATATGAAAAATGGCTCATAATAAAAAATCCATTTTTTTCACCAGCTCGGTGGTAAAAGAGCTGAAGGAATCTCAATTTGTCAGCATAGCCGCATCTGCCAAGAATGATTAATTGCATTTCCAAGTTCTCTCCACATCGCTCTGCATTAGTGCGCAAGTTCCCACATAAGTTGATGATAAAAATAAAGCTCTTTCTGATGGGGCAGCCACTCGTTTTAAACTTACAGATATCCCACTTTTCTCCAGTTAAAAACCTCAAAATTTTTTGTTGAACAAGACTAATCCATCTCGGAATAAGTTAAAAAAAGAAATACGCATTACAGTGTAAAAAGGGTTAGTTATTATACAAAAAATCATGTGAAAAAACCGTGGGGGATGCTAAATACTGACCTCTGCAACCCTTTGTTAATGGCTAGCACGGCCTTGCCAGTGCTAAAACAAGACGCGAAGAGAAAATAACCAAAATTGATAAAAAGAGAAGAAATCAAGAAATGAGATCTACTTAATTCGAGCACTAACAACTAATTAAAATAATGAAAAATCGGGTCCAAGAGGAAATACCTGAAGCGGCCGGTGGGGTGGTGGATGGGACCTCCGAAGCGGCGCGCCTGAGGGGTCAGGTAGGCAGCCAGTGGTGGCAGGGCCTTGTTGTTGTTGCTGGGGTTGTTGGCGAACTTGACAGTGATCGGCTCGGTGGAGCCCTTGGGAATGGTGCCGTTCAACTCTTGGATGGCGCGCTCGGCCTCGACGCGTTGGTCGAATCGGATGAATCCGACGCCCTTTGACAGGCCTGTCGGGAACACAGCAACATTTTTAACAATGCAAATCACGGCTGGCCTGCGAGGGGATTTAATTCTACACAAACACAACGACACTACTTTCGGTGCTTGTTTTTTGAACAATTTTTACAATCGGCACCGAAAGGTGTCTGTGAGAAAACTAAACTTTGGGATTTTTTTAAAATTTATATATTTTTATAAGAGGTTCGTGCATCTACTGGTGTGCAACTACACGCCTAATTCAATAGCAGTAAGTGGTAAGGTGTGCAAAACAGCAGGAAGCCAACTGAAACTTGAGAGCAGGGCAAACGGACCCGCCCAGCAAGAGAAGGAAGATTGACTACAAGTTCCACTACGAGTTAATCAGAGACAAAAGTGGGCCGCAATCTTAACCGTCTGAGGCCTGGTGTTACTCTTTATTTATTTATTCATCCAGAAAGTGGAAATCAATAAAATAAAGAAAACACGTTAGTAGAAATGCAAACAAATAAATGATAAAAGAATAGTTTAGCTTGATATATATAAGAAAAAAGAAAAGCAAAGGTTGATAAGAAAACAACTCGGGGGGTTGGGAGACCTCAGAAAGTAAACAATATTGGGAGGTGTATTTATAACTGTAATTAAAATATTGACATTTTTTTCTTTAAAAAAAATTCGCACTACAATGGTGAGGGGACTTTAGAGGGCCGTAAAGAAAAAGTGGCAAAAACGTGCAGGTTTATAAATACTTTCTTCTGAGAGAGTTTGTTAAAAAAGACGACAGAACTGAAAAAAGCCAACGACAGTCTAAACCACCTTCTCTGGTATTTACAGAATGAGGCGAAACGGAGATCATTTCTGGCTAATAATTAATTTATTTCTGTCAGGAGAAAAACCTCGAATGATCAACGTTTTGCAGTGAAAATTAAAGACGAGAGGAAGGTCTATAGAACTCAATAACAATATGGTGTCTAATTTCAGATGTGTGAGTGTGGACAGGAGAGAAAACAGAAAATAAAAAACAGCTTCACTTACAGGGTAACTTATCTTCGGCTCCACCGACAAACTGGCGGACTATAAGAAAAAAAGAAAACGCAAATCATAAATAATTTACAATGATGACCATAAAAGTTAGAATGATTATATTTTGTGTGGATTAGTTTAGTTATGTTTCTCAGTCAGTTTTAAAAAAGGATAAATTGGCCATGTTCGAGATTCAATGATTTATTGAAATATACACTAAAATAATTGTATCAAAAAATTAAGAACAAATAAAATGAGCACTACTATACATGTCAGGTAAAAATATGTGGCATATATAAGTAAACAAATAAATTGAACGAAATTAATGATGATAAAGAGAAAAATGTGTGACCAAAAATAAGAGGTAAATAAACGAAAAAGTCAGAAAGAGTTGGCCAAAAATTATCATTACTCTCTTCAACACCAGACCTCGTCGAGATCACAAACCCAGCAACTAAATGATTCAACTAAAACATTTTCAGTGCTCAATTTTCTTTCTTTTTTTCATATTTTTTTTTATTCGTTTGTATATAAATTTCAAAAGTTAGTTCAATAAATTGAAAGTTTTTTTTCTTCGAACATCGACGCCGCTTACCTGTGATATTGTCGCACAGGATGCGCGAGGTGATGATGCGTCCGTAGGGGCTGAAGAGGTTTTCTAGATCCTGCTGGGTCATGTTCTTGGGCAAGCCGCTCACGTACAGGTTGGCACCTTTGATGGCCTCGCTGCTGGGCCTAGCGTAAGAGACCTGCAAAAATGACAAATTTAATAAAAAAAAATTCCATTAAACATGAAGTGAACAAGATTCAATATTAATTTATTTAAATTCTCAAAATTCAACAAATAAAATTGGTCAAAATTAGTTCAATTATTAAGTTGCTCCAAAAATTCAAATTGAAATTCTAGAAATCATTTTTCTTCCTTAAATAAGAATTTTTCTGGCTGTATTTTTTATTTTATTTTAATTTTCCGTCTTCTTGAGCAACTATTATCAGCACCTTGGAACAACAGAGGCTTTCTGGCGTGCGTGTCTGCCTTTTCCACTATGTATGTACATCTTAATAAGGGCGTAAATTCACTGCCGTTTCTTTCTTTTTTGCTCGTTTTATTTTCTTTCCCGGACACACTCGGGAGATAACCGCCTTCGACTCAGGCAGGCTTTTATCTAAGTCTCTGCATTTGAAATTTGAATACTAAATTGGAGGTGTAAATGCCGCACGCTATCTGTCTTTTCCCATCTCTCTCCGCCAACTGCACGGACTCGCATTTCATTATGGAGGAGGAGGAGGGTTGCGCAGTTGGGAAAGCAGCCGGCAGGCAGACATTCAGGACGACGCCACCGCCGCATTTTTGTGACGTCATCGGTGAACTTTGCGTCGGCAAACGGAAGGCAAAATAGGTTTTTCCCTCTCTCTCTTTTCCACAACGTTCCCAGTTATTTCCATATCTTTCGCCTCACCGCGGCTGAATTCCAAATGAGAAGGAAAACGCTTTGTGTTGTATTTGAGAAGAGACGCTCATTTTCAACACCCGTCGAGTTTTTATCCAGCAAGAAATCGCTTTTTTCCCGATAAATTTTCGCTCAGCAAATAGTCGATAAGGAGGAAAAATTCTCAGATACATTTCTTCTGGATTAAATTTAAGAAAAATGTTTTATATTTTTGGATATAAAAGGAGTTGGCATTGAGCAGAACAATACCACTTTGGCGGCGGAGCAGGAAGAAGTTTCCTCAGCAGGGTGTTGAGATCGATGAAGCTGGTTTGTGCGGAGTGGAATTGCACAAGTTCCCCGCTTTGCTCATCCCCCAGAGAACGAGCGGGATGCGTACTTTGACGGTGGTAAACGAACATCCGGCTAGGGTGAACAATTCGCCTCATTTAATCTAGCGAGGTGTCTGTCTGCAGTGGGGAGAATTCTCAAAGTAATTTGAGCAAGGACTTGAGTATTAAATTTTTTATTTCTTCCTCAATTAGAAATTTATACCAGAGGTGCCGAAAATAGTAAAATGGAATTTGCTTTCGAGGTTGTGCGCCGAGTCCGCGGGCAAATAGACAAACACACAAACATTTCCGCCACGCAAGTGTTTACTCGCCTAAGCTCTTCAGGTTGAACAAATACCTGAAGAAGAGTCTGCCTGCCTGGATAGTCAATATAAATAAATCCTCACGCAAAACTTTTGAGGCGGCCTCGGATATAAAAGTTTGCTCATAGTTTCGGCAAACAGAGAAGCAAAAGTTCTACTTCTGCCTGACACATTTATTAAAAAACAAAACTTTTTTCAATAAACAGGATAAACGGGGATCAACTTTATATTTGCACAACCATTCGTCTATATTTGCTTTAATGTAAAAAGTTATTACGATTTAAGTCCAATATTTTTTAAGTCAAAGGAACATATTTTCCACAAATCCAAATCATAGACATTTCCTTATTAATTTTTTTGCTCGCAGGAAGCAACAAAAATTCACTCGTAATCTGCCAAGCCTTCTTGAGAAAATCCTGCTTGAAGTTTTAGACGCACCACTCCACGCGATTGGAGAAAGCGTTTTGCTCGAAGACGCACGTACCGACTTCAGATATTAATTAAGTCGAGAAGAGTTGGAAGCTGGAGAGCGTCGACCCTCTAGGTGCGAGAGCGTTTTGTCTCGCAACGTCAACAGCCCACCGAGTCGTAATAACGATTACAATTAAGCGGTCCCAAATGGTTTTGCAAGTGAAATTTGCGCAGTTCATTATTCATTGGCGCAGCAGCCTGCCGGTCGGCGGTGAGAGCGTCATTAGTTTTCATCGAGATTTCTCTCTCTCTCGCGCTCGTGCTGTTCGCCCTCCGACGGTCCATTCTCTCTCTGCGCGCCCCGCAATAATTGAGTTGCAAAGCGGCCAACGGTAGTCCGTCGAGCGTCGCGTTCATCACAACGATTAGCATGACGACGCACCTGAGACAGCTCGAGTGGAGCCTAGAGTGGCATGACACACAACAGATGGGCCTTAATTCCGCGCTGCTTTCGTCGTGATTTGGATAATTTGAATGTTAGTGTGCAGTTGGGAATTGTTTAGCTGAACAGGGATAATTGTTGTGGCGTTTCATTTAATTTTCATGGCAAAATAGGGTCTGATTTGCAATAAATGGAGACAAAGGTACCGAATGAACAGTGTGAGTCCGTTTTATTCAAACAATAACTTCAAATTTTAAAAGATGTGCTAATTTTTGGCAATTGTAAAAAATTCAATACTGCATAGGCTTAAAATTTTAAAAATTTAAATGTTTTATTTTTTAATTTTCTGCAGCAAACACAATTTGTTGATAGACAGTTGAAAAATTTTCAGAAACTTAATTTCGTTACAATTTCCTTGAAATTTATTTATTAAACCATGAAGATTTCAATAAAGAGTTTTTATTCCTGAAATATTAAATTTTTCTAAATGTTTGATATTTCCATACAAAAATTCCTTCAATTGACCAGAATTTATAAGTAAATTAATATACTGCATTATAATACGCTTTATTTTCAATATTTTGTACAGCTTCGCCTATTTTGAGTTCAACAAAAATGAGCACACACTCACAAAACTGTGGCTTTGTTAATGTGCCTCTCTCGAGGTGCGTGCGTCGGCGACCGCACATTTAGGTGAAAGAGAGATAATGTATCGGGGGTGTGAGAAAGGAAGCCACGCAGGTGAATTAAGAGCCTACTTGCCTCGAGCACCGGCAGGTATGCATGTGTGCTTTACGGCGGTTGGCGCGCAGCCAAATAATCGGTCCACGTGCGCCCACTCGGTGGTCACATTATCATCGCCGATGAATGTTGTTGCCGTCTCTGTCTGAGCTCACAAGCCACTTTTTACGCTTTGATGGCCCGTCTATTGTATTAACTCTCAACCTCAGTCTCTTGTTTATTTTATTTTTATATTTTTGGAAAAATATAATATAATATAATATAATGATTGAAATTTCAAAGGTTGTTATTATCACTAATAAGTATCATATCTTATTTTAATTAATTTTGTTAGCATTATTGAAAATTTTCAGCAACAAATTTTGATCGTTTTAAAACTGACGAGACCAATTCAAAGCAACGAAGGAAATGTAAAAAATTTACAGGTAAAAAGATAGATAATTTTTTATAAATTTAAAAGTTCAAACTGATGAAATAATTTTGATTTCATGTTTGTTTGTTTTTTAATTTTAAAACATAGAGGTGATTTTTTTTTAAATTGAAATGATCAAGAAGAAATAATGAAAAATATTTTACAAAAGATGGCACATAAACATTTCAAATAATTGTGTTTCCGTCATTTTTCTTTTGTTATATTCTTTTCAGCCTGCGAAAGATTTCGATCTGTGACCGCACTTCTTGTCAAATTTCGGGTGAAGAAGCAGCTCGATGGTCCTTAAAAGTAGAAAACTGTGAGCGGAAACAGACACCGGTCGGTGAAGTGTGAAAACGGTCGGGTCAAATTCGGTTTGCTCAAGTGTGCCTTGCAGGGCATTGCGTGCTGGAGGAGCGCGAGAGATTCTGACGCTCTCAAGAGTTATCGGCGCGAAATAGGGGGCATCCCCGTCAATGTGGCTACTTTTATTTATCTGTTGGATTGGCTCCAGCAAAGAGAAAGGCTGCCGAGCCGAAGCAGTTGGTCGGGCTGCCTCGAAATTAACCATCTCTCGTGACGGCTTCGTAAACGCGCCCCGAAGAGTATCAGAATTAAATTTATTTTTGGCCGCGACTTTCCTTTGCTACTTTATACATTATGTTCAAAATTAAAAAAAAAAAATATAAGTGCCAAAATTTATTTTTTTCCCACAAAGCAAGAGGCATTAGGCATTGTTAACGGTTTAATTGAAACAAAAATCTTTTTGCCCCTTTCTTTTCGAGTTCTTCCGCAGCGAATTTCTTCTTGTTCTTCTTCGCCCGGCGAGTTTCTTCTTCTTGGTCGTCAGCGCGGCAAATAAAAAAGCGGCCGGATGTAGGAGAAAAATAAGCCCTTTGGCCGCCGCAGCGCACCAGCAGTCTGCGTGACAGCAGTTAAAAAGAAGTTTATTTTCATGAAATAATTCAAGAGCGAAACCAACTGCCAGAATTATTCTGCAACTTTGCGCGCAAAAACGCACGACTGACTCTAAAATTGGAGTCTGGATGGCGACGTAAAACAGAGCTCTCCTCATCGCAGCTAGAAACTTCTGCCAGAGTTCCCTCGAAGAGAACTCTAAAAGTGTTTAAAAAGGAAATTCATATAAAAATTTAAAATATAATTTGATCGAATCAAAATTATTCCAGCACGAGGTTGCAGAGAATTTTTAAATTGTGAAAATTCTAAATTTATGTTATAATAAAATAAATTTTGCTTTGACATAAAATATTTTGTTCACCACTGCAGTGACATCATTTGTTCTTAATCCTCGCCTGTCATAACACGTTCTCGAGAGTGTAACAATCCTTTCAGATAGAACGCGGCCATAAAGTTTAACGTCAGCTAATCAAAGAGCAGGAAAATTTATCTGCCAATAAAAGCGGCCGGACCAAACTCGACCAGCCAGTGAAAATTTCGGCGATAATTTTTACATCCTGGGGGCATTTCATGGTTGTCATGTGTTAACTGCGGCGGCGAACGCCTCCGAGTAAACAGACAGCGGCCGAGTCTGACAAGAGGAAGCATAAAACCGACCATCGGAACTCAAAAATAGACTTTTTCATCTGCCGGTTCCAGGCGCACCGATCTGTCGTAAACTGAGCGGGCGGAGAAAAGGGCAAAAATCTTATTTTTATAAATGGACGTCGGCTCTGCTTAGAATGGGAATGGGAGAGATATCAGATGCTGGCATGTGTCTCCTCCCTAACTGCCCACCGTGTAAGCGTTCTTTTACAATTCATTCAATTTTATAGAGGCAATTTTTAAGAAAAGAGAGTCGCATTTTGTGACCCTACTAAAAAATAAGATCGAATTTTAGATATTGTACGAGATTGCTGGGATTTTAAATTATTGTTAAGGCTGGTGGAAACGTCTTCCATGATTTTTTTTTCATTCGCTCCAATTCCTATTCTGACAATGAATTTTTTAGAATTTTTTTACTCAGCAATATATTTTTGAGAGCAATAAACTTAAAAGAAGAGCCATTTCAGTTTTATGGACTTCAAGCTTCAAAATTGACTTTCAAAACTCTGTATTTTCATAAAAAGTCAATAATTTTACAACAAAATTGTTTTAAATATCCCTAAATATTGAATCTCTTAAACCGCAACATAATTTGGAAAAATTGACTCAATAGAAACGTTAAAAAATTTCATGTCAAAAGTATACCTTTTCAACCGTTTATTTAATTTTAATCCTTAATTAGAATCATCCACAAGACATTTTATTTAATAGGCAACATGCTCCGCGTCCATGTGCAGCGGATTGCATACCTCGTTTCGGGTCAGGAGCTGGTTAAAAGCAAAAGTTTGGCGATTTTTAAAATCTGTTTTTCTTTCTCAAGGACGAAGATTGCAAGTTTGCTAAATGGTGGATAAGTTCTTTCGGTGATGCGGCGATCCGATATCCTTGATGGACCAGCGACGAAAGCACAAAGTGTGCACGAAGCGGGGCCGCGATCGGGTTTCCGACTCGCCATTCCGCCACTGGACACACTCCAAGCTGTACGGGAGTGCCCACTTTGTAACCGCCGCGGCTTATGAATGTTGATTTGAGGCACGGCCAAAATTTAGCTCCAACACCGTCGGCACTTTTTCATTTTCATCGCTGTAATTACACGCGCACATTTTCTGCCAATTAAAAAAAGTGAGCGAGAGAGAGGAGGCGTGGCTTTTTTTTACAAACGACTCTTTGTGTAATTACCTTTTTATCAAAAATTTTGAAGAGCGCTCAATTAAATTTCGCTTTGATGTCTGTCTGTGTCTTTTTTTTAAGCCCAACAACAATAGAAAAGGAGTTTCTACGAAATGAAGAATAAAAGAAATTGAAAGTTACAATAACACTCAACGTAGGTTTCATTGAAATTATTTACTAAACTTGATCTCGTTGAAAAAATAAATAAAAACTAGGAGAAGACACGTGATCTCGTCTGCTAGTACTTAAAAAAAAAACGTAGGCATTGTTGTGCCATAATTTAAATTAATAAAAAATAATATTTAGTTAAATTGATGTTAAAAATCAAAGAATTAAAAAGTATTTTACACAATTTTCTTTCAAATATTTTCATCCGTTTTACATTTTGAATAATCCGATTTATTTTAGTATTTTTGTTTAGCTACATCCTATTTTCAGAAAAGCGACAGGGGCAAAGTGGAGCAGATCCGTCCGTTATGCCTGAATTTTTTGAGTCAATTCAACGAAAAGCCGCTAATTTTAGCGCTGAAAAGCGGCCCTCGCGATGCAAATCTGTCGTTCGGTGCGTTTCTCACTGTCGCACGCGGTAGTACTCTTTCGAAAGTACCACCTCCGCTGGGCCCGCGTGAAAATTTTCACAGAAATATTAAAGAGAAGCGCTTTGGCTAATGAAACAGTTAATGGCCGCGTGCCAAGCCACCCGAGCTACGGACAAAAATTGCGCTCATCATCGTCAATTAAACACTTTTAATTGGCCTCGACAGAGTGTTTCAGCTGCCTGGACCGACGCTCTTTTCAAACAAAAACACAATTATATTAATTCGCGATACGTACCTTTATCGTCTTGTTCTGTAATCTGAGACCGTTGAGGGTGTTGATGGCCTTCTCAGCATCCTCCGGCCGGTGATAGTTGACGAAGCCATAGCCCAGGCTCTGTCCTGAAGCAATATTCATAATACCAACGTAATTATGGTAACAAGTGGCAAGCGTTGAAATTAAAAATGCATTCAGGCAAAAGGAAAGCGGTGGATATGGGTGGGTCGAGACATTCCAGAAAGCTCATATCTGTGCTTTATTTTATCAACTGGAGATTTTTTCAATAACTTAAATTTAAAAATAAAAACGATTGCAATTAATAAGGTGTAGAAGCAAGATAATAACAGACGGAGATGATTACAGTTTAATTAATTATTTATTGCTTTAATTAATTACTTGTTAATCATTCATTAACTTATTATTATTTTTTAATCTAAGCATAGGTAACTGGTAAACAGTTCAATTAATTAGTTGGTTTATTTACCAGATAAAAAAAAAATACACATTATATTTGAATTAGTTGAAAATTGAAGTATCGTTATATAAAATTTTCCTCTTTTTTCCTCCTCCGTTTTTTCCCTATAAACCGAAAGTTACTGTTGATTGCACACAAAAAATGCAGTTTGTCAACGCATTACATTCAATTTGCCGGTGGCCCTCACACGTGAAACGTCCCATTAAACACAAACGTTTGCTTTTATTTGGAGGCTAATTCGGCTCCCAACAGGTCCAGGAACGGCTGGAATTAATGCAAATTGTTATCGCACTACAAACATTCTCCTCTACGAGCGGCCGAAAAATATAGAGGAGATGCGCCAAATTGGATTTTCTTGCGAGGCCACTCCAAATAATTGGACAGCCGGTCCATGCGTTTTAATTAATTTCCAACGAATAACATTGGCACTCAAACGGAAAACGTTCGTTTTATTGGCCGGTCTTCCCAGGGAAAGCACTCCAATTAATTGCCTGCATCCACGCCATTTTTCTCCTAGACCCTCTTTGTTTATTTTCCATCTGGAGGGTAAAAAAATAAACACGTTCCGGAAGGCGAATTAGATTTTCACTGCTACCTAGACTAATTAACTGGTAAACTTGGCGCCGGCAGAGCAGCGTTTCATGGAGAAATTATTGCGCCAGCCTGCTGCTGCACTATTTCAAATAAATGTTTGCAGTTAGTACTTATTCTTCCTCTTTCTGCTCCGAGACGAGAAAATTAAGGTCGTCTGTTTTCTTGGCTCGCCTTGGCCGCCTCTCGTACGCCTTAATTTACGACTGGTTATTAGCGTGCCAACTGAAATTGCATTGTCTCCTCCGTTTTGTCTTGTGCAAAACTTGGGCCAGAATTCTTTTCAAGGCCAAAAACCCATTCATGATTTTATTTTCGGCAATATTTGTATAGAAATTCAAAGAAGAGCTTGTTATATTTCAAATAAACCAATTTTTTCTGCCTCAAAGCAAGGTTTTCCTTCCAATTAAAATTGTGAGACCCTCTTCTTTTTCTCTGAATAGCCCTCAATATTTTTGGTACTCGACCATTGATCATAAAGAATGCTCCGTGGCTTTAAAACGAAGCTCATAATTTGAGGAGGAAATCTTAAAAACGTCGCCATTTGTTGGCCATAAATCAGAGGCAAATCGCCCATAAAGTGGGATTTTCTGTTTCATTAGTGGAATTGCCCCGCTCTCCGTCTTTTGAAAAGGATGACTGCCGGCGGCTGCACAACGAAAATCGATTTCATATCTTTCGAATGGCTCTTGCTGCACCACTGCTGCCAAGACACGGTCCATTAATTTCTGGGCCGGCAGCAATGGGTGGTTGCAGCAAAGCAAAAGGGAAAAAATAATAATTCGCCCCCGTGCCGAGTTCTCTCTACTTCGAGTGGCAACGATCCATTTTTGCATTTCTGTCGCGGCCAGGATAAAAATGATTGGCTTGGAGCATCTCCAAAAAGCTCTTGCTTGTTGCAGTGCAAACACCCTTGCCGTCCTGAATATGTAAAATTGTTTACTTGTGATTTTCAACTGTAGTCAAATATCATAATTAATAAAAAAAATCCAATTTTATTTCAAAATTAATTTGATTATTATTAAACGGCAAAATTGAGGTTAAATAAAAAAAGGACCAAAAATATTAAGGAAGTCATAATTTGTCACAAAAAATTTGAGCCAGAATTTTGCAAAGATCCTTTGTTCTAATAAACTTTCAATCAAATTTAAAAAAAAGACTAATAATTATTTAAAAATACAAGGAGAAATTTGGACAAATTATTTCTCATTTGTTGAAATAGCTTTCTAAACGTTGTTTATATTTAGATTTGCTAATCGTATAAATCAAGCCGACTAAATTCCACCACCCGTTTGTTGTTTGGCCATTTCAGCTATGAAGTGGGTGGCGTGCAAGATTAAAAGTAAGTAGCCGAGAGAAGAGCAGAGAGTAATTGTCAACGGCGACGCGACTTGGCAAGCACGGAGGAGGACTTTGGCCGGTTAGTTAGGGTCGCTCGCTTCCCGCGCGCGTGTGTTAATCAAACCCCGGCTTCCAAACATCCTGCTCTTTAGCTCTTTAGCGGATGAAGCAGTGCAGATTTGCGATCGCCAGACATTGATTTACAAGCTCCGATGCCTGCTATTTTCGCACCCACCCGGACCCGCGGCAGCTTTGTCAAAAAAAAAAGAAGTAGAAAAAATGAATTTAATACGGCGACAAGGACGAGCCGCGACGACGAGTGGCTCGTTTGATCAGAAATAAGTGATGATAAATTTGCCTGAAAATAGCCGGAGCGGCGACTTTCGATGGAGAGCACTGCCTTCCATCGGCCTCTAATGAAGCAATCTTGAATTCTTTCATCAATCCGGCAGCTACAAATAAAAATTCTCTCAATTTAAAAATACCCAACTGGCTGCTGTCAGTTTATTTGAAATACGTTGGTGAAAAAAATAAGCCCTTATTATAGGAATTTTAATTTAGATTTTGTTCCAAAATGTGTACTCATTTTTAAAGGCAGTGTTGAAATTATGATAGATAATATGTTTAAATGTTTATTAAATTTTTATAAATTTTAAAAGTCATTTTTAATATATTTTGAATCAGGATATAATTCGCAAAGATCTGAACTCTTTAAAAATATGATATAATCAAAAATTTGTTTGTTTACTTGTGTTTACCACAAAATTTTCTCTGTTTTAAGTACATACGTGTTTTTGTTTAGTTCAAAAGAAAAATACTCTGAATTACTTTCTACCTTTTTAGCTTCCAAAGGAGTTTCGCATTGTTCCCGTGTAAACCATAATTCAAACTTCAAACATGATCCCTGAGGCTCGGTGTTAACAGCTGCCGATCAAAGTGCTCAGCTCTCACCCTTCAAAGCCAAACCGAGGGCTGTGCTAATGACAAGGCACCTTTGTGTAGGGCAAAAGTACTACGTGTGTCCCACATGCGCAGCAAAGTCAAATTGCAAATCCGTCGCCACCTCTGTAATTACTCACTATTGATTCTAGCGTTGCAGTTAAATTTTAATTGAACGGCGCAAACTATTTTAACAAGCTTCTGTGTGCGTGGGAGAAATTTATCTTTTTGGCGTTACTCCACAAATTTAAGTGCCACTCTCCGGATTTCAACATAACGAGTGTAATTTTAAGCGAAAATTTGCTGCAATTTGAAGTGTGCCAAATGCCGCCGGCGTGGAGACGAGAATGTTTCTGTCAAGTTTTCTGTGACAGGCTCACAGTTTACTCTGGGCACTGTTTAAGTTCAACTGGCCAACCGTAAACTTGGTTTAGATTATCGCAGTTCCGTTTGAAATGCTTTTCATCAATCCGAACCAGACAAGTAAATAAAGCTGTTAAAAAAAGAAAAATTGGTCAAAATTTGGTTAATAATAATTTATTATGAATAAAATGCTAATCAATAATCAAATCTTTCAAAAAATACGGCAAGCAAAAAAAACCTCCAAACTTTTGTTATTAAAATTGCGTCCACAGCTCATATTATTCAGTTAGTAAGAGGCATTGAATTTCCATTGTTAAAAGCCACATTCAGCTTTTGCACGTTTTGTTAGTTTGTACCATTTTTTTTTCTTTCTATCAAAAGTACGCACACAATCTGGGATTATATTGGGATTAGCTTTTAGTGTAATTTTTGCAGCCCTTTTGTTAGCAGACATTCAATAGCCTCACCTATGTGCTGTGAATCGCCTGTTAACGCGGTTCGAACATCGAATATTGATGGTGATTTGCCCGGAATTCCATCTGAAAGTTCTGAGTGAGAATACATGAGCTGCCTCTCTGATTAAACAAATTCAAAAATAATAAAATCAAAAGTGTACGGGGGGCGCAAATTCACGCATTAAGGTTACAGACTGATTATTTGCACACACAGATAGTTAATTATGGGGATTTTGTGAACAGTGTAACTTGGAGGATAGACAGGGTGGATAGATCAAGAGAGATAGAGAGAAAAGGGTTGTTTAAGCTCAGTTTTGTGAAAGAGCTAGTTTGTTCCTTTTTGCGAGACTTGTACTAAATGGGCTTTGTTGTTGGCCTCTAAGGGTTCTCTTTGTCCTTCTTAATAGCCTCACTGGACTTAAAAAGCTTCAGTTATTCTAACTACGCCATAGAAGTTGTCTTGGTCCACATAATTCCATGAAATTTGGAGGTCTTCCACGCACTGCAATCCCCTCCATTCCATAATTAGGCTGGCTTAGAAAGAATTTCGTCCAAAAGAAACAAGCAGCTTTTGACAAATTCATTGTAAAAAAGTTATGACACCTTTAAGGGAACTTCTTCTTAAAATGGCTTGATTAATGTTGATATTAATTTTAAAATTATATTTCTCAAAATTTAATCAATTAAAATTCATGAAAGTTTCTTAAAAAAAAAAAACTAGTTTTTCATAATAAAATAGATACCAAATTTTCATGGAGTGTACGGAAAACTCTTTTTTTCAGTGTATCTCCTTGTTAAATAGTGAATTTCAAAACTACAGGATGAATCTTTCTTTGTTTAGACAGTTGCTTTTTTAATCAGTGCTTTTTAATTAACTTCAAGATAAAATATTATACAGGCTCATTCATTATTATTGAGTTGGAATCTTTTTCTGGAGATATTCTTTAAAAATATTCAATACTTTAGAGCTGATTTAATCTACCTCATAATAGTAATAATGAATAATATTTTTTTCATAATTATCCTTTTTTTATTTTAAAATGGGAGATTTTTAATAATTACACTAATTATTATAGTATTGGAGGATTAAATATTTCTTAGAATTTTTTGAGCGCGAATATTTAATTTTAAATCTGCATGAACTTTTCAAATTATCCTATGATTTTAATACTTTTAATAATAAACACAATTACGAATACAGATATTCGCAGAAACCAATTTTTTTTGCATGCTAATGAAGCAAAAAGTTTGCAAAATTTTCCTGTTTGCTCTGCCGGCCAATTATCGGAGTTTTATAAACATTTTCCCTGGTGCTTTGGGCGGATTTACTTTTCACGTGGAGGGGTGCAATTTGGCTGCGGTCGGCGCAAGGCGGCTTATTTGCATCAAAGCCGTCGATCTGTGACGGCAGCGCGTGCTGCGTCGCGCCTCTCTCGCCTCGTTACCCGTCGCCGCCGGCCGCTGCTGCCAAATAATTACGCTGGAAATTTTGCGTACGTACGCAGCCTCGGATGGCGCTGGCGGGGTCGGTCATTTGTCGCCAATTTGGGTGCAGGCCGCCTTTTCGGAGCGACGGCGGATTAATTGGAAGGGCCGAGCGACGCTTGCTTTTTCGAGGGCGACGCAAAATGAATGGGAAAAGTTTGAGTGCTTGTTCGGAGGCGCGACCGCCTTCGCGCCGCGTTTAACCGTCGCACGCGCGCAATCAACATTATTCTTCCCTCGAAGGAAGAACTTGTGTGTACGCCCTTTAATCACGCCCCACACACCCTGCAGGCCAATTTTATCGTAAATCGCGGACGTGCAACGAGAAATCTTGCCACAGACAGTCGAGCTAATAAGTAGACGTGAGAGACCATTTTTTATGTGCGGAAGAAAGAGGAAAAATAAGTGCTTAACTTTTTATGGCCTAACATGACGATCATTATTAGTCAAAAGAACAAAACTGCGCCAACAACGCTAAATTGCAAAAGGTTTCGTAGCTTTTATCTTCTGAATAAAATTTGGCTGAATTTTCGCACATTTTTGTGAAAATATGAGTTCAATAATATTTCAATTGCTTGAAATTTTAAGAAATAATTTCTATACTAATGCTGTTGAATTAATTTAATCTACATTCAAATTATGTCGAGGAAGATATATATTTTTCTCTAGTAAATCGATCTCCGCAGAACTAATTTTTGGAGATATGGATTAACACACAAAACATATCAAAAAAATTTATGAATATAATTTATGAACGATATTACAGATATCTTTCTATACCAATAAATGAAAAAAAAATCGAGCAAAAAATCAATTAAGATAAATATTTTCTTTCTACGTGAATGAGATGGCCACATTGTGAAAAAGCAGAAAAATAACATTAAAAATATGTATTTTATTTGTTAAATTTTTGAATAAATATAAAAATGGTATCGAAAAATAAAGATTTAACACCCAGGATTTATTAAAAATTAAATTTGCGTGCGATATTATTTTAAATTATCTATAACTTGTGAATATAATTAAGAAACATTTTTTCATGTATTTCAGTACATTGTTAACTAGAGCGAATAAAAATTGCTGAGAATTCAAACATTTCCATCACACTTGTACGATCATAAAGAAGAAATGTTGATTTGGTTAATCTGGCTGTCTGCAGAATCGTCCATTACCTCGGCCGTTCACTCCGTTTATTTTCGTCGATCAAAACAAAGCGACGTCTGGCGCATTCCCGCCTTTTGCTTTCTCTCAAATCAATTTCGGGACGAGCACCGGATAATGAGTTAGAAACTAAACTTGCGCGCTAATCTGAGCAGAAAACCGCGAGCGAGCGAACAAGCGAGCCAGCCAGCGCCGGTTTTCGACCGCATTGTTTACGGTCCATTTGTCAACGTCCGGCCAGGAATCCACAACGCCCTCACCTAGGACGCTGATTTATCGCGTCATCATCGTCCGCCGCTCAGGTTGCTAACTCCCGGCGTTAATTTCGGCGTGATTAATGCGAATGGACAAAATTTTATCCTCTCTGCGAGTGAGAGAGAAAGAGAGAAGAGAGGCCTTTCTCTCTGTGTAAATATATCATTATGCAGCGGCGGTGTGCCGTGTGTGTTTTCATCCAACCACCCGCCTGCCCGAAAATAGCCTCGAGGAGGGTGGGAATGATGAAGTCGGGCCGATCCTTAGCAGAAGCAGAAACGCGCAACGGCTATAAATTGCTCAGTCGCGCGCTCATCCCACGAGTCAGCATTCGATCCAAGCTCTCGCGCGCGCTATTATGCCCTGCCAGGCGTACAGACCGACCGACGGACGGACGGACGACGAGCAGCCGCGCTTCTTCTCCGGCTTATCTACGGCTTCAACTTGCAGCCGCGTCAAAGAGTGTGCGTTCAACACCCACTTGTGAAACTTTCACACACAGCTCAAAACTTATCCCGAAAGATCATCGCCACGGATTTTTAGCTTGCCTCAAAATAAAAGTTGCAGTGAAATTTTTCAAGAGATTGTGGAGATGACACATTTTTATTTTTAAATAAAAATAGTATGTTAAATATAATTAATTTTAAATATTTCTATCTTACTAATTTAATTAATTTTTTTTAAATTATTTATTATTGTTCTAATTATTAGCCATTGGCTCAATGATTTTATTATAATGAAAGTGTATAATTTTATTTATTTTAATGAATTATAGACATAAATTGGTTTTGATCACCATTTTCGATGAAAAAAATATCCAAAATTTTTTTTTATGTAATTTTTAATCTCAAGTTGTTCACATTATGCAAAGAAAATAATTGTTATTTTACAATTTTAATTATAAAAAATGTAAAAATAAACAGAATAAAGCGTCGCAAAAATTTCAATTCTAAATTAATTTCTGAACGTTTTAGACCTGCAACCGTTTTTTTTTTTTTATAATAATCCAGCCCAATTAATTTTTACGTTTCTGGAGCAGCCTGCGGTGACTGACTAGTGACTGTTGGTTGCCTTTCTTAAAATAAAAATGACTCTTCTGTCTTGAATTAACGAGACGCTTCTTCGTCATGTCGTGCCGGCGACGTCGCATATTTTAATTTTCCTCTCACATTTCGCCTCTCCTGCTCCTATATCGACTTGTGGAGCAACAACGCCGCATCATTGTGTTCGATTGAAGTTCGCCATAATATTTTTGTTTTGAGAGGTCGGAAGGCATCGATTGCAAACTTACGTGGAGCCGTCGAGGGCGCACTTGACAAAGTCATTAACTCAAAACACCTGCTACGAATATATGTATAAACAGGGCTCGGCCTGGAGCGGCATTGTGACTGTCGTTTTTAATATAGCGGCGCGCGCGTGGAAGGCGCAGAGAGAGCTTTTGTTATTCTTTTGATTAATGCCGCTCTGTTTATGCTTGTTAACACCCCTGAAATGTCAAAAGACGTTTCAGCCCGTGACAGGACGCGAGTTGAAAGAGCAGCAAAATTACAAAAAAATGTAGAGAGAGAAAAGCCGTCGGATTTTTCTTTTTCGCGCCCACACCGGAGATGCGTGCCGTTTTAAATAAAGCTCTTCTGTCGTTTCAACTTCCGTAATTAAGTGCAAAACTTCATAGAAATGTCTGGGAATAAAATAAACGATTTTGTCTGAAAAAATGTTATTTTTTGCCTTCTTGATATAAAAGTGAGCTTTTCCTTGTGTAAATCTATCAGAAAAAAATAAGCGTCATTCATATTTCACGCGCGCATTTAAAATCATCTTTTAATTCATAATTTAAAGTATTTTTGCTTATCATATTTTTATTAATAGATTGCATAATCCGCTTAAGTAATAATAGTTCCAATTTTAATATGTAAATAAAAAAGATAATACTTTAAAAGCAAATTAATTAGTGATTTTTTTTTTATTAAAATTTTTGCAAAAAGAAAATTACTGCACCCATAGCAAATATGCATTTATCTCATTATAGTGTCTTTGACCTACTCCTATAAGAAGGAGGGAATTTTAAATGTCAACCAAAATACTATTGCGACATCAAAGAAGAAGCAGCAAAGAGGCTTTTCATGTAAGCCTTGTTCTCAACTCTGACAAGCACAAGCGGAAAAAAATGCTTCATAATTATGTACTGAACA